AACGATGAAATGAATAATAAAAAAGAAAACACAAAAATCAATTTGTTGCTACTACACTCTACTACCGACCAACACAGACTATTATTATAATAGGGTGTTGATAATAATAATGAAAATGATGATTATTTTATTCACACATATAAACTCGGGTGTGTTGGCACGTGTTTTTCATTATTATTTGCCCATATATAATCTATAATTATATAGCGAAAACATTCAAACATTCACGTTATTATTATTTATACAAATTGACACACACACACACACATCATTTTTTCATTTGGATTTCTATTAATTGATTTCGATTTTGTCATTTCAGTACAACAATTTTTATAATACGATGGTTCAAAAAACTGACAAATTATCATCAATCAATTTTAACAACTTCAAATTCGTCAACTTGAAATAACGAAGAAACAAAAAATTCAAGACAAGATAATTTCTGTCAGCGAAAAAAAAAGATTAGACAAAAAAAGTCAACTTTTTGTTTTGTTTTGCATATACCGTACATGTTTTTTTTGATATGATATAATAATGGCCCAAGGTCAATGATTTTTTGACTATAGTAAAGTGAAGAAAAGTGACCAGGTATATCGAAATTGTCATCGCAATTATCTCATCATCATCATCATCCTAATGGCTACCCAATAATTGTTGTCATTCATAGATGATGGACATCTTCAAAACACACACACACACACAGATTATCCGTGTTGTTGATAGTGGTGGCAATTATAATCGTTTCGAAAATGACAATTTTCTTCAATCATTTTAAATTGGATAAAACAGAGAAAAAAAGGAATCGCCTTTCCGTTTCCGTAATTTTTATTATTTTTTTTTTGTTTGCAATTATTCATGAATAATGGTTCTATTTCTATAAACATAAAATGTCATTCGTTTGAGTGTCAAACATTATTGAAATGCGAATGAATTCAATTATCAACTCCAAAAAAAGTCACAAAAATGAAACAATTAAACAATTTATGACACACTGATTTTCACACACACACACACACAAGAAATGACATCAACACCCATATCCCTAATACCAAAAAAGTATAAGAAAAACAAACAGAGAATATTGCCATTTTACGATGTTTTTTCACGACATTTTTATCTTTTTTTTTCTCTCTGAGACCATATGACACTTTTTTTTATTATCAACATAGAGTGAGAAAAGAACCAAACGAAGAAAAGTTTTTTTTTCTTTCTTTCCCAAATTGTGACAATATTATATGAATGATAATCATAAATTTTCCCAAATTCGGGATCATCGTTTGAAACAAAAAATTACTGGACATCACCATCATCATCATCATTTGTGATAAACTTTAAGGATTTCTTTCATCATAAAATATGATGATAGTGCAACATACATACACACTGTGAATGGCGATAAACATAATTAAATTTTCTTCTTACCATTGTCTCATCATCATCAACAACAATGTTGGGACCAGTGTATCAACATAGTAAAAAATAAAAAACCACAACAGCCATGTCCCAGTTTATTTTCATTTTTTTGCCATCTATAAATTGATGATGATCACTGAACAACAACGAGTAATAAATGGACGAAAGAAAAATTTTATAATCTTGTAAAAAATGACCATCATCTAACTATAAAGTTGGATATAGAATTTTTTATGATTATTAATAATCAGATATGATATGATATGATATGACCTGGTTCTAGAAACGAGAAATTGACTTTTGTCATTGTGGAAAAAAAAACACTAGGTTGATTTATCATTTTTGATCAGTTGTGAGGTAATATAAATGGATTTCAAGAATTTTACAACAGAATCGTGTATGTAACGTAGATGATCGTAATTGGTCAAATAAGAAAACCAAAAGGGACCAGTGTCTCTATGGTTTTTTTTATACACTATTTAGGTAATTGTGGTCAATATTTTTCCTAATTCAATTCATCCCAGTACTAATAATGATTGTATGGATTATCATAACAACAACAACAATTAATTAATCATCAGACAAAAAATGACATCTTTTGAAGATAAATTACACACACACATACACACAGAGAATTAATAGAAGTCAAAAGTCAAAACGAAAGAAAAAGTGAAAAATTATCATCCATTGAAACAAAAAATATTAAGTTATTATAAAACATACACATACACACACACACACTGGCTCATATTAATTATAATGATGATGATGATGATTATCAAAAAACATTATGAATTTGTCATTTTTGTTTTTGGACACATAGTAATTCTAAAATGAAATTCATTTTTCATCATCATCATCATCAATTAACCCTTTATTTTTCCAATGGTCACTTTGTGTCCACCAATTGTGTTGTAATGACATAGAAAAAAAAACAACATGACAGCCTTCATTAGGCAATATTAATTCTAGTAATTAAGCAAACACAAAATGATGTGACATATAGGATACATTTGAAATGATTAAACAAACAAAAAAAAGAATTTTTTTAAAAAAATAAAATAAAACAAATGCATTGATAATTAGACTCTAAGGATTTCAATCATATTGATGATCCCAAGTTGATTTCGAAAAGTTTCACTGAAAAATATCATGAAATTTTTTTTTTCATAAAACGAAAAAAAGAGGATCAAAATCTCACAACATTCAAGACAAGATTCAATGGAGAATATATGATATTTGTGTTGGTTAATGATAATAATAATAATTAACAACAATGGATTTTGTATTTGATTTTTTTTTTGAAATGACAGAATTGATTCGGAATCTACTTTTCGGTTCACTGGAATCGGATTGTCCAGCAGTTTGTCTTTGTTATAGCAAACAAAAGTTAAATTCAAGTTTTTTTTCAAGCTAATGATCTCTCTATCTCTGGATTAATATGGATTGATTTCCTTTTTTTCTCATGAATTGAGTGGATGTGATTGTTTTCCAATCACAAGAGCTGAAACTTTGTTCCTGTTTATAGTTATTCTGGCCATAATTATTTTTATCATTTGAAAATAATTTACCAATGATAAATGTGAATTCACAAACACAGACACACACCTGGACATTTATATTTTCATTCATTCATAAGTTTTGAATGAAAATAGAAATTTTTTTTTTCACAACACTAACAACAACAGACAAACACGCAAACAAAAATTAATGGCAACAAATGTAAAATGTATTTAAGAGATATATTGATGGAAAATGAATGATGATAATAATGATGATCATCATTAAGTGATAGTCATGGTAGAATGGGTGAAACCTTTTTTTTCTCGACAAATACAAACACACATAGGGTACATCATCATCATCATCATCATTACCATATACATACGCCCTTTTCTGTGTGTTCAGAGGTTGTTGTTGTTCAAAAAGGACAAATTGTCTAGGCAAGCAAAAAAAAAAAAATTATCCATTGGTTTTTTTGGTACCAATCGAAAAAAAAGCTTTGAATACGTGATTAAGTCTCGCGCGCGTAACCGAATCCATAGTTATGCTAGCTATAGTCAAGAGAACCTGGCGGTGGTGGTGGTGGTTCAGATCAATGGGAAACCAAACAAAAAAAACTGGCTGAAATTTTAGATATTCATGCTGGATCGCAAATGGTAGTGCGCCGTTTACCATCCAGATGATAAGCAAAAATGAAGATAATTCAGAACACACACACACACAAACACAAACGAACCGAATAGCCCCAAAATGCTAATAACAACAATACAACCAGAACACGTGCCATTTCACAGGAAAAAAGTTTCAAATTACAGCACAGCGCACACATAATAAAAAAAGACATCTAAACAAGCAAGGAAATTGTCGATGTTTGGACCATGGGTTTGCATTTTTTTCTTTTGATCATTTTGCATAAATTCAAAAGTGAATAAAACTGAGCTTTATGTAATGTAATGTAATGACTGATTATTATTATTATTATTTAAATCGTGCCAAGATAATCTTTCTTTCCTTCTTTTTTCGCTATTTATCAAATGGATCAATTCGCGTGTAACGGTTTTTTTGTTGTTGTTGTTGTTGCTGGTTTCAAGTCATCAGTAATAATAACCAGACAACACAGATACAAACCAAACAGACAGATGATGAACAATTTGGTCTTTAGGGCAAGTTAAACAGACATACGAGTTTTATGAGGGATTCAAATATTATGACTATTTTTTTTGCCTGCATCTATTTAACCGATTGGCATATGGTCATGGCCAGCAAAAAAAAACATTTGGAAATCATTGTTGTTGTTGTTGTTGTCGGTCAAAATAGATTGAAAATGTTTTTCAGGATCATGTCCCAGAGTATGCACTTACCCAAAATAATATGGTATTCCATTCATCTGGTATCCTGGTATATTTTAGGTTTGGTTTCAAACACGACACATTAATGTCTAGTTGATTTGATAGACTCATCATCATCATCATCATCATTGTTGTTGAGGCCATTGTTGAATCGTTTATTCAATATTGAATAAAAATCTTGTTGCGAAAAAAAATATCAAGTATCACCACCACCACCACCACAACAGCCAGAACATTTTGGATTTTGACTCAATTGAGTTGAAAAAATATTTTCACACACACAATAGTGTCAGATACAGAACAAAAATGTCAGTCAAATCCATCAAATACACAAACACACAATTGATTGTCTATAAATGGATTAAATTGTATTTGTAAATTGAATTATTTTATTCGATTCAAAATGACAATGACTTACTGATTCAAAATGGCGGGAAATTGTTGGCTCGTTTCAAGTTTATATGTTGATCATCATCATCATGGATAGCCAATACAAAAGAAATTCATAAATTCAATAAATATGACATTTCAAAATTTGAAATCCAAATTTTACATCGACCATTGTTTGAATGTTGACCAAAAAAAAAAAAAAAAAATCATTTCCAATCAACACCACAAAACACAAAAGGAAATCATCACAATGAGCTCATCATCATCATCATCATGATCGGTATCGATTGTATCGCGATAGTTGTTTTGGTTCTACTCTTTTTTTTTTGATGATGAAAAGGCGCGTGTATTGTTCGAATCATTTGAATTTTTGACATTTGACAAAATTGAATTTCTATTTCTGTGGATGGAAAAATGGATTTTGAATTAGAATATCGTTATGCTTTGGACTGTGAATTGAATAATTCAGAAAAAAATTGCAATAATATTCGTAATCAATTTTTACAACTTGTTGCTTTCAGACAATCATTGCCGAATGCTTCTTATCATGAACGTTTGAAAGATTTACTTCATGAATATTCGCTGGAAATCGATAAGAAAAACGGTGTGAATACATTTATTGATTCAGCATTTGAAATTGTTCAAAATGAATCGCAACATGATGAATTTTTTGTCGATAAATGGCAAAGCCGTATGAAAAAGAAACTTGACAATGGTGTCCAAATACGTTCTCGAATTTTTCATAAAATGAAAGAAATTTCCGATAAATTCCGTCAATATAATGAACAAAGAATGATACCGTTGTTAGAAGATGATGAAAATGGTCAATCCATTGTAATACCAGAGCAAGATGATGATGATGATGATGATTCAAATTTGGAAAATGTCAATTCTATAAACATTCAATGTAAGTTTTCAGTATTTAAAAAATACAAATTTTATTTTTAAAATCCCTTTACAGCTTCTCAAGATTTCATTCAACAACTACAACCGATTATGGTAAAGAATTCACCAACACGAGTACCGGGATTATTTCGAAGAAAATCCTCAAAAACCAATGGTTTTGCTCGATCATTATTCACTCGAAATTCAACAGATTCACAAGAATCGAATAAAAGTGATCAATATAGTGAATATAGTTGTAGCCAAGAATCGAATAAATCTGATCATATAATGCCTATAATCGAAGAATCGATTGATAATAATGAATGTGTTTATAATAACAATCAATCACAACAACCAAATGAAGAATCAACAAAAAAATCTGCATTCATTACCGGATTGGAAAAACATTTGGTTGACAAAGTTGTCAATAATGATTTGGCGAAAGACGAAGCAGAGGAAATTATCAAAAATGTACGCAAGGAAAAATTGAACACATTTAAAGATCCAATGATGAAGAAAAAATCACCTAATAATGTAACGAATGCAACATTATTGATCAATGATGAACGATTGAAAGGAATTGAACGAGGTATGATTGAATTGATTCAAAGTTCAATTATTGCCAATCTTGATGTTACTGATTGGTCAACTATAGCTGGTTTAGAGTCGGTAAAAACAGCCATTCGAAAATGTATCATTTTTCCATTGATGCGACCAGATTTATTCATTAGATTACGTGACCCACCAAAAGGTATACTATTGTTTGGACCACCCGGCACTGGTAAAACACTGATTGGCCGATGTATAGCATCGCAGATAAAGGCAACATTTTTCTCCATTACATCAGCTTTATTGACATCTAAATGGGTTGGTGATGGTGAAAAATCTATGAAAACTTTGTTTCAAGTTGCACGTTGTCTTCAGCCATCAGTTATTTTTATTGATGAAATTGATTCATTATTAAAATCACGATCAGATACGGAACAAGAATCGTCAAGACGAATGAAAACGGAATTTCTATCACAATTCGATGGTTTATCGAAACAAACAAACGAAGGTCTCGTTGTTATTGGTACAACAAATCGACCACATGAATTGGATGATGCTGCACGACGACGTTTTGCCGTACGATTATATATACCATTGCCAGATATATGTGCTCGTAAACAAATGATTATCAATAGTTTGAAAAATGAAAAACATTCACTTACCGATGAACAGATTGATAAAATTGCCGAGCGTACTGAATCGTTTTCTGGATCAGATATGAAAAATTTATGTCGTGATGCAGCAATGTATTCCATTTCAGAGATAACTGATCGTCTGACGGAAATCAGCCAAGAAGATATAAGGGCAATTTGTTTCGATGATTTTCATCAAGCATTACAATGTGGAAAGCCAAGTTTTTCTCGTGATGATCTAGCCAAATATGAAAGCTGGAATCAAGAATTTGGAACCAATTGATTTGAATAATGGAGAAAAAAAATTTTCAATTTTCAAAAAATTTGTTTTTTAATTTCAATTTTTTTAATTGTCATTTTTCAACATATTTTTCAAATGAAACTTGTAATCATTTTATGATTAAATTTTAATGAAAATCAATTTTAACATGACCAAAATCAATCTGATAGGCGCGGCACCAAAGACCAAAATGTTTTATATCACGTAGTGTTTTACCAGCTGGCATTTGTAGCATAACAGTTGCATTACGATAACCTTTCAGTGGTTTTAGTGAACCATTTTCATCTGGAATCGGTGTACCGGTAACACCGGGTTTCGGTGTGGTTCCCACCCAGAAAAAAGCATCAGGCGCTTGTCCATCATAATTCAGATTTCGTACGACCAATGTATGATCATTTAGAGCGTAAACTTTACCACTAACACCGTGATCATAATTGGGCAGATCACCAAGAAATGTTTCTTGCTGCTTCTGTGCAATAGCAGTAGAATGGCAAATGAGTAAAATTGGTAAACAGATTTTCCACAACATTTTCAATCAATCAATAAAAACCAAATGTTGAGCAAATGATGATTTGACAACAATGAATGATTGATTTATATATAAAAATATTCATTGGCCATCAACAATCATCACTATTACACCGACCAATTGTCAACGATTCGACAATGACATAGTTGCAAGGTGCAATACTGCACGAACAAAAACATCCTGTTTTTTTCTTCAAAAAAAAAAAAAAAAAAAAAAATTTCAATGTTGTCCATTTTTTTTCTTGAAGAACACTTGAAATTGATTGTATTTTTTTGAAGAAAAAAACTTTGTTGGATTTGATTAAAAATTATCCGAGTTTATATTGATGAAAACACATGGCCACTTTTGTTGAGTAGTTTGACTTTTTTTTTTTTACTAAATCTCATTGACAATGACCAATAATGACGCATTGATAAACGAACTTGAACGACGACGATAATGATGATGATGATGATGTTTTCTTCCTTCTTCAATCAAGGATAACCAGGCCAAGAATAGAAGAAAAAAAACTTGAAAATTTAAATTTTCTATTTATTGTTATTATTAACAGTTTGATTATATGAAAATATTTTTTCAAACATTTTTAGTGGGCGATTGGTGTATAATACAATAGCAAATTTATGGAAAAAATTCATGATGAAAAAACATTTTGTTTTTTGGTTTGTTCTTGGTCATTTATCACATTTTCGTATGAATTCAAATTTATATTCCACAAATGATGAACCGGCCTGTGATTCGGGTAGATTACATGGCTAGATAATGAATTCAAAGACAGAGAAATTATGAAGTTTATTTCAACATAAACAAAAACATACCGAATCAGCAATAACATCACGTGCAAGTATACGAAACATATAAGAGCTACGTTGATAGATACCGATTGGTAGACGCCAATGTGGATTCGATTCCGGTAATAGGATATGATCGGCGGCTTTTTTATATGATTGTGGCAGATTCTCCACACCATAATAGCCGGATGAACATGACACGGGTTTTTCTTTCATTTCACAATGATCCACTTTCATTTCTTGATTCAATCTATGGACAACATTATTAATTAATTGATGAATTCGATATATTCCTGGAAACTTACCCAAATTGAAGTGTAACATATTCCAATTCCATATATTTTGATATAGGAATTATATAATGAAATCGATTACCAAATCCTTGTGTACATTGTAATTTTGTACAATACGAATAATCGATAGTGGCATTCAATTCTAATAATTTGATCATCTCCACCATACGTGCTAGATCTTTTTTCGGATATGCACTATACATATTATTCTGTGTGATTGATGATTTACCCGTTTCACGACGTTTGCGACGTTTACGACGAAATTTTGAATCATGAAAATCATTTAAATTATGAATATCTTGAATTGAACTCGAAGACGATGAATGTGATGAATATTTACCATCACCAAAAGACATTCTTTTATCAGTTCGTTTTTTCTTATTATTCGATGAATTTGATTCAGTTGGATTAAATTTCGAATGATTTGGATTCGATGATGAATTGATTGTTATCGTCGATCCTGAATCTGAAGAATTTGTCATGGTTGTACCATTCAAGGAATTGTTGTCCAAAATTGTTTCATTCATCAAACTAGATTCTTCTGCAGGATCATTAATTTGAAATTTATGATGATGATCAATAAAATGAGATTTATTTGTATCTTTAAGATCATTATTATTATTATTCACCAGATCAATATTGGAATTTAACTGATAAACATGATAATTTTCATCATTACAACAATGAATCGGACATAATGATGATGATGATAGATAATCGTAACAACCATTTGGTGCACCAACTACTTGTGGCTTCAGCACAGGTATAGCTGTTGGTCTTGGATGTTGTTGGTTTCGATCCAACCTATTATCATCATCATATTGTTTATTATCATTTATCAATGAATTTGGATTATTTGAATATTGTTGTTGTTGTTGCTGCTGATGATGATGATTGTTATTTACATTCAAATATGGTGAATGTTTAAGATCAAATGATGGTTGTGATGATTGTGAATGATAATTATTATGATGATCATTAGATGATGATAATAATGTTGTTTGATGTATACTAGTTGCCGATGAAGAATGATGACGACGATGATATTCCAATATATACAATGTCGCTATCGATGCAAGGCTATTTTGAAGTGAAAGAGGAGAAAAAAACAATTAGAACTTTTGCTGAACACATTGATTTTGAAAATCAACTCACCAAAATGCCATAATAAAAATGAGAATCATGATTAATGTTTGAAAAAATCTATTATTACAACCACTGGGAACTTGTTGCGTAGAATTTGAACAAGATTTATGATGACGATGAGATTGTCGATGACTATTATTGTTGTTACGATAATTATTTGAAACACATGTAATCGTACTACCACTAGCACTGGATTTGATTGAATCAAAACGATTGAATTTACTCAATTTTGTATTCATACGTTCCAATTCATCGATACGTGTTTCAAGATTATCGGTAACTTTACACAGCTCTTTTACGGCGCCTAAATTTTCAATAAATATCCGGTCTTTGTTGACGACAAGAAAATTTTCAATTGTTTCACCATCCGATAATACGATATCACCAGTTTCTTTCACTGCTTCGGGAAGAATTTTCTGCACTTCTTGTGCCAAAACACCGGTACCCTCTAGTTCATTGTGGTCGATACCAACTTCTTTAGCGAATGATGGTTTAAATTGATAACGAACAATTCGCATGTTGGAAACATTTTTCAATTGTTCACGTGTATCCACCTCTTTGATATTGGTTTTAGCACGTTTATCTGATGGTTGCATTATGCTGCCGGTAACTTTGGCATTGCCAAACACCACCAATGATTCATCTGGCCGATCAGTATTGATTCCTACACGTCCAGTATGGAAAATGGTTTCTGGCAAGACTCCTTTTTGCCAAACTAATTCCACATCATTTTCAAATTGTCCCGGATTCGATGCCTAATTTGAGAATTTTGATTTTTAAAAAATTTTCACAAGATAAATTTCTAAATACACGTACCCGAACGATAATTCTTTCAGAAGCTTGTGCTGCAATCTGATAGATTTGATCACCAACATGTGCACAAAGTGAAACTACCAGATAAAAATATCTTTGATCCGGATTCGGTTTACCCTTTTTGCGCATATTATTCGACGTTGTTTCACTAAAATGTAAACGTCCAACGGTCATTTTGGTCACATGGTCACAACTTAGTTCGATTCGAACCGGATGAAATGCTTTTTTACTTCTATCCGATTGTGATTGTTCAACTTTTATCGTTTGTGTTGGTGATTCCACTTTTACACCGTAAAAATGGAGATAAAAATTGTCAATTTTTTGAAACACATCAGTCGCTGACAATGTTTTCACATAGAATGGATCAGCAACAATCTGTATATGGACAGTAACTTGAAAGTGATTTTTTTTCTGACAAACAAATGCATCATCTGCATTACTGAAATTGAAACCTTTATCGGCATCAACACGATAACTTATTGTTGGTCTATTCATTCATGAGAACAAAAAAACATTTGAAATGAAATTGAATTGGAAAAAAATGATAAACTTACATTTCTTTAAAATTCAAATCATACAACGGACAAGAAAGATTCGTATTGAACGGAGTGAAACGTATACACTGATAAAATGAATCCGAATACATTTGACTATCTGGTCCATAATCACCATAGAAATCATCAGTTGATTCACATTGTTGTGTTGAATGTACATTATTGCTATTATGACTGCCCGACCCGTTTCCATTATCATTCGAGCCATTTGGATGTGAAACAGCAGCAGAATCCGGTGATAGACCATTTGGTTCTTGTTTGATATAAATATTTGTCGTGTTTGTATTATTGTTTTTCGATTCAGACATTTTACGTTTCTTCCCACTACTATTGTTATTATTGCCCATTGAAACAGTGATCGGTGTAACTGAATTGTTTGATTGTGTTGGTGGTGGTGGTGTTGAATGAATTTGTTGCTGTTGTTGATGTGGTGTGGTCAATGTTGTATAATGATGATGATGATGACAATCAGGTGGTGTAATTGCGATCCGACTTAGATAACCATTATTTGGATCAATAATCATTGGTGTGGACTGTGGATTATGTTGATTTCCATAGATGTTATTATTTTGATGATGATTTGTCGTTGGAATCATTGTAGTAGATTGATTGTTACCACCACCAGTTGTTGTAAGTGAACTAAGATTATGATGTATCATACTGACAGAATTCACTGTTAATGGGCCAGTTAATGATGGAACCACCGTTCCTGTGGCAACACCCAATGTAACCATTTGATGTGATTCCAATACCGATAATTGAGTATTTGTCGTCGTGTTTGATGACGGAATTGTTGGTTGCGGTATTGGTGGTTGATGATGAATTGAATGATGATGATGATGATTAGCTGGAATGATTGGTTCATGATGCTGTACATGATGATGTGGTGGTGGTGGTGGTCCATGATGATTATGAAATGAATGTTGTTGGTGATGCTGTTGTTGCGGTGGTTGAGGTATATGATGATTTAAGCTTGTTGTTTCAAGCTTAATATTATTATTATGCTGATGATGATGATTATTATTCAGATGATGATGATTTGAATAATCATTATTGATAAAATGTTTCATACTATTTTCCATATTGTTATCTTGCTGTTGTGAATTGTTATCATTTGTCGTTGATGTTTCTTGCGTTATTATCATTCGTTCACCATTGGATTTTGGTGAAAATGGTGGTTCGGAACCCGAATCCGGTGGTGAATCCGGCAAAGTGACAATTGAATTTGAATTATTGCAATTATTATTAACAATTGTTTCATATGATTGTTGCTGAAGATGATGATATTATTGCTGCTGCTGCTGCTGTTGCAGTATATTCGGTGGCGGAGAAGATGTTGTACATTCCGAAGATGATGATGTTGATGAAGTGATCAAAACGTTCGATTGATCTTGATAATATCTATGGATCAAGAAGCAAAAGAAAATTATCAGAAATTATTGATCTAGTGAAATAATCAACATACAAATTGTTCTCATTTTGTTGGTGATTGTGATGATGATCATCCACCTGATTAATATATTCTTCCAATTGGCTAAAATCTAATCCAGCATTATCGATACCGTTATCGACATCATCATCATCACCTACAACATTATCGACAGTGGTAGCAGTGGTGGTGGTGGTGGTGGTGATGGTATCCCCAAAATCATCTTCTGCCACACGACCTATGAAAATTAATTTGAAAAGAAAAAATTAATAACATCATTATCATTATCATCATTATAATTAAAAAATCTAAGAGTTCATAAATCATTTCATTAAACAAAACCAACAAAATTTTTTCATCCACAAAAATTCTCTCATTTCAACAACGATAATAACAATGTCAGTGAATGGGATCGATTAAAAATCAAATGATCAGAAGGGAATGAGAGAGGGAGAGTTCAGAATTCATTAATTTGAATATTTAATCTTCAAATTCAAATCATAAATCGAATGATGATCATGGTGATTATACCAATCACTAAACGATACCAGAACAATCAATTACGTGGGCGAGAATTTTTTTTTTACTTTTTTAGTTGGTTTTTTTTTGGTTCATAAAAGTATGACAACAGTGCAAACATCTGAATTCAATCAACGATATTTTTGTTTTTGATTGATTAATTGAATTTTTTTTTTTCCATTTCCATTCAATGATGAATGATCATTTTGTGTATAGTACACACAGATTTGTGTGGGCTAATTTTTTTCAGATTGTTTAGATTGTGGATCAATCAAGAACGAGATCAACTTTTTGATTTTGAAACCAAAATGTTTGCCCTGTATTGTTGTTGTTTCTTTCTCCCATATATTGATTAAATCAATCAAACAAACAATTTTGATCAATCAAAATTGAAAAATTTCATTTTATCTTTTTTTTTGATTTCATTGATTCAATCAATGAATTGTGATAGTGATGATGATGATGATGATGATGTGGTTGTAGGGAATTTCGAAATTCGAATGAATTCAGCCAGAAAACTTTTTTCACTTTGAAAATCAATTGATGAAAAATCAATTCAGGCGAAACAATTTTTTTTTTTTTGAATTATAAATTGTTTTAGCATTATCAGAAAGAAAAAAAAGGGAAAAAAAGTGTTTTGGGTGCGAAAACAAACACTTTTTGATTATAGCCAAAGCGAAAAAATGATCTTTGATGATGTGAAATTCCAAGGTATATGTGTGTGTGTGTGTGTGTGTCAGAAAATAATCCTTTAAAATTGAAACCCTTTGTCAACGGCTTTTTTTTCTCGAAAAAAATAAGATGTTGTCTGTCCGGAACACACACACACACAGAGAGAGAGACAATGACAAGTTTCAAGATTCACATTATAATTCATTCCAAGTTAGAGATAAGATTAATCATCAAGGGAATGGAGAAAAATCCAAGATTTCAGCGGTGATATAATTTGCAATGAATTTACAACAACAACAACAACTACAACAAAGGAAACAGAAAACATGATTTTTTTTTTTGGTGATCACAATTTTGTTTCATTTGTTGAATGAAAAAAAAAAAAATCTACTAATTGGAAGAGAAGAAAAAAACAAAAATCTAAAATTGAAATCTAGATCAACCAAAATGATGATGATGATGATGTGTGGACAAATTTATGGAAATTACCCTACTCTGGATGAATATTTTTTTTCTATTCATAAATTTTAATAGGCAAGATTTGTTGTTTCAAATATCTGTAATATGCAAATGCATGGTTGTACATTTTTTTTTGTTTCTGTGCAATTTGAAACGCATATCGCAAAATGGTCGGTTGATTTTTTTCCCTCTTTATCCAAAACAAAACAAAAAAAAACTACATGATTTCGCAGTAAAATGCTGAACATTCACAACAATATTAGTGGATGGACAGACAATTATTATTCTGTCTAAAAGTTTATCAATTTGGATTTGTGTAACGATTAACCGACAAGAAATGTGACGATAATGATCATTTAATTGATAACCGGGTATTATCATCAGCCATAGATAATACACACACCGATTCATTAAATAAGGTGGTACAAGCTGATTCACTGATGATTTATTTCATTTTTCAAATTCCAAATGATGAATGGACATTTCAACAAATTTCTTTCGTTCTCTTTGCCATTAAAATGATGGACAATGTACATTCCAGAAAAATCAAAACCAAAATCAAGTCTAGACACAAAATCTTGATTTTTTTCCCAAAAAGAATGTTGAATGACAGTTTTTTTTTGGTTTGGAAATTACAAATCATTACGGCTAATGATAATGATGATGATGGTAATAAGATTACAGGCTAAATGAACCAATTAAGAGCGTTTAAAATTTTTTTAAAAAAAGATGTCTCAATACCAAAAAATTGACAATTTATTTTTCTGCCATTTTTGATTTGTTCAAAATAAATATATTTATTTTGAAATACGAATAATTCAAGCAATTTCTCATCATCAACCAAAACAAAACCATCAATTATCTATCTATGTAAATACATTGTCACACTATGAACAAAAATGTGTCTAGGTTTAGATTGATCAACAGTGTTTTTTTTCACCATTTTGATAGACATAATCATCATCTAAAAAAAAAAAAAAACAAAACAAAAACTCCAAAATCCGTCAATCAGTCAGTTCAGTGTCACAAATCAGTGTTTTTGTTTTTGTGTAAATAATTTTTCTAGCAACCACAAAAAAAATAATTGAAAAAAATCCACATCGCATTTCCTACCATGATATCCACCTCTCTATCTTGGTTGACATGTGTTTAATTACAACCTGGAGAAAAAACACCACAAGAAATGGATAGATTCGGTTTCAGCTTTCAAATATTCAAAGTGATTCATACTGGCTAAAATAATTATAAAAGCAGCGAAAAAAAATAAGCCAAAATTTTTCAGCCTTAGTCATCATCATCATTCAAATTGGAATTTACAAAAAAAAAAAAATTCAAATCAACCGGACTAATAATCAACGAACCAGAAAAAAATGACCAAATTATTGTTCTGTTGGTCAATTTGGTCATTTCATCATCATCAAGTGCTAAACTTGAACAAAGATGATTGAGAATAATGAAAAACAAACAAACAAACAAGTTGAAAGAAATAAAAAAAAAATGAAGCCATCATCACCATCTTTTATCCGTTAATTTTTTTTTATGGGAAATTGAAAAGTTTTTGTCATTTTTTTTTCATAATTTACATGTGAAACATTTCATTTTGTTCACATTTTAATTACTCTTTCTATGCATGTAAATGATTGAGAGTTAATTTTTTCATATATAAATTAAATTCATATATTCATAATATACATACGTGATACAGTTTCATATTTATCATCAAACAAACAGGCAAACGATAATAATAAATGTCATCTAATGTCGTTATGAATTATTTTTTTTGATCTTGTTTTGGCTTTGATAAACCAATTTTAAAATGAAATTAAATGAATGGGAGAAAAAAAAAGAATTCTATCTAATCTAGCCGAATCTTTTTCAGAAAAAAAAGAAAAAAAAAAAAATCTGATAATCCAAAAATGAATGCAAAAATCAAACACCCGGTTTTTGGATTTTCAAATGAAAGAATTGGACATTTTTTTTCTTTAATTTTGATCGTTAATAATTCATCGTCATCATAATGATGATTATTTGACAATTGAACAAACAAACAAAAATGCATGTTCGTGATGATGATGATGATGATGATTACAATTTTTCATCAGCATTTAATAACTCACTGAACAAGCGAATGTTTTGTTTTGTTTTGTTTTTCATTCCGGATTTTTTTTCTCATGAAATTTTTATTTGTTTTTGTTGGAATCGGACACATTTCAAATATTCACGCAAACCTATTCGCGTTTTAATAAGAGGCCGGTTTTTTTCCATACAAAATGAGAACAGAAAAAAAAACTTCAACCTCAAAAAGGAAATGGTTTTTGAAAATTTTTTGAGCAAAAAAAAATTCTTATCAAAATCTGAAATCAATTTTTTTGAACGAAAAAAAAAATCAAAATTCAAACTATGGCCACCATGTAAAAAAAAATTTCTGCTATAATTACCTTGTGATTGATGATAATGATTTTTGTTGCACAAACAAACAAATAAATATTGATCACAGATAACGTAACGGACAAATGTAAACCGTTTGACCAAAGGAAAAAAATTCAGTTAATTTCCAGTTACTGGAATCGTACACGATGATGAAAACACAAAAACAGACACACACAAGTCGAACAACAACGATGGAATAAAATGAAATGAAATGAGCCGGAAAAAAAACAAACTTTAAAATGATAGAAAATACGACACCCGGTATTTAATTTTTGTGTACTCGAATTTCATTTCAAAACATCATCAAAATGTTTAAAATTCAAAAGATTACGTAAAACTATCAACGATGACGGTTTATGGAAAAAAAATGTCAATGTAACCCTTTTTTTCAAGGAAGAAAATAAAAGAATTTGTCACATTCGAACAAACGATAAACACGCACGTAAAAACACACACACACAAACATGATTAAAGATTGTCGTCATCCCGAAACGGAAAAAAGAATTCATTCATTACATCATAACATCATCATCGTATAGTGTGGGGTGACGAGAAAGAAAGAAAAAATGTCACACACACACACACACAACAAAGGTATACCTGTTGGTCACTTCATGACGAAAATTAGTCAAATAATTCAGTCAGTTAGTCAGTTGGTCTTTTTTTTCCACTGGATATAATATTTCAATTTTTTTTGTTACTTTTTTTCTTTTTACACAATTAACGCAAAGTGGTGGTGGTGGTGGTAGCAGTGTTAAAGTGTGCTATTATCATTCCACCATTTCATTCAGTTGACATGTTGTTGTTTGGTGACATTATTCAAGTCTATGAATGTCTTTGTCGAAAGGGATAGAGAGCTATCTCTTTTTTGGATTTCTTTCTTTCTCATTTTTTTCGGGTTAAACAGAATGATTCGGAATTTTTTTCTTTTTGGATTTACCTTTTTTTTCTCTTTTTTATCCATTTTGTTTCATCCTTACTGACGATTCAGTAGAGCAAAACGACAACGGCAATAACAGGGAAGAAATGAAAAAAAAGAGAGGAAAATCTGTCAAAAATCACAACGACAAATGACAAATCTTTTGGAAGAAAAGAAAAAAAAACACTGGATATAAATTTTAATTTTCATCTTTTGAAGAAAAAAAAACTTTTTAGAAAGCAGATAATGCAATGTTTGAAAAAAAATTGTCATTGCTTGTCATTTCAGCATCTGAATAATTTTGAGCGAAAATTTTTCTTTTTTGAAATTTGAAATTTTTTTTCAAAATTGGCGCCAAAAACTAATTTTTAAATTTCCTTTATTTACCGTTTTTTTCGCTGTTCATTCAGATTCATTTGACGGTGAAATGATTTTTGTTCTCGAAATGGAAACTTGTTACTTCGAAAAAAAAAACAAAACGACAACAACAGCAAAAAAAATTGAGAAAACTAGACATTTTTTCCACTTGATCTAAAAAGTTGACAATCAATCAAAAAAAAAACACAGGAGAAGAGAACTTTAGCTACCACAAAACCGCAAATTAACCAACCAACCAATCGTTAAATTTTTCAAAAAAAAATTTTTTTTTTTTGGCAACAAGAAAGTGATTTTTTTTTCTTTCGAAAATCAAACTTGCTGTTATAACAATTTATATTATAAACAGCATCGATTTGCAGATCCATATCGATACAACAACATATTGATACAGATATTGGTAACATTTGAAATGGAAAAAAAAATTCGGTCATATCCAATACGAACGAGTTCAACACCGAACATGAACATATTCACCAAGTTCAATCTCTCTGTGTGTGTGTGTGTGTTTTATTATCTATCGAAACTAATTAACTATTTGGTGTTGAACAACCAAACATTTCATTCATTTAGTCGAGATATTCTGATCTCTTCTTCTTCGGCTTTTTTTCCAATGGAATAAAAACTTTGTATCAAAACTTTAATTATTCGAAAAAAAAAAAACAATGGAAAAGAATCTTTGAATAAAAAAAAGCATGAAACGAAAATTGAATTGAATTAAAAAACGAAAAGAAAAATTAAAGTTTGTCAACGCAACAAAAAACAAAGTGAATACAGCACACATACACACACAAGATTGACATCAAAATTAAAGTGTCTCTAGATCGATAAATGTTCCAGTTTTTTTTGTGTGTTTGTGTTCTGATTTTATTTTTTTTTTTTGATTTGATTTTTTTTCTTTGTGTCAAAATAAAATAAGTAAAAAAAAATAAATCAAATAAGGAAGTGTGAACGCGTGTGCACTATATGGATTGTGAATTTTTTTTTTTTTTTTTTTTGGTTGTTGGATCAATTCCAATTGGCAAATCAAAAATTGATTGATTGATTGATTGAAATGACATGACAAATAAATTAATCAATCAGTCAGTCAGTGAGTCGATGAATAATTGAAAAAACATTCTTTTTTTCTATGAAAATTTTGGAAAAATTTTTTTTTTCACTCGAAAAACAAAATTCAAATAACCAACCCATCTTGGCCACAATATGACAAATTGAATCATTTTTCTGAGAAAAAAAAATCATTCAATTTGTCATAAGCGGCGACAACAATAACTTGTACGGCAATTTGTCGCCAATTTCGTCTAGATAGAACCGCCTAAACTATGATTATTTCATTAAAATTGGATAATTTTGTCAAAAAATTTTTTTTTTCGAAAAAAAGCCGACCATTATGATGATGATGATGATGACAATAAAATAATGGAGCCAAATTGATGTTTTTTGTGTGTGTGTGTGTTCAACCAACCTCACAATGAAAAAACAACAAAAACGAACGAACACGCGTGTTCATTTCACATTTCTCTCTATCTGAAAACATTAACTGATTCCCAGCAATGTGAAATCATTTCATTCGAGGTTTTGTGTTTTTTTGAATAAAAATAATTTAATTTCATAATTTTTAAGAGAAAAAAAATTTTTCTTTTTCATCTTTACATTCGATTAACATTGAAAACATTCATTCATTCATTCATTGTCGGAATAATCATCAAGAGAACCATTAGATTATTCACCGACAAAAAAAAAGTTGAAAGAAAAAAATTTTTTTCAAGTGAAAAAAAATCTTTGTGGAAAAAATAACCGATTCTTTTTTTTTTTTTGGTGCACGGGAACCACTACTATACGACAAATGGAGCATAGCCAACAGCAAACAACAATCGAATAACGATTGGTGGCTGCTGATTTGAATCCAATCATCAATAGAATCGAATAGTGATCGACGAGGATTTCGCACGATTTTTCCACTCGTTGCCACTGAACAAAACAAAACAAAAAAAAAGTCAATCCAAAATTGAAAAGTGTTATTTATCTCCTCTAAATAAAGTAACAACCACAATAACCAGACGATTTTATTGTGTTTGGGTCAATCGCGGGTTTTTTTTTTCTTAAATTCAGATTTTTTTTCAATTCAATTGAGATGATGTGTGTGTGTGTGTTTCAGAGCGAGTGTAAAATAAAGTCTCCGATTGAACAATATAACCGATTGATTAGAATGATTTTTGATGCGTGAAATCATACACACACACACACACACACTTATCGGATCTGGAAAAAAATAGATCCAAGGGAAATTCCAATTGGATTTTTTTTTGTGAATTTCCGGAAATTTACTATACACAATAACAATGATATAAGAATGTACAACATGATTTCAGTGGCCAAATGAAATGAATGTTTTTTTTTGATGACATTCTAATGAGATGTTGAAGATCATAATCATCATTTGGACCTGTTTTTCAAATGTAATAAATTAGAGTGACCACGAATGTAGAAAACAACCACATTAAGATTTATGATTTTAAATCAAGTTTCATTCATCATCATGAAAAAAAAAAAAATTCATTAACAGGTGCCATAAATTGTCATCAACCAACCAACCAACTTTCAAATGGTCGTCACTGATGATGGATATATAATTATCGTTGGAAAAAAAATTTCGTTATTTGTATCATCTTGATGATAATTATTTTGGCCAAAACATCCTTCGAGTCTAGTTTCCTATGTTATAAAATAAAAAGGTAAAAACAAAAATTCAAAAATGAACAAACAATGGCGACACACAATGGATTGAAAATGTAACTACCTCAATGAACAACAACTACCTGTTGTCAAACATGAAACAGACAAATTTTTTTTTCTTACAGAAAGAAATTGATTGATCAAAAAAAAACCTGTTGCCATCAAAATCCATACACACACACAATAATTAATTTATTCAAAAACCATAAACCCTTTTTCTTGGCCCGAAACTAATGAAAAATTATTTTGAGAAAAAAAATTTTTAAAATCAAATCTTATCTTGATGGGCCGGCAAGGAAAAAAAATGCACCCAAAGCAAAACCAAAATAAAAATTCGTGAGTAAAATGGAAAAAAAATTCAACTGAAAACAAAAATTATACGGTCATCATCAAGATTTTTTTTTCAATGATAAACATGAAATGAAATATGAATTTCATTTCTCCGCCAAATGTACCAATCAACCATTATACGATAACTTTCAAATAACGTTTAAATGAAGCCAACGATAGAGAAAAAAACAAGGATAACATTCATGTTGATGATGATGATGATGATGACCTTATAGAATTCAGGTAACATTCAAGCAGCAGCAATATGTGTGTGTATGTGTTCATTGTGTTACATTTTGGTAACACATATCATTAAACCTTAAGAGAAAGTTGAACGAACTTTTGAACGTGAAAAATTTCAACGACTAACAACAACAACCGTCAGCCAGCCAGCTACTCACTATGGCTGAATGAATGTTTTGGTTTGCTGATGATGATGATAAACGAAAGAAAAAAAAATGAAGAAAATTCGATGCTATGACGATGATGACCACAGTCTGTCTAAGGACCGCAGCTGCAATAATTCGTGGTTTGGTCCATCACTGGTTGGTATATTGATCATGGTCACCTGTCATCAATTAATTATGGATTCGCGTGCAAAATGATTCATGAAAATGAAACATCTAGTCCATCATAGACATTGTAATGTTGATATTCATCCAGAATTAGCATATAAAAACAAAACAAAAAAACTTGATGTCCATGGTGACGATGACCAACAAATGGCCATTTTCATCATCAACAATACATTATTGAATCAAATAAAGTTTGACCTTTCGAAGGAATAAAAAACAGAAATACCAAATACCTTATGATGTAACACCTACGGGCAATAAAGTAATAACATTCAATTGTGTTGAACAACATCTGTGTCAACAATGTGTGTGTACAATACAACTATCACGACCCTAGAGAGGTTGAAATCTTTAATTTTGAATGAACAGTCTAGCCCAGGTCTGGTCAGTGACCATTTGGTCAAAATAAACAGGTACACAAAGCATAAAGAAAAAAAAAAGAAACCTTCACACAATAACAAGTTCAAGGTTGTTTCAAGAAGGTCATGACATGCATGTCATTTCAAAGAAGAGAGAGAGAGAGAGATGATTGAAAAAAAATTGAACTTGGATTTCAAAATTTTCGAATGTGCAAAAAAAAAACAAACAGAGAAAACTTACTTAAAACAGCTTGTAATGTTTGATCTTCAATTAGAATTGTATCCATGATGATATGGCATTCATTTGGGATTAATAATAATAATCCTATCGTGGGGTCAAAGGTTGCGAGTTAATTACGATATGGCTTCATCATCATCATAAAAATTAGTAGAGCATGAGTTTGAAATTGGTTGATTATGGAATCATTGAGTGATCAAATGTCAATGTCAATGTCAAATGTGAATGTGATGAAAAAGTCGATGACCGTAACTATCGATTATGTCGCAGTCGTCGTGGCCATTTCCATAAAATGTCGTATGTTTAAATTGAAATTGGTAATTTCGAGTAGAAAAAAAATTGATGCAAATAATGATAACACAAAAGCAGCACATCACATTACCGGTTGTCATATAATCACTCGACAATCAATCAATTTAGGTAGGGTTAATATGGTCGAAATGGTCGCACATGTAATTTGAATTCAAATGTTTTCTTTAGAACAACAAGAAAAATAAAACACTTGAAAACGAGAAAATACCGGCGACGAATTTTTTAAAAATTTAGCAGAATTTTGTCACAATTTCAGAAAAAAAATTATCAATTTTTTCAATATCAAACACAATACACATCATCATCATCATCATCGTCGTCGATTTGGCCATTCATCAATGATGATGAACTTTATAGAAATCTGGAAAAAAGAAAATTTTTCCATTTTTTTTTCGGTAATGAAATGAAACTAAACAAAATGGAATTGTTGACTGTTGTGTGTGTGTGTGTGTATGTGTGTGGAAGAAGTAGTTTTACAACTTTCGTTCAATGCCTTCGCAAATAAAAATGATGATGATGATCGTCAAAATCTATACAACAAACTACCGCCAACAATAACGATGATAATGAACAATTTTTTTTTTTTATGAGCGAGAGTTTTTCTGGCTCTCTGACCAAACCCGAACACAAGGTTTGCCATTAACAAATGATAAAATGAACGGTTCCTAGCTGCTGGCTAAAGCTGGTCATACCAGTAGTGTTTTGGTTGTTGTACAACGATGGCATCAACTACCACCACGACGACCATTACCTAAACTTTCAATCATTCGTACACAGACTCACGCACAAACACATCTTGAACTTCAATGTTGATTCGGTTTTTCTTGTTCTTTATGGCTGATGATGATGATGATGATGATGATGTTATGGATGGCTGATGTTTTGTATACCCAAATAACAAGCAACAAGTTATATGGCCAATTGTTCCAGCAACAAAATGACCTTTCCGATTCATTTTTTTTTCATTTCAGGTTCATTTTATGTTCGATTTGGATCATTTGTTGTTGTTGTATTTGATAATTCCAAATGAGAAAGAAAAAAATGATTCATTTGATTGATTGTTATTGTTGTTTTTTTTATATACACAGCAACAATATTTATACAAATTCACAATATGGATTTTGTTTCGGAAAAGAAAAAAAAAAAAAATGAAATAATCATGACAGATGGATCGAAACAAACAAAATTACATGTTACAAATGTGTTTTTTTATATTACACAAATTATTATAATTCAGCCAGTCAGCCAGCCGGTTTCAATCGTTTTTTGTTGGTTGATGTTACAACAAACCAAAGAGATTTTTCTTTATAACATGAAACACACACACACACAGACATATATTTGCAATTGGAAAGAAAAACCAAATCAAATAACCAGCCAAGAAAAATTGAATATTTTTTTTTTTATATCAATTTATGCACGCACAAATAAAATATTTCATTGTCATCATCATCATCATCATCATCATCAAATCAGTGGACATTTCAATTTCATTTTCAATTTAAAGTTTAAAAAGACAAAATTTTCAGAAAAAAAATCAAGTTCAAAAATCAAAAATGTTGACAAAACGAAAAAAAATCCAATTATTATTATAGATAATAATGGTGTGTGTGTATGCATGTTATAATATCAATTGAAATGTATGAATTATCGTAATGATTATGAATAAAATTATGGTGATGATGATGATGACAAATATTCCGGATCCAAATGTGGCTCAAAATAGAATTCTAGTTGCTCTGATGATGTCCATCGGTGTCAGAAATATTCGAATCAAATTGAAAATTTGTTCCATACAATACCCATGGATTGAATCTATAGATTTAAAAACGAAACGAAAAAACAAAATCATTAGTTTAATTTGGGTTCACAATTCAAACCAAAAAGAAGAAAAAACCGGCACAGAACCAAATGCTAACCTGTATAACCAAAGATTAAATGACAAATAAATCAATTATATATACATTTGTGAATAAGATGTTTATTAAGATTTTTCTTTTCACATTTCAACGAAATTTGACAACAAAATTATCAAATTGACTATTTCATTTTTGTTTTTAAAAAAATTATCACAGCAAATGCGTTAATAGAAATAAAAAATTTTTCCAATAAAAACAAACAAAACAAAATATCAAAGATGAGATCAAAGACAGATCAGATTTTTTTTTTTTGAGTGAAATTCAATTTCAATTTGGCCATTATAATAATAAAAAGAAAAAACATGTGTGGCTTGACCATATAAATAGTATAATAATTTTTCCTAACAAGTAAAAGTGTAAATAGGACAAGTGTATTGTAAAATGTATCACACACACAAGCTCATGGCTTACATGGCCATCACAAACAAACCCTACGAAGAAAAAAAAAATTTTTTTGACAAGAATAAAAATCAATTAATAATAAAATGATGTGATTAAGAGAATGATCATCAACAGAAAATCAAATCTTGTCAAATAAAATGAATAAAATGTCTAGAATATATATAAATGACATAGGGATAGGGCCTGTGGGTGGTGGTGGTGGTAGCAATGGTGATGATGATGGCAAGAATGGAACAAAAGCAAATGCATTTTTTTTTTTTTTTTCTGTAGTTGTTGTTGTTGGTTTTGTTGTTGTCGTTGTTATTTTTGTATCAGAAAAAAATGGTGCATAAAAATAAATTTTTGAAATGAAAAATTTTACAAAGAAAAAAATTGAAAAATAAATAAAAACTATCTTTTTAAATGAATCATCATTCGCACACATTAATCTTGTCACAGGATGTGTTTTCGTAGTCAGGAAAAAAAAATAAAGAGTAAAGGAAAATGAAAGAAATAGAGATATAGAGATTTTAAATGTCGAAATTGATAATGTACAGAAAAAAATTTTCAGTTTGTTTGTTTGTATTCGTTATATATGGTTGACAAATTTATCATGATTGTTGATCTGACCATCATCATCATCATCATCATCATTAAAATCATCATCATTGATCATTGATCGTTAAATGTCATGTATATGAGAAAAAATGTCAATAAAAAAAATGGACAACGATATCATGGTCGTCCATAATTGTCATCAGTGGAGAAAAAAAAATTAATAAATAAAATGAATTAATTAATTGACAAGTGGAAAGAAAAAAATCATTTGCAATACAAAAAAAAACATGAGAAACATGACATGAATATATAAATTTTTGAAGAAAAAAAAATCTCAGGAAATGAATGACAACACAATAATAATTATTAAATTATAAAGTAATGATTGAGAATCACCATAAAGTGAAAAATTCAAAAAATGAAAATCGAAGTTCAAACACGAATTTTTTAAAAAAATTCGTTTTCTACTTACTTCAAACAAAATTTCACATTTGGGGGGAAAACATTGATGATTTGACAAATTTTTTTGCGTTGTTGTTGCTGTTTTTCAACTCTTCCATTATTTTTTTTGTTGTTGTGATTATTACATGTATAAACATCATCATTGATTGATTGATTGATTTAGTACATTGAAATTCTTTTCTTGTGGACATGGTTTGGATAAATGTTTTTTTTGGGAAACATTGAGATTATTCTGACGATGATGATGAAATAATTTGTTTTCTCGATGCAGATGATAATTGGTTGGTTGGTTGGTTGATGATGATCAATAGAATGAAGCATAGATGCTAGATATATGGAATTCAAATATAAAATCGAAAAAAACATATGCAGCCAAGAGATTAGTATTATTAATAAAATTATGACGATGATTATGAAGTTGTTGTTGTAATTGAAGATGATGATGATGATAAAGTTGGATGATCCATTGGTAAGATGATTATGTTGTTGTTGCTGGTATCCTGTTCGAGTGGTGATCCAAATTGTTTTATTCAATTTTCTCAAAGAAAAAATTAATTTGATTCATTCATCAATGTCGACCACGATGGTCTCGATCGCGATCTTTATCACGATAACGTTCTTCATAATGTGATCGATGATCGTCATGATAACGGTCACGTGATCGTTCTCGATAATCACGTTCACGCGATCGTGAACGATCACGGCCACCACCTCGTCCACGATCTTTGTGATCTCGATCTCTACTACTACCACTACCGCCACCACCACTACTACGATGTGATGAACTTCCGCCACCACCACGATGATCATCTCGATCACGTGATCTTGAACGCATTAAACGATGATCAGATTTATTTCTTGATGATCCACTACTACAACTTGAGTAGGCTTTCTGTTTGATACCTTGTAATGTATCTTGTAATGTTGATATAATGATTTTGCAACGTTCATCTTTCGATACACGTGAACCTTCAATCAACGATATGGCTGTAGATAGTTTATCAATAGCAGACGAATAATCACCTATTAATTTTTTTTCCAAAAAAGGATAAACATTATTAAATTGTTCGCTACACTAATTTCATGTAATTCCATCATAATTGAATAATTACCAGAAGCTGCATCGGATACCGCTTGTGAAATAACCGTGTTTGATAGATTTTTATTTTTATTCAATATTTCTTCAAATTCTGCTTCACTCATCTGGTGATGATGATGATGATGATGACCTATAGAAGACAATGGATCTAATGAACGATCACCAAACAATGAATGAGCTGCAGCAGCATTCTGGCCAAATGATCCAACACCTAATGATGATGATATTCGACTCGAGAATAGATCACTTGCTCCCGGTGGTAGATTCAATCCAGATTGTGATGCAAACAATGCAGCTTGTACTGGAGTCATCTGACCATGTACACCAGTAAGGCCAGCTAATGATCAAGATAAAATAAAGTAAATCGTCAATAAGCAATTGGATAAAAACAATTAGACTCACCTGATGATAATTGTGAACGAAGATCCAATGACGATTGATTACTCGGTGCATTCAATAATGGTTGGTTTGTAAGTGAACGGTGATTACCTTGATTCAAACGTAACAATGGATTCAATTGATTCGCATTAGCCGATTGTAATGGATTATTACGCGGGCCATTCGACATTAAATGATTATTCCAAGATGATTGATGATGATGATTACCGGATTGATTGGAACCACCACCACCAACAATGCCACCACCAGTATTACCGAATGATAATGTTGGATGTGGCATTGACAATCGGGGTTGAGAATGACCACCACCAACAGAACCACCGCCCGTATTCGAATGATGACTCAATAATGGTGCATTTGGACGCATCGGACGCGGTATTAATGGTGGTCTATGTGATGATTGTTGATGCATTTGATTCGAATTCTGTTGATTATAATTACGATTATTTTGCATCATAAAATTATTCTGATGATGATGACTATTCGATTGTTGTTGTTGTTGCTGCTGTTGGCTACCAAGCCCACTACTACCGCTATTACCACCAGAACTAATACCTCCACCACTATTACCCGATTGTGGTTGTCCATTCATACCAGGTTTACGGCCAGCTTTTATTTCAAAATTATTCAAATTTTGCCGATTACATAATGTTACCATTGGTGATTGATTATGGATGACACTGAAATTTGAATTTTTTTTCGAAAAAAAATGTTAGGTTATTGCTCTTCGAAATCATATCAGTAAAACAATGAATAATCGACTATTTTAATTAACCACAAATTAATTTTTCAATGTTATGGAAGAAATAGTTTATTGTTTTACGAAAAACTATTTCTAACGAAAACATTGACATGATCACAATAGTGATTCAACAATTCACTTACGTTTGTTTCATTTTTTCCAATGCTGTACGAACAGATTGTTCGGATTGAAAATAAACCGTACAAAATCCTTTGGATTGACCATTGGCTCGATTTTCAAAAAATTTCACCTCAATCACATCATTCACATTGATGCTATTTAAACTTTTTATTACATCGTCATCGGTTGTCCACTATTGAAAAAAAATCATCAATATTTATATGGCACATGAATTGATAGAGAAATCAAAAACATACCCATGTTAGATTACCAACATAAAGAGATGGCCGTCGAATTGAGCTACTGCTATTACCACTTCCTGATGATCCATAATGATTCGATGATTCATTACCACCATGTCCAAGTAGACTAATACTTGATGTTGATTGATTATTAGTTCCGGAATTATTTGTTTGTGAATTTGACTGGTTTAAATTTGAATTATTACTGTTGTTATTGGAATTATTTCCAGTGCCATTCATATTCTGTTGTTGGCCATCATTATCGTCATCATCATCATCATTAGTATTATTAGTGTTGCCTGAAGAATTATTTTGGTCTCTTTGATTGGATGAATTACGTTTAGCTGAAGAATTTGATGTCAGAACATCATCATAAAGATCATTATCATTATATTCCTATACATTCAATGTGGGTAAAATGAGAAATGATTTTTCGGAACAAAAAAAAATCAAAAAACAAACCTGTGTAAATTCATCACCAATATCATCGGCATACAGATCTAATTCCTGTCCATCGGATGCCATTTTTATATTATTATTCAGGCGGATTTATATTACATCAAAACCAAATATGAATATCATTCAAGAATATAATACAGAATATTCTTGAAGAAAAAAAATTAAATTTTTGATAATTGAAAAAAATTGAAAAAACAAATATTACAAAATCATGAGCCACACATTGAAACACCAAACACACTCACACACACACACACACACACATAACAAGAGACAAAGAGAAATGATAGTGGCGCTGATAATATATCAAGTTCGAAGCTCATCAATTTGAATGAGAAACATTCGCGATAAACACCACCACCACCACCACCACAACACTCACAAGGAAAGGAAAATGGCTCCGCGGATTATTTTGCTATCACGCATGTTCACGATCACCAATCGGTGAATATTCTGCCATCTGATGGATAAATTATCCGATAGATTGTTGGAACACATTTTTTTTTGCAATCAAATTGTTTTGTTTTTTTTCTTATTCAATTGAATAATGGATCCGAATCAAAATCTGCAGCAAATGTTTGTCATCGATAGTCCAGCGAAAATTGTTAATTTACAAAATTTTTATAAATGTTGTGGTGGACTTAATCAGATTGGTCAAACATTTAAAAATGAACGTGAACGTCTTCGTTTTCGTTTTCGTCCAGATGATCCAAATTCGATACCATTATTTTCGGATCGTAAACAATCGAAAGATTTAGTATTGAAAGTTCGACGTAAACGTAGACCTGATGGTACATTCACTGATTATCAATTCGAACCATTTGGTATTGTGAATACAACATTTCATTTTGAAAATTCGATTTGTGACATGCAATTGTTACCCACTTCAAGGTAATATATATAACTAATTGATTTGAATACAAACAAATTGTTAACTTTACATTTAAATTCATTCAGTGATCTGCGCAATGAATTCATGAAATCGGATTTCATTCTAAATTGTGATCCAGATTTATCCATTAAAAATGATGAAAGTATCACGATGATTAAACAATATTTTTATTCACGTTTTTTTCAACCTAAACAATTGATTTCAATGATGCGTAAAGATGTTGAAAAAGATGACCAACATCAAGATTTAATCCGTAGACTTCGTAAATCACGTAAAGTGAATTTCACCGTTGTACGATGGGATGATGAATCGGTACCACAGTCATTACAAGAAGAATATCGAAAGGATTTTGATAAAAATTTACTGCGTTCAGAATTGGCACCTAAAGTTAAGGAAAAATTCCAGGAAAGACCTTGTTGGTCAAGATATGGCTTGATTTGTCATCTGAAATGTTCATCACTGTTATTACGATATGTTCTGCCTTATACAACTTATTATTTTGAAAACGGGCCCTTTCGTGCCCTATGGATTCCATATGGCTATGATCCACGAAAAGATCCAAAAGCGAAAATTTATCAAACAATTGAAGCACGCGCTAATCGTAAAAGTGATAATACAATACACGCTATCAATCAAATACCTATGAATCAAAAAGGACCAATATTCAAAGATAATACAAATTCATTTCTTGATAAATTTGGTACAAAGTCTTCTGCGGACAACAACAACGATGATAATAACATTGATCCGAGTTATTTATTTCGTCCCGGACAATTATCAACATTGAAACGTACCACATTTCAATTGTGTGATGTAGAAATTGATGAAGTACAACAAATTATACATGAAAATGATGGTCAAGAATATGAATGTACCGAAAAAGATGGATGGCTATCGAAAGGTTCTGTAGATCGTATTCGTGCTATTATGAATCGTGAATTGAATCTTATTATAAATGATACAGAGTTATTGAATGAACATCATGTACCAACACTGGATATTGTGGATGTTTTGCCTGAAAATATTGAAATTAGTGAAGTTTATGATGATGGTTTAGAGATTTATCATCGTTGAAAAATTCAACTCTTTGTGTTTACAACAATTAATCAATTATTATCGTGAAATCACAAGACACAATACAAGTAAGTGATCAACAGAAAAAACATATTAATCAAATGGTCAAAAAAACAACAACAACCAAATGTTGTATCTTCATTTCCATCCATCTCTAAACTCAAGTTCTTCTTCTTCTTCGACAATAATTAATTTTTACCGCTGAAAACATGTTTTTTTCTTGCTTTACTCTAATGATCAACGAAATAAAATCTTGTCATTTTTAATCATTATCATCATCATCACGATTATTGATTTTTTATCCAAAAAAAATGAATCAATTCATCAACGTCATCAACAGGTAATATGTGAGATGAATGAATGATCCGAAAATGGGATTTTCCATGATCTCTTTACTTGCATTCCACCATTCATTGGGCTTTACAATCTGTTCAAATTGATAATTCATCAATCATCATTTTTTTCCATTATGACGTCTGCTGATAAGCAAATTCAACAATAATCATTATTGATGATTCGTGATAGAGATGGTATACTTATATCGATGAATCGTATACCAGAAGTATGAAGAATTGATCATTCATTCATTTATTCATTCATTTCTTTGGAGCCAAAACAAAAAAAATCTTTATATATAAATACTCGCTACACCTTATTTGCCATTTGCATTGATCATTGATTTTGGATTCAATTTCGGAAACATTAATGATGAGATTACAAACTATTCTGCTTCCATTGTTTTTCTTTCTTTTTGGTTTTTCAATTTGTGCGGCAAAAAAATCTTTGTTATTAGATAAGCCTGAATGTACACAGAAACGACTGCAAGAAGTTGATCGAAATTTTCTACGTTTAATTGCCATCGGTGAATTTGGACGTAAATTTCCCGAAAAACATTCGGATTTACCGAAATTTTGCAAGTAAGTTTTATATTAATTGCGTGAGATTTCAAATTTGTTGATTTTATTTTTTTTTTTTTTTTCTAGAGAAACAAATCGATTAATCGATTCAATGATCAAATTCATTTCTGATTGTTATCCACCAGATGAACAGAGAATATTTAAAATTTATTTTTTCAGTGCCAAACGTACGGTTAAACCATTTTGTACGAAAAAACGAACAAAAAAATTGCAACAGTTATTAGAATTGGGTCCTTGTTTAAATACGATAATCAATCAGATTGATTGTCTCGATCAACTGACTAATAAGACACGTGAATTGATTCCCTACCAAATTGGTAGAGATAAAATCAATTATGCTTGCTGTTATTATGTGGATGCATTAAAATGTGCTGAAAATGTTCTGAATATTCAATGTATGACAAATAATGCAAAAGATGTTGTCTTGGATCTAGTACGATCGATTGGTGGTGATATGGTCAATTTTGCTTGTGGTGATTATACGGAATCCACAGATCGTTGTGATCATATTCCACCATTACCGAAAAATAAATTCGATAAATCAGTGAAAGTGGATAAAAAACTTCGATCAATTGCATTTGCACAGATTGGTATGGTGGAATCAATGGATGGTTTCAGTGCAGAACCTTGAAAATTTTTGAATTTTCGTAAAGAATTCTTTTCTAGCCATTTTAAATAATTGATAATGATGATAATGATAAATGATAAACTTAAAATTTGAATGATTGATTCTTATCGAAGAAATTCAAAATGAAATAATAAATCATTTGACGTGATATTTTTTTCTCCATGTGTACATGAAATGTCTTGCGCTCGTGACATTCTTTGATTATCATTTTTTCTGGAATTTTAAAAAAATTGAATAAATTAATCAATCGTAATACACACAAATTACGCATATATTAAATTACGCCATGTTTGTTAAACGTAATTTAGAATGGAAAGAAAACAATTTTTTTCTTACAAAAATAGATGCTGTAATTTTCTCTCCATTTTTCGCTTATCTTATCACACCATGGATAAACCTTGAAAAACCAACTTTACATCAAGTTTTTTTTTGTCGGTTGATCATCATCATCATCAATGTGTTTGTGTTCGTGTATGTGTGTGTGTGTAAAAGGAAAAAAATTGATCATTTGGAAAATTATCGTTTGAAACGAAAAAAAAACAAACAAAAATTTTCATTGTCAAACCAAACATTGGAACAATATATGGATGAAAAAAAAGGCAAACAAAATTGACCGAAAAAATAATGATTGAATGTTTGGCTTGACAATTTTTTTTTGTCAACACACCAATTGATTGTTGTTGTTGTTGTTGTTAATCACACAAATGCTTTGAACGACCGATCGAAGTGTCGGCCATAGTCATATTTGCAATCAAGCAAACCTTGTTTTTTTTTCGTTAACCATCATTATCATCATCACCATCATTATCATCGTACTACAGCCACCACCACCACCAGCAACAAAAACGATAATCTGATCAAACGAACTAATGAACGAATGAAAGTAAAATTTTTGGTTGAATGAAACACATGCACACACACAAACATTGATAAAAAAAATTGATTTTAATTGCAAAATTAATACAGGTTTTCGTGTAAGCGAGAAAAAAAATACAACACAAAAATTGTACATCGTAAAACGAACGTAAAAAAAAAAGAAAACGAAAAGCAATTGATCATTGGAAAATTCAAATCTTGTAACTACTGCATTTAGAAAAGTTGTTAAATTCAAAACTCTGGTGTGTGTGTATGTATGTATGTGTTTGTTTTATGTGTAGTGGTGATGCTTGTAATCCAAAAACATGTTCCAAACGAATAATGCCATTCAACTTTTCACAATTTTCGTCATCATGTTCATGATGACGATGTTTGTTGGATCGTCAATCGAACAGCAACATCTTATATTGAATAAAACGATATGCAATGATAAACGTATTGAACATGTGGATAGACAATTTATTCGTTTGATTGGTATCGGACGGGGTGGCCGTAATTATCCAACGAAAAAAGAAGATGTCGGACCATTTTGCAAGTATGATGTATTTTCAAGTTTGAAAACGAATGAATTGAATCATCTTTTTTTTCTTCTTATTGAATTGAATCAAGGGAAACTGATCGTATAACAAGTGATGTAGAAAAATTTCTAAATGAATGTCTTCGTGATGATGCTTCTAGTGTTAGTAAAATTTTTCTTTACAGCACTAAAAGACATTGGAAAACATTTTGTAGTAAAAAACGGCAAAAAAAACAACAAAAATTATTACAAGTTTCCAGTTGTTTCAATACGATAATCAATCAAATCGATTGTCTAGAAATATTTGCCAATCGTACACGTGATTTAATACCATATAATATTGGTACTGATAAAATTGATTACATTTGTTGGTAAGAATCTTTTTCTTTCTTTTTTTTTGACTTTGATTTTTTTTTCATTATTCAGAATTTTCTCATTTTCAGTAATCAAGTGGAATTGATGCGTTGTGCTGACCGTTCATTAACGATACCGACTTGTATGACCGACACTGGCCATGAAACATTAATGGAACTATTTCGTTCAATAAAAGGTGATATCGTTAATTATGGTTGTGGTGATTTCAATGAATTCACTGATCTTTGTGATAAAATGAAACCATTACAAAGGAAACAATTGGATAAGACCATAGAAATTAATCGAAAATTGAAATCATTCTTTTTCGCCGTATTCATGGCAATTGATTCTATTCAAACGAAAAAAAAGTAATCACTCATCATCATTGTTTTTTTTTTCTTTGGAAATTTTAAATTTTTCAATTCATTCATTCATTCACTCAACAACAACAACAACAACAAATTCATTATTACACAAATTTCATTCAAATTTTTATCTTTTTCAACATAAATTCCTAAATCATTAAATAAATTTTTTTTTTTTTTAAATGACAAATCAATAAGATTAATAAATGTCTAGAATGGAAGATTTTTTTTTTAAATTTTCCATCATCAATGGTTCAGCAAAAAGAAAATGACACCGAATGCAATGCATATGATTATTATGTTTATGAAAAATAAAAATAAAATTAAAAATTAATTAATAAATCTTGACAATAAAATGGAACAGAGGCAAATTAAATGATGACCAATGATGATGGTGATGAAGATGATGACGATGATACAGAAAGGAAAACCAATTGTTTGTCAAATATGAATTTTATAAATTGAAAAAAAATGGTCAACAATAAATTCAAATAAATTGATTGATTCTGATTGTTGGTGAAATGAATTATGAGAAAAATACTTTGTTCCATTTTGTGTGATTCAATTCACAATTTCAGCATTATTATTATTGGTGGTTGTCGATTTATTGCCATTATTACCATTGACCAATGGTTTCATTGAATCGGGAATCGGTGTAATTTTACGAAAACGTCCTCGTTTACGTAGTTCTTCTTGTTGACGAACGGCGACAGCAGCCACCAATGCAGCACCACGACCACTACCATCTTCAGATAACATTAGCTCAAATTCTACGCCTGGATTAACTAATTCCAGAATTTTTTCATTCATCACAGTTTTGAAATTTGGATGATATTTAAACACCGAACCATCAATACCAACAGTTGTGTGTGGTCGATTCAAACGATTCAATAAAGTAGCAATTGCAGCCGATGCTAAATGAGCTGCACGTAATGAAATACGATGACAAATCATTTTGATGCCTTCATAATCTTCCTTAGTTGCATGCGATAGATTCATTTCTTCACATGCTTTAATTACATTGGTAAAATCACCATCTGGATCACCTTCGATTGCCGATACATATGCTGATTTAAATAAATGTGGTGTGAACAGTTGTGTGGATCCTTTACCACCAAACAGTAAGCCACGACGACAAAGATCGGCGGCAATACTCCGAACTAATTCGCCCATATACATGCCGGAAATCATTTTTTCAAATCTAGATTTAAATTTAAATTTCAAAAAAATGGTAAATTCTCAAGTTGAACAGATTATTACAACTTACAATTGTCGTCCTTTATTCAATGAATACGTATTCACTTCATCATCCCAATCGGTACGGAAAAAATCCAAAACACCATTATCACCGAAAGCACCCCATTCAGCGTTGACAATCACCTGATCAGGACCGGGAAGATCTTCATGGAATAATTCAGCATTTTTTTTATGTTCCATATAACAAGCATTGAAACCAGTGCCAATAATAACACCGACACGACATTCACGATTTTTATGTGCACATGACATCAACGTTCCGGTAGTATCATTGACAACAGCCATTACATCGATATCAATATCACCACGACGTTTTACAGCTTGTCGTAACAGTGTGACAACATCTTCGCCTTCAACACCGGAACAACAAAAACCTTTTGTCCATGATACTAATCGGGCTTTAGTTAATCCTTCTTGACGGCATGGAAAACTAAACGTGAATCCCAATGGTAATTTCATATCTTTGATATTTCTTTTCGTCATAAATGTGGACATACAAGCAGCAATATGATCAAATAATTGTTCACCAGTACCGGTCATAATTTCCACTGGAATCGAATAGATTTCATTATCCATAGCAAATTTTTCACCATCAATATCGATGACTAATACACGAAAATTTGTACCACCAAGATCGAGAGCCATAAATTTTCCTTTCTCAGTGCCATCGGGTACATCACGGACAAATGTTGGATAACATTTAACACTTGCAATTGGATTTGTTTCACGCCGTAAACCTTCATTGATTTCATTGAGTAGAAGATTTGAAATTTTTGATATCTGATCATTGGTCAACACCAATGAACGTGTGGCAAGATCAATCTGTTTTTTTGAAATGAAAAAAAAAATTTTCAGAAAAAATTAGTAAATAATTCATGCAAACAAACATACAGCATTTGATTTGGACATTTTTATTTATTATTGCACTTTTTGAGAATAAAAACAAACAAACAGAATAAATTCCTAGAAAAATGTTTGACCACAATGTCTGGCGGTTAGTAACCGAATGCGGCAGAAACTTTCAAGAATCTAAAATCGAACCACAACCACAATAATACTAGGGGATTCCAAGGTTGGACGTTTGACATTTTAGAATACATTGGCAAACTCAGTCTACTCACTAACTAACAGTCAAAGAACCAAAGAATCTCGATACTACTACAACTACACGGAATCGATTCATTATATAAACACAATCTGTTGTATGGGCTATACAGCAGCAGTATATAGACAGTGACCGTCTGAGAATTGAATGATTTGATAAGAATTCTGTTCTGTTTTTGGAAACATAGTCCTTGACTTTGTTTTCGATTAAAAATTGGAAAATTCAAATTTGTCGGGAGAAAAATGCCAATAAATAAAAAAAAAAACAAAAACAAACCTTTCGTTGAGCATCGGACATTTTTCCAGGCATCAGGATATACAATTGATGAAGAAATTTTTCAAAAATAAATTAATGGATGATGATTTGTTGTTGTGGACACAAAGTATGAATAAATGAATGAATGAAAATTGCAAAATCAAAGTCAATAATTTCCTATACAATCAAGCAAACACACACACACAGACGATTAAATAAATTTTTTATTTGATGATGAATGAATGAATGACGAATCGTAAATGATTGTAAAAAGATGAAAAATTTTCAAATTGATTTTTTTTGTAGATGTCGTCTTTATCATATATATACCGTTACGCGTTACCAACAAAACAACGATTTTTTTGAACTAAACATCCAATAAATGAATGAATGTCTTGTGACGATGATGATATGATTATATTGGGTATATGTGTGTCTTCTTTTCAAAAAAAAAAAAAATTTTGTTTTCGAATGAATGATGATGGTACCTATGTATGAATTTTTTTTCTATACAAAAAATGAAGTGAAAAAAAATCGTATACGTCATCATCAATCAATGTGATTGTCTTTGAATGAATATATAATGGAAAAAATTCTTACCATTTAAAAGTGATTTCTAGAATGATGATGCAATTGATCATCAATGTTACTCGAATCGAATCTAATCGAAATGATAAATGATTGAAAATAAATCAATATCTCACCATAAACACTATTGGGATTAATTTTTTTTCAGAATGAATTTAAATTATGATGATGATGATGATGATGATGACGTCAAAATTTCCTATATGCAATCATAATCATCATCAGATATGACAAAAATTGTTGCTTTGATGACGACAAAAAAAACGGAATTCAATTGTCTGTGATGATGATGATGATGATGATGATAAGGATGATGTGCCACAATTCAAATACAGATGATGTTGTACTCAGTTCAGTAAGATTCTCTATATAGAATCTGTGGCTCTAGAATCCTCTATATACGATAGAATTTTGTTTGAAATGACGATGCATATTTTTATTATCAAACCAAAGAAAGGAATGACGATTTTATTTTATTTTTTGCTCGATTGTCGATGGTGAAAATGTATAGGAAAAAAAATTGGCGCCACATCAGATGCAAACAATAGATGATGATGATGAAGATGATGAAATGAAAATCAACCAAACAAACGAAAAAACAGGCTCAAAGAAAACAAACAAACAAACAAAAAAAATGATCAATGCCACAAAATGCCTTTTCTCTCATTCTCTTGCTCAAACTTAATGGCTGTTATTATATGTGTCTGTTGAACACATTTTATTTCAATACCGGATTTTCAAATGATGATAATTTACAATGGTAGTAGTGGTGTGGTGTGGTTTGTTCGGTGACCACCACCATCATCATCATCATCATCATCATCCGTATGGCTATGGTATATGAAAATTTTTCATTTTGTTCTGTCTGTATATATATATTGCCAATTTATTGGTTTTTTTACTTGTTTCGCTTACTATGTGTGTGTGTGTGTTTGGTATGAATGTCATATTCAAAGTTAAAGTTTATTGAAAATTATCGTTGGTTGTTTCAAGACAAAAAAAAACAACCATAATTACCATGTACACGCGTAAATTTTAAAATGCATGCATGCATTTAAATAATTTCTATACATTTGTATCTTGAATCTTGATTGATTTCAATTGTCGATTGAATGGATTCGTTTTTTTCTCTTTGTTTGTTCGTTCGTTCGTTTGTTGTTATTATTTTTATTGTACAGGTAGTACACTTGACCTTTTCACTCGTGATTACGAAAACAATAACAACATTGATAATGAAAAACATGACGATAAAACAAACAAACAAACAAATGAATGAATGTAAACGGTAAACAACGTGAATCAGCAGAATATTTGTCTGCCTTTATTAGAAAATCAATCAAAAAAAAAAAAAAAAAAGATTCATCAAACACGTCATTGTTACGTATCGAAATTCATCCATATCGATCAGAATGATCATCTGATAATCTGGATAGATTTTTCAAATTCATTTTATTAATACCACAATTTTTAATCGATTTGAATATTCATGCAACACATTCATTTAAATTTATAAAATCTTGGTTCTTGTTTTTAATCTAAATGATTGAAATAGTTGAAACAATTCGTTTTATATATCAAATCTATTAATAGACAGACATTTTTTTTTGTTTACGTTGCTTATATGCCGGTTTTTTTTCACTTCTCTCACTCATCATCATAATATTCGAATATTTCTTCTATAGAATCTAGATATAGAGAATGGCAACAACAACAACATTCTTGATGTTGAATTTTTTTTTCCTAACAATAACATTGAAAAAATCATACGATTCATTCATTCAAAATAACAATCAAATTCAGATTCTGCGCTCAAGCGAAAAGAATTTGACCCGCGAAATAATAATAATAACCGGTATTATTATTGATCCACCATAACTGACGCAATATATTGCCAATGATTGGTGAATATTTCATCATCAGCTGAAAAGAAATTTCCGCATTTTTTTTTCTTGAAATATTTTCATTGAATGAAATGAAATTATTCAAAAATCAAATCGTATCATGATTTTTTTCTATCTATCTATCTATCAGTACATTATTATCATTCGATTGCTTGTTCGGATCAATCAAATCGAATCAATGTATGACAAGTTTGATATCATATCATTATGGTGTACATATTTTCACTATCAATGTTCGGCTTTTTTTCTGATTTTAATTAGTTTCAATCTTAATATGAAATATTTTCGTTGTTTTTTTGTTGCCAATAATTGATTTGTGCCTAAATTGTACTGCAAAGTTCAATTTTTTTTTTACTTTTTTTAAATCACAAAAATCGCTTATCAATCAATTATCGATTCAGAAATCAGGCATATCGTTTGTGGGGTCATGTTTCGTCGTTACCTCATCAGAATTAAACAAACAAACGAAAAAAAAACATTTCACTTTGGAAACCAAGGTTTCACCCTTTTTTTTATTTCCACACACACACACAGACAATTTCAACAATTTTGTTTGTCGATTTTTTTCCGTTTGATTTCCGATGAAAAAGACAGACAGACAGCCAATCGATGAGGAAGAAAAAACCGGATATATAAGATAAAATGAAAAATTTATTTACAATGAACGGAAAACGGAAATTATTTATTTATCACTATCACTATCTTGTTATGTCGAATTTGATGATGACGATGTTGGATCAGATTCAGATGATGATGATGATGATGGTGACGACGATGATGGCGGCATCTGATTTTCAGATTTTTCATCATTTTGATTTGTTGCTGATGTACCATCATCATCACCAGATGTCGTATCAATCAATGAATTTAAATCCAATTGTTCAACAAGATTTTTTTTACCATACGGTGGTTCTCCAATCAATCGTTCGATATCAGTATAATTTAAAACTTCTCGTTTCAATAATTCTTCAGCCATTAGTTTTAATTTATCACGATTATCTTGTACTAATTTTTCTGTATCTTTGTATGCTTGTGCAACTAATAATCGGGCACGTTCATCAATTAATCGAGCCAATTTTCTGCTGAATGGTTTACGACCAAATTTATTCTCTTCATAATCAAAACTAACGTTTCCGACCAATGGATCCATGCCGTATACCTGGATTTTTGTATAGGCTAATTTTGTCACTTTATTCAAATCATCCTGAGCACCAGAACTAACATGATTGAATGTTAGTGCTTCAGCAACACGTCCACCAAGGGCCATACACATTCGTTCATATAATTCTTGTTGTGTATAAAGTTTACGATCAGATGGTAAATAACGTGAAAATCCCAATGCATTCGTTGTACGTGGAACAATTGAAATCTTGAGCAAAGCATCCGTATTCGGTAATAGCCATCCGACCAGTGCATGGCCACATTCATGAAATGCAATGATACGTTTTTCTTGTGGTCCCATTACATCGGTACGTTTCTCTGGGCCACCAACAACACGTTCAATAGCAATTTCAAGATCATCTGATTGTACTAATTTTTTGTCAACACGTGCAGCATGTAATGCAGCTTCATTACAAACATTAGCAATATCGGCCCCAGAAAATCCAGGTGTTAATTGTGCCATACGTGTAGCATAGAATTTGGGTTCTTTTTCCGATTTTATCGATTTAAAATGTGAAATAAATATTTCTTTTCGTTCTTCTAGCGTTGGATAATCAATAAGAATATGACGATCAAATCTTCCCGGGCGTAATAATGCACGATCCAAAATATCGGCACGATTCGTTGATGCTAACATTATAATTTCATCACGTTGACTCATACCATCCATTTCAACTAGCAATTGATTCAATGTTTGTTCTTCTTCACCACTAGATCCACCACCAGCGATACGTTCACCGCTACGTTTACGGCCAATTGCATCGATTTCATCAATATAAACAATACATGGTGAACGTTTTCTGGCTTCAGTAAACAGATCCCGTACACGAGCTGCACCTAATCCGCCGATCATTTCAATAAATTCTGAACCATTTATAGCCAAGAATGGTACCGATGCTTCAGTTGCCACAGCTTTTGCGAGCATAGTTTTACCACAACCAGGTGGTCCTAAAAGTAGTACACCTTTCGGAATTTTTGCTCCTAGCATTTTGAATCGTTCAGGTGATTTTAAATAATCAACAAATTCCATTATTTCAACTTTTGCTTCTTTCAGACCGGCTACATCGTTGAAACGAACACCTTTACCATCGCCGATTAATGGATCGACAATAGTGAATTTGGCACGTCTTAGATTGGAAAACATATTCGTTCCAATCATCTGCGATTTTGAACTATTACGCATAAACATTGACACAATTGCACCAAAAACCAACAATGACAACAGAGCGAACCAAACATTTTCTTGATTTCGTTCATAAATAATCTGAACGGATTGATCAGGTTTAATTCCCAATCGAGCTTCAGCTTCACGTAATCGTGCTTCAAATTTTTTCACGTCAACGATATTCATATGATATTGACGAAATGGAGCCTTTTTACCCCGAATAATGGCATCTTCATGCAAGTAAATGGTAACTAAATCTAGATCCGGTTTGACAACGATTAATTCTACTTCTCCTTTGGATAACATTTGATAATAGAATTCATTCCATGATACGAAACGTAATACATCCGGTTTATTGGATGGTGGAAACATTAATGATACAAATGTTATTATCGTATAACCGAGGGCCATCCATACTAGGCCATATGCCATCAGTTTTTTATCATCACGATTCGGATCATCTTTATCGTTGTTGTTGTTGCTGCTGCTGTTGCGGTTATTATCACCGCTTGATTGTTGTCGACCACTTTTATTCGATTGTCGATTGCCATCGTTGTACCGAATTAACGATTTTTGAAGATTAATTAATAATTTGATTGATTCGGGCCACAAGACACGTTTCCAGACATTTAATTCCTGATGAATTTGTTTCCGTCGTTGTTGTTGACCATTAAAATTTGAATCGATAAATTTCATCGAATGAATCACGGCATAAAAATTTTGATTCCTTTTTGAATGCAGAATTTTCGCCGTGATTGCAAGAATTCTGCCCATTGCAGATTGTTGTCGTGATAATAAAACAAGATGATGTAACATTTTTGAAATCAAAATCACATGAATTTTCCAAAGAAAAAATCGAACTAAAAAAACAAAACAGATGATAATTCTGTGCTGCCATCTATCAGGCCAATTATTTTCAATTCGAACATCAACCATTCTACAATTAATTAGCAATTTGTATTGAATTACACGAATACGATAAATCCATCGAATGAACGACAACAAAGAAAAATGAATTTCAAAACATCACTATCATCATTAAACGGCTTAAAACATTTTTGTTCCATCATCATCATCATCGATAACAATGATCGGCAAAACTTTGATCTTCATCATCATCATCATTACTGCCATTCACAAAGCCAAGTATTTTTTTTTTTTTTTGTTATTTGATCATATTACAATTAACATGGTAAAAATTACGAAATTCAAAAATTTTTCTCATCCTTTTTGATCATCATCAGAGTATACAGAACAGTGTTGAGCATTAATACAATTAAATAAATTCTAGTGAATTTTAATTATATAAAACACATGGATAGATAGACATTTCATCGACACTTGCACAAGAGAAAAAAATTATTTCCATTGAAATTTACTGTTCAAAAATTGGTGTTAGTTACAACCATGGGTGTTAGTCTCGATGTTAAGGATCAATTTTTGTTTGTTTTTTTTTTCTTTTACTTTGATGATATCATTCATTTGTAATTTAATGACTATAACAAGTCTATATATATCTACTCTATATTGAAATTGAATTGGTGCTTTTTTTTCTCTCGCTCGAGATTTATTATCTATCAATGATGATGATGATCATGATCATGATCATTATAATGGAATCTTCTAAACATAATAAGTGTGAAAAATGTGTTTTGTAATTGGAACACACACATATATTGATTCTATCGATTCCAGCAACAACAACAACAGAATCAAAAGATCTTTTAAAAAAATGTAAATCTTCTTATAATGAGATGGACTTTTGAGAGTAAAAACATTTTCCTTCTTCTATTGATGCAACGTTATTCAAAAAGCTTTTCGATTCAAAATCTTTTCCTTTGTAGTTTACTTGCTTGATTCAATCATTCATCCATCGATGATGATGATGATAATACATCCAAGGTGTTAATGAGAGTTTCACTTTTTTTCTCTCTCTCTCTGTGTGTATCGGGTATCATTTTCGTTTCGCTTACACTTATACTTGATTTGTCACCAAATTTGTCAATTGAACGAAAATTGAGCAATGTGACATTCTATTATTTTCATGACGATGTTTGTGTGTGTGTGTGTAAGTTTTTAATAATTTTTGTTGCATGCAATGAGCCAACAGATAAAAAAGTGATATATTTAATAGTTTAAAAAAATGGTCAAATTTTTTTCTGAAAAAAGCTCTGATTTTTTTCAATTTTTTTGATCAGATTTTTTTTCTGTCTCTGGCTCACTAATTGGAACACACACACACACACACACGCACAATTGTATTCAGCCTAATTGTCTGTTAATAATGGGATCGTCGTCGTTGTTGTCATTGTGAATTAATAAAAAAAACTACTCGACGACCAATGTCAAGTGATGATGATGAAATCCGCAATGTCAATCATCATCATCATCATCATATTCAAACAACAATAACAGCAAAACAATCAACAACTAATTAGAAAGTTGAGAGTGAAAACTTGTTCAATTTTTCTTTGTGATTCAGATCATCATCATCATCAAAAAAACGCTTGAGGGTAATAATTTTCAATTGTTCATTGATGATGATGATCCATATAAATCAGCAGCAATTACATGGCCAATATTACTGCAATATGGATCTTTTTTACTCATCATCATTGATGTGTTCCAGAAAATAGCAAGGGGGTGGTCAGTGTGCACACTGGTGCCAGTCATTTCAATTTGTTCAGATCACTAGTGCTTGATGATGATGATGATATATTGCTTCAAGCATTAATCATTCTCAAATGAAATGGAAAATGGAAATTCTGAATTCAATTGACTTGAAATGAGAATGTGAAAACTTTTTGTTTTGTTTCGTCCATTATGGATATTGTTGTGTCATATGTCATCATCATCATTAGTGAATTTTTAGGGTTTTCAAACTAAATGCTGTTGTTGTTGTCGTTGTTGTTGGAGACTCTTGACTCGTTGATTCACATGAATGTTTTTTTTTCCATTGCCCAGGACAGAATTTCTGGTGTTGTATCGATTTGAAATGAATTCGAATCAATTTCGTCGTTTATTAGATTGCTGATTTATTCTGTTGTCGTGATATAAATAAATTGATTTATAATACATTTCATTTCATTTTGAAATTTTCGATTCTGGAACAAAAAAAAATTTTTTTTATTTTTGTGATTCAATTTTGTTCATGGTATCACAAAAATTGAACAACCAGGATACCATTCATTCAGTTTCAGTTTTTTTTTGTTTCAAACAAACGAACAAAAAATTGAAAATGATTGAAATCAAAATTTGATTTACTTATTATGATCATCATCATCAATTGATTATTATTGTAGCAGATATGAGTATTTTTGTTTGCAAAAAAAAAACTAAATTGAATATGTTTTTTTGAAAAAAAAGTAAATTGTCTCTCTTGCTCTCTTTCCGAATACATTGTTTGCCCAATTTGATCATCATCAATTTTGATTCAATTTGTTGTTGTCGTCGTCGTCGTCGTCGTCGTATATCCAATCATCATCGTTTCGATCAAATCAATCGTTTGTAAACGTAAACGTACCCGTTTTTTTTTGTTTGTTGATACAGTTTCTCTGTTCCATTCATAGGGCCTACCAGTGACTTTTTTTTGTTATTATTAAACAACAACAACAATAATAATAATAATGATATATATGATAAAAGTGAGTGATGAAAACGTGCCTAAAGCATCGAATGATTGAAAATTGAGCAGGAGAAGAGAATCTTTGTTTTCCGGTAATTTTTTATTCTATGAAACATTGAACATTGTCTTTTTTTGACAAAATAATGTCACAACATTTGTTACCTTGACTAATAATGATGATATGAAACAAAACAAACAAAAAGAAACATGAAGAGATTCGACAAAAAAAAAAACTTGTTATCTGATTTGTCTCTCTCTCTTTTTCTACATTCTTGATTCTGTTGTTGTTGTTGTTCGATTTTATTATAACACAACAACAACATCATCATTATTATTATTAGGAGATAGAAAAGAATATTCCTGTTTACTTCATGTTATGTAATGTTAATACGATGATGATGACAATTCAATTATTTAAAAACGATTTTGAATACTCTGTTGTTGAGACTAGTGGATGATCAATTTTTTTTCTTTGGCCAAAAAATCAATAAATCACGAATTTTGTTTTTGTTGACGAAAAATGAAAAAAAAAATTCTTGGAATTTAAAACTGACAAACTGCAACAATAAATTCATGAAAGGTCAATATTGAAAAAAGATTTGATTCTTTGTAAAAAACAAACAAAATAAAACAAATTGAGAAAAACAGACAACAAATTTATTCTTTGAACCGAATTTTGTGTTTTTGAAATTCAACACCATTTTATTTCTGTGAATGAATGAATGAATAATGATTATGATGATTATTTGTACTTAAATGGACCAATTACTGGACCAATGAATGAATGAATGTATGTATTAGTTAGGATTATCGCCCAAAAAAAAATGATGATGATGATGATTGTAATATATGCAAAATGGAAAATGGAATTTTCGTTTGGTTCCATGAAAAACAAACCGTTTATTGATGATGATGGAAAAAAAAGGTAATTTGAGTAGCCAAAAAATGGCAAAAAAAAATACTAATGATTTCTAATAAGCTTCATCATCATCATCAAACTTTTTTTCTATTTTCCAAATTGAGCCATTGAGAAGATTGAGTTATTATCTCATGGATTAATATATGAAAAAAAATGGATCGACAGAAAGATCAATCGTTATCGTTTATATATACTATAGATGTAAACGTAAAATCTACAATCATCATCATAATTGATTGTGTCATAATTGTGTGCCACATATAACAACATGACCCGTGACATGACCTAAAATTGACGAAAAAAAAACGATGCAATTTATACATGTGTGTAACCTGATATCAGTTTGTAAAAGATTCACATGGGCCATTTTTTTTTTCATTTACGATTGCATGTGTCATACAATCATTCAAAATGTCGGATAATGTGTGTGTGTGATTCACATCAAATGACAAATTGGCCATTTAAAAATTTCATTTCATGTTTTTTTCTTGTTTTTTTTGTTGGTTCATTGATTGTTGTTGTTGTTGTTGTTGGTTCCCGTGAATCCAAGATGTATATAATACATAGAACCATTTCATTTTTAATGGCCTAAATAATTCGGTTTGATGATTGTTAATGTTTGACACATACAAACACAGTCCATAGAGAGACAAGATTTTTGATGTTCTGGGTGCTTAGAAGAAAAAAAACCAACCACAAGTGTGTGTGTGTGTGTGTGTGTGTGCTGACCAATTTGGATGACCACATACTGATGGCAATGTTTGTTGATCCAGAAAAATTTTGGAAAAAAAACAAACAGGGAAGAAAAAAAAATCAATCAATTCCATTAAATGGGGATTATTTAAGGAATAAGCGATATTTAGTGATTCTGAAATGAAATGAAAATTCCGAATCGATTGATATTCTTGAGGATGATGATGATGATGATCATAATTTGTTCATATTTTTTCCAAAAAAAAGATTCATTCGAGAAGAAAATTTTTATAACGCGAAACACGTTTATAGGGTAGAATTTTTTTCCATCTAAAATTGATCATGTAAAACACACAGAGACGAATGAAAATAAAACAAGGAATGAACAATGTGATAATGAGAGCCATATAGTCAGTCAATTGTCATCTTCTATATATAAAGCTGATGCTGTAACAACGAGAACAAATTACATGAACAAATCATTCTCCTTAACATCTCTATTTCATTGTCATTATCATCATCATCATCATCATCAATGATTCAATGATTCGTCGTCATCGATTCTGTGTGTGCAATTTTGCCATCATCCAAAATCGATGATCGACCAGTTTTTTTTTCGATGGAAAATTTATTCAACAAAAAAAAAACAGTTAGACGACAATGATGAACAGACGAGTTTAGGGCGGTGACGAACGATTCAATCGCAATCATGCTATATGAATCAAGTATTTTTTGGAACACACACACACACACACACACAGATTAAATGATCAGTCAGTCATTTATTCTTGCTTTCATTTTCATTTTTCGATTCTTTTAGATTCAAACATTCAAACAATCAATCATCATCATCATCATCCATGATCAATGGAATTTATCATCGTCATCATCATTTCGTAATGGATTTATTGTTGAATGATACGAATTGTAAAATTTTAAATAACACAAAGAACAATAATAAATTATCATCGACATCGCGATCATCATCGACAGCTGAATCACCACCGCCATCATCATTGATTGATCCATTGAATCGAATTGTAAATCATCATCATCATCATCATCATAATAATTATCGATTATCGAAAATGGCTGTGGCATCGACAACATCCATACCATCATCATCATCAACATCGTCATCTTTTTTTATTAAAGATATTCTTTCATCATCATGGTTTGTATTTTTGGTGCATTTTTGTGCTGATTGTTTTGAATATTTTATTTCACAAATAGCAAAGCAAACAAAATTAAATTTCGTTCATATAATCATCATGAATCAATGACCAACCAAACAAACGCATCTCGGTCACCAAGTCCAGTGAACAATCAACAACAACAACAACAACAATCACAAGTATCAAAGCCATTATTATTGAAATTGGATCAAAATTGTTTGGAATCTATAACGTCAACTCAATCATCACTATCGTCGACATCACCAACACAGCAACAACAGTCGAATAATAATCGTTTTGATTCAAGTCCAATATCGAATCAGGATAGTATTGCCACGGGATCAGGTGGATCCAATGGTTATAGTCCAATATCCGGTATACAACACTTTGGTGTTCAACCATCATCATCGACATCAACGGATGCTGCTGCTTCTGCTGCTAATTCACATACACAAATAGCAGCAGCAGCTGCTGCTGCCGCATTTTTTGGTGGTAACAATTCATTAGCCGCTTTTCTTCAGCATCATCACCATCATCATAATCATCCACCACAACATACAACAGCCGGAAATGGTACACCGAATTTTTATGTTGGATCTTCAGCAGCTACCGCTGCCGGAGCTCAACATTCACATCATCCTCAACATCATCATCCGCATACACATCATGATCTAATTCTACAACAAATGCAACGTGCAGCTGTTGTTGCTGCCGCAACTGCATCACATGTAGCTGCTGCTGCGGCTGCTGCTTCTACACATCGTCGTCGTAAAGCAAGAACCGTATTCTCTGATCATCAATTACATGGATTAGAAAAAAGGTACGTCATTTTAATGAATCCAAATCGGACCACCCTTGATGATGACCATTAATACATTGAATTATTATTTAATTATTACGAATGAATATTGTCATCATCATCATCATACCCTTGAGCCAACTTGTGAATAGTTAGTACAATTCATTTATTTGTCGAAAAACTGAATTCAATTAGTTAGTCAGTTTTTTAATGATAATAATGATGAAAAAAAAATGAAGAGAGAGCGAGAGCGAGACAATAATGAATAATAATTGCACCGAATGTTATTTCATCATCATCATCATTATAATAGTTTTTACATTGATGAATAGATCAAGAATGCAAGAATCATTAGAGATCTTTTATATCTTTGATCATCGAATGATTCTTTTTTTCCTTTATTCTTGGGTACATTCTATTTTTTTAAAAAATTTTCAATTCCCTTGAGGCAACAAAAAATGATCAACATTTGAAATGTGGAATATAATCATCATCGTCATTTCAACTTACGAAACGAATAAACGATCATAGATGATTATTTGACTCATTCATCGATGATCCGATCATCGAATGAATATATGTTTAGATCTTTGAAAAAGAACAAAAGAAAAGAAAAGAATTATTTCTTCCATGAAAAAAAATGAAAGATTTGCTTAGAATAATTTTTTTCTCGCATGGATCAGTAAAAGAATCCATAATAATAATAATAATAATTGAACTGAAAATGATCCATAATCTTGAAGAATCGTTCTTGGCTTATTATTTTTATTATCATCATCATCATCATCATCATTAAACACAGAGAAAGTTTTTCACTTTTTCTCGTTTTCAATACAAATTCATATCGATTATCCCACAATAATAATCATATCCAAAACACGAGAGCTGATAATTTTGTTGTTGTTGTTTCTAGATTTGAATCACAACGTTATCTATCAACACCGGAACGTTTAGAATTGGCAACAAATTTAAATCTAAGTGAAACACAGGTTAAAACATGGTTTCAAAATCGTCGTATGAAACATAAGAAATTATTACGAAAAAATAATCAATCATCATCGATTATCAATAATAGTGGACAACAACAACAATCATCAATTTCGCCCACATCATCATCATCATCATCGATATCGACAGGATCATCGAATATATTGAAAATTTCTTGATTTATTTAATTCATTTCGTTTCAGAATTTTTTTTCTTTCTTTTTTTCGCCATCATAATCTATTATATAGTGTTTGTTTTCATTGTTTGTGACACCTCCAAAAATTCTTGTATTTACACTGAAATCCTATCATTTTGAATCAATTAAAATGATGTGAAATTTTTTTTTTTTGTCAAATTCAAATTGAACAAAACAGAATTCTATTGCAGCGATTGTCAAACTTTGAATTGAATTAATATAGACTCCACCTTTTTTGTGCTTGTTTTCCTGTTTTTCTTCACCATGTATTTGTTGACTGCATGGAACGCCCTGGGTGGGATCAAAATTCATTCATATATATGGAATGTGTTGTGCTGCTTGCTGTGTTCAGAGAGCAATTGAATTGAATTGGATGGCGCGTTTTTTTTTTTTTTTTTTTTTGGTTTCACGATGATTCACTTTATTTTATATATCAGGAATAAATTAAATTATTATTTGTTATGAATAGCGATTGATGGACACACACAATTGCTCAATTTATTTTTATTCTTCTATAGAATTTTTATTTCTGATTCGATTCTTCACAATTCATTCATTACAATGCATTGATTTTGGAATAGCAACTTTCTATTAATTAATGATTCATTCATTCATTCATTCATTCGTTGATTGATTTATTGATCACCAATCACAAATCACCATTTTGAAATACAAAAATGATCGATTGAATCGATGTTTTTCACTTGTTATCGTTTTGCCAATATTGATTTGATTAACATTGAATTGAATGGAAAAGATAAATGGGAAAAATAAATAAATGAAATCTTTGTGTGTTTATTGTGAAAAAAAGTTGGAAAAATTATTAAATTATTGAGACAAGTGAAAATAATTACATTATTTTTGGACTGTTCGTCATCATTTTTTTTTTTAATTTCATGAAGAATAGAATCGTATTACGATCATAAAACCAGCAGCAAATGCTAATGATGATATAATGAATATAATACCAATCAATGGTAATGATAATAAATGACATTTTAATGATCTTTCGGGATAATCTGAGCACAATTCTGTAGTCACATTTTGTTGAAAATCACGATAAGCATGGCTCATTATATCACCAGTTTTTTTACCACATTGTTGACATGATTCAATGGAGATACATTGGAAAAAATCCCATAAATAACAGCAATGATCTTTACGATTATCAACATTAGTGAATATCATTTCATATAGATAATCAATCATTTTCACTGAACAATCAGGTAAATTTTCTTCCAATTGTTCCATTTTTTTCGTATGAATTATCGATTCATTCAATTTCCATTCTTGAGGCAATTCTTTGTCGATACAATTGAATATTATTTCATTCCAATGACAATCTAAATCTTCTTCGGCACATTGATTAATCATATGAATCGGACTAGTCAGCAATGAAATAAATAGCCAAAACCAAATCCAATCGTATTGTGTCATGGTTGAATATATTATGAATTGATTTTTTCCAATCAAAAATCGATGAAAAATGTTGTATTTGATCAAGGAGAAAAAACGACAAATCGATATTGATGATATTTTTTGTCTAAATAACATTGATTGATTTTGATGATGAATCAATTAAATTATTGTAATTGCAATCTTGATTCTCATGCTAATCAAAAAACACTTTACATGATGATCCGGGTGTTCTGGTGTTCATTGATATATTGCGGGAAAGGTAACCTACGTAAATTTTACGTAGTTGATGCCTAACTTATTTCCACTATAAAAATTATTTATCTGATTATTTATGTTAAATTTTAACGTTTATTCATAAAGAAGAAAAATCATTTTTCAAAAGTTGATAAAAAATAAAAATGATCCTGTAAATATGATTAATCAATCGATGATTGTGTTTCATTTTTATCTGATATTCGCCACAATCATCCGGTCGTTGTTAAACGCTTTTTGCAAGCATGTTAATTTTGAATAAAGTGAAAAACATAAACAAATGAACAGAAAAGACGTTTATTTCAAAAAATATTGCGACAAAAAACGTTTTTGACAAGTGAAAAGATAAAAAAAGAAAAAAATTAAAATTATTTCTATTCATAAATGACGTTTTTTGGAAAAAATTTCCGAAACTATCGCTCTCAGCAAAATTTTCTAAGATTTTTCTATGCTGATTCAGGCAACCATACGTAAATTTTACGTACAAGCTTTTACGCCTGAGCTTATAGATAACAGATAAAAGGCAAAAACTGGATCTTTTCTATTTCTAAAGGTGTAGAAATATATTCTTGAGGAATAGAAATGGGTTCCAGCTATCTTAGCATCGTGAGTGTTTTTTTGGAACATTTTGAAGTGCAAAAAGCATAAATTTTACGTAGGTTACCTTTCTAGGGTTAACCATCAATTGATTTTAGGAAAATTTTTATCTGAAAAAAATCAAATGAATCTCATTTAAATTCATTGCACATTATGCCATCTAGTGTGTTGAACTAGAGTTTCATCAAATTTTTTTTACAGTTGTTCGAATCGAGTATTGTTTATTATCTTCAACCATTGATTGATAATCGATGATGATGATTATGATGAATAATCAGATCATCATCGTCATCAACGATGGCTCCACCAATAATCAATTCATCAATGAAAATGATGATAGATAAATTACGAAAATCATTTGCCGATGATTGTTTGGAACATTTGGTTTTTGTTTATGGAACATTGAAAAAAAGTTTGTCAGTTGTGAAATTTTTTTTTTTGCTTTCTATAAAATTTTTTTTAATTTAATTTTTCTCAAACAAGGTCAACCAAATCACCCCGTATTGGTGGAATCGAAAAATGGTCAAGCTAAATTTATATGCAATGGACAAACATTAGATCGATGGCCATTGGTCATTGCATCACAATATAATATACCGTATTTGTTGTATAAATCTGATACTGGTCATGTATGTTTATTCATTGATTTGATTCAATAAAAATTAACATGTTGTTTTATTCCATAGAAAATTCAAGGTGAAATCTATGCAATCGATGCTGAAATGTTGAAATTCCTAGACGAATTCGAAGGTCATCCATCATATTATACACGACGACAGATGCCGGTTTCAACTTTAGAACATGGAACCATTGAACCATGGATCTATTTTCTGAATCAATATAAATTAGAAATGCTTCAACTGCCAATGTATGCAGATTATAATAGCTATGGTCAACATGGTCTTCGTTATGTTGAAAGGTGCGATCGTCAAGGTCCAAATGCTAATTGTGGACATACAGAAAAATCTCAAGTGACTAATGATTGTTAGTAATTCATTTTTTTTCTATTTTCATTGATACCAGTGAAGAAACAAAATGCTTGGACGATATTTAATCATTTAATTAATTAAAATTAAAAAAATTTATACATCAATTATGTTGAAATTTAAGAATAGACAATTTTTCGATACCACATTTACGTGACAATATTCTTTGGCAAAGAAAACCTTTTCTTCGGGCGTGATTGATAATATCATCGATTCTATTTTGTTCCATTACAACCAAATATGCCATTCCATTGGGTCGATTTAGATCATTCACTAAGGTTTCATTGATGAAACGATCAATTATTAGACGACCATTTTGACCACCTGCCCATGAAGCTTCAATATCTGATTTTATCTATGAATGATAAGAATTTAGATTTTAAATCCAATTATTATTATTATGATCATCCAACGAACCTGTTCATCTGTTGGCACGTAAGGAGGATTGAAAATGATTAAATCGGGTAAAAGTCTCGAATGATTTAAAGCTTGTGATAGATCACAACGAATTGGATGTAAATTATCGGTCCGAGTATTGTATTGGAAACATTTTCTTGTACATTCTAAAGCCTGGCTATTCAAATCGGTTGCTCTGCAAATTTTTTACATTTTTTTTTTGCTTTCAATTCAATTGTTTCAAACTTACAGATAAAAACATTCATACGGTCCAAGTGTTTTAGCCAATGATGTGATCACAGTTCCAGATCCAGAACCAATTTCCAAACAAATTAATGGCCTAGAAATGGATTGGAAAATTATTTGAAAATTTTGTTTTTAGTTCGAAAAAAAATCTCACTTTAATCTCGTGATTGATTCAAGATCCTGTTCTAATGCATCCAACAATAGAAATGTATCTTCAGCTGGTTCATAAACGTTTTGAAAATATTTTTCAAATTGTTCTAGAGGAAGTTCTGGTGTTTCCATTCTGTTATCTGGATGAATTTAAAAAGAGAAAATTCAATTTAAAAAATTTTTTTTGGAATATCATTTTTAATCCTTTCATAAAGAACGTAATCAAAAAAAAAATTATACATGTGTAACTTTAAATGTAGAGTAGAGGTATGAAAATCTATTGAATGACAAGAGTATAAAAGACAACTACTACCATAACAACCATAATCAAAACTACTACCACATTCAGATGAAACCGTTCCATTGGTCAATCCAATGTGGTAACCGCTGTTCTCATTTTCAAGTGTGTGTGTCTGTGTGTATATGTGGTGAGAAAAAAGTTATTCACATTTTAAATATTGCTGCTAGCACAATATATGTGAAAAATAGAGATAGCAACTAGTGTGTTCGTGTAATATATACACACTTTTTTCCTTATTCACATTTGATTTTTTTTTTGGCTGAAACCGTTTTTTTTCCAAAATTGGATCGATGATGATGAATTGTTGTAGTTGAATTCATCATCATTTGATTTAATTGCTATATATCTGTTTGTGTTTGAATTTTGATATATCAGTGAACAACAGAAAAAACAAATCATTTGTAGTGTATTTTTTTTTGGAATTGACTAACAGACAAAAAAATGTCTCAAATCTCTCCTTATCACCATCATCACTGATCACTAATCATCATCATCATCATCATCATAGTTTATTATTGTTATCATTGTTGCTATTAGTTACAATAAAATTGAAAAAAGAATCAAGTTCAAAACTTTTCAAATATCAAACGCGTCTGTTGCCGGTTTATATTTTCATTCGTTGTGTTTGTGTATATGTTCATCATCATCATATCTTTGAACAACTTTTTAATGCACGAAATATAATAAACGAGAAACACACACACACACACACACACCAAACACAAACATAGTCGATGACGACAACGATAACTGCAGAACGAACTACGGTGCCGCCAATACAACCACGATGATGATGATGAGCAATAATAAGCTTCATCATAAAACATTCACATGATTCATGGTGATTTTTTTCCAGATTTATTTTCTGTTCAAATCAAATCAAAAGAAACTTGACTAACCAAACCAAATATTCAATCATCAATCAATCGAATAAGTCAATAATCGAAACAAAAAATTGAGTTTCACATCTGGTCAAATTAAACTTTTGAAAATTTAATTTACCACCATCATTCATTCATTCATTTTCTCAACATTCTCGACAATCGAGCTTATTTTTTTCAACAATTACCATTTGGAATTATTTATTTTTTTTCGTTTCTTCGAGCTAAAGTGATTTTATAGAAAACAAAAACAATGACCGACGTAGCCTATTACCGACAGATTCTTAAAGATCAAACCGAATTATTGGATTCGAATATTGAAAAATATCTGAAAATTTTAGATGAAGAGCTTGATCGATTACCAGAATCCGGTAAGTTGTCTATTTTTTTTTTTGTTTCTGTATGATTTGTGAATTTTTTTCGTTTGTTTTTGTTTTGGCTCATTTTCCAAAGATTCGATTTGCTACATTTTTTTCAAAGAAAAATAACACAAAATATCATTATTGACCATTGATACCACACCATTTATTCATTTCTCGGTCAAAAGTGAGCCGAGTAAGTTCATAGTTTTAAAATCTCACAAACTAATAATAACAATAACGAATATAACAAAAACAACTTGTATAAATCTTGCACACACACCATATATGTAGTCAAGTTGTTGTTTTTTCCTTCTTCCCAAATGGCTGATGAATTCAATAAAAAAAGTGTGTGTGTGTTTGCGAGAGAAAGATGTGAAGCGGTTTTTTTTCATTCATTCACTTGTTTCCCGTTTCAATTTTTTTTATGATGATGATGAAATGGCAGACACACACACACACACATTCTCTTTGTGTTCCGTGTGGATTTGTTATGGTATGAAATCGTTGGATGTAGAGAGTTTTTGAATTTTGAATTGAATAGATTGAAAATCTCGATGTGTGTGTGTGTTGGGTCGATCATAATTGATCTCGGTTGTTGGATGAGGAACTATAGTGTTTGGTTGGTTGGTCGATTTTTTTTTGTTGGCCACCACCACCAACACCATCATCAGATGATCATCACAATTGTTAAGAATTGAATTGACTTTCATAGGTCAGAGATAGTCTTTTTTGTTGTCTGTTTGTGATTTTATAATAGATGGAATGGATGTGTATTCGATTGTGCCTCTATTCTCATATCGATGATGTTTTATTTATAAAAATGTGTGTGTGTGTGTGCTGTGTTTATATTATCAATCAAAATCAATCGATCGAATAGATAGATTGTATTCGATTTATAACAAAAAAAATGGTGTTTGTGTTTGACATGCATCATAATCATCATCATTATTATTATATCTTATCATAGACACATGACCAAAATTTTTTTTTCTTTAGCTTTTTTTTTCTTGTTGTTGTTAGCTATTAAAATGTGTGAATAATAGATTCAAAAAAAAAAATAAAGGTGGATTACGATTGGATTTTTTCCATGTTTTCTTTGTCTGTTTATGATCATCTTTCTCATTCAACAACAACAACAAAAAAGAATGGATTTGATTTGATTTGATCCCCTCCATTGTCTTTGGTCAATTTTTTGTTTTCGGTTCAATCTGACGATTTCTTTGTAATCATAAATCATTGAAATATGATTATAGTATGATGATGATGATGATGGTATTCTTGATCATGACATGAATGATATAACTGACTTTTTAGTCAAAAAAAAAATAAATGAATAATGATTCTAAATTACCTTTTTTAACCTAGATTTTGTTTTATCCATTTGATCTAGTTTTTCTGCTTTTATTTGTGATGAATGTCTAATGTATAATGATGAAGAATCATTTCCTCGAATGTCATTATAAATATGAAAAAAAATGATAATAATGTACTATGATCATTTGAAAATGGACTGTGTGTTTGTGTTGTTCATGTTATGAAAATTATCATAATGTTCTTTTGATGTTGACGATGATCTCCGAATAGTTATAGTGAACAAGAAAAAAAATGAAAGTCAATTATGATGATAAAATACAAAATGTCGGTTAGATCAGAAGCAAAAGTTGTGATTTGGATTTTTTTTTGTTGTTGTTGTTACATTTCATTTCAACAAACAAATCCAAATTCGGCCATTTTTTCATTTTTATTCAAAGATTTAGTTCAAATTGCCTATTTCGTTTAGTTGTTTACCGTGTGTAGGTTTATCTTCTGTTTTAATTGATGTGAAATAAAATGCCAACTGCATTAATAATATCCAGATAATGATGATGATGATCGAAAAGCAAAACTGGCTAGTTTTGCTTTTCATTTATTCAGAGTTTCAAATGTGTAAGTAGAGAGAGAGAGAGAGAGAGAAAGAGTGAATAGACGAATGAAATTTTATTTTCTTTTTCTTATTCGGGCCAAAATGACGATATAATTAATAAAAACGATGTCTCTATTATCATCATCATTTAGATTTTTGACAATTAAAAAAGCTGTAAATGCCAAATTTTATCACACCCGTTGTCTGAGTGTGTTTGCAGCCACTTTTAATGGCCTGTATGGAGATAATTTGGCCGAACAACGGAAAATTTCCTGGATTTATATATGTTGGAATAAAATGGTCGTGTGTTGGTGAGAAAAATGCAATAATAATAATGTTTGTGTGTGTTAAACGGAAATGAAATGCGTCCTCGGTTCCCTAGGTAATATCCGTTTTAATTATGATTGATTTAGGAATATCATTAAATATGAATTTCAAACACAAGCTCGAATCATATATGAATGATGAATGATTTGGGATCAATGGCCCCGTTGTATATTATATTCTATATGGTCTATATAAAAACCTACAATTATGTGTGTTGTGATGAACACACACATTTTCATTGACCAAACCGAAAAACGAACAAAACAAAACAAAAAATTATTGGTGTCGATAATGATTAACAAGATTGGTGGTGTTATTCTTGGTGTTTTTGTGTGTGTGTGTGCGGCGATACATAAACCCACTAATTTTGATTGCCAAATTACAATGTAAACAACACAATAGGAATGTTTGAGAAATAGTCACCTTTGATATATTTTTTTTTTTTTTTGAATTCAATTACGATTTTTTTATGTAATAATAAAACTGGTTTTGTTTTGTTTGATTGAAATTTGGCAATTTCCTTTTTTTGCCAAATTTCAATAAAACACGCAAACATGAAATAAGTTGGATAGATCCATAAAATGTGTTGGTGTGTTTCATGACTGAAAAAAAATCAATTATCCAAATGGAATACATTTTGGTGGTTGTCATAGTGACCAAATAATAATTGTGGTTATGACTTTGGTGACATTATTGTTTTTTCTCCCTTATTCCAGAATTATTATCATTAATAATAATGATGATGATGATAAAGAGAATCCAGGTCGTTGCCATTTTTATCATCATCATCATAATAAACATATGGTCATAATTATCATTTCTTTATTATATACATGGTAGTAGTATTTTAATTTTGACTACAACAAAAATAGAAACATTTTCATTTTGTCTTTTTTTTATTTGTCTGTTTGTGTGTGTGTGTATGTTTAAGATTGTTGATCATCATCATCATAATAATACTATTATGCATAATTTGTTGTCTCTTTTTCTCTTTCCCTAATTAAGAAACATTTTCATATCAAATATTGTCAATCATTATCATATATAGACAATTTGTTCTTTCAAATCATATGGTTGCCTTGGTTGAAATCTTGGTGGTATGGCCAAGGTTTTTATTTTTCATTTTGGCTTCCAGGCTTTTTTCATTTTAGTTTTATTTTCTCTGAAAAATTGAATAAATTATGATTTTTGTTTTGTTTTGTTTTAAATTGAAGAAATGAATGAAAAGACGAAACGGGAAATTTTTTTTTCATGTCCCATCAAGTATTTCTCAAATAAATCCCACTTGATCCTAGTGATCTATATTTTTTATTTTTACTTTTGATAATTCTGAATTTTTCAAAAAGGATTTTTTCGAATAAATCCTTTTGTTAATCCAACATGCTTAACATTTAATACTTTTGACTAATCTTTTGAGGATTTAGAGGTTTTTTTTCACAGAATTTGTTTTTGTCAAGTGATACGTGACACTTTTTTTTCATAATCCCTTTTTTATTATTCAGCTATGTGAAATTCTTGATAGAGCTTTATGACCGTAGAATTTGCTCATATAGGCTATTTATTTGTAAAATTTTTTCAAAATCACTGTCTGATTCATTATTATAATAAATATTGTTCTATTTCCCACAGTGGTTGGACAAATTCGTCTGGTAATCGGACAATCCCGTTTGTTTATCAATGAACGTTTTAAACAATTTTCCGGTCTTGTTGATGACTGTGAATTGAAACGTGGCGAAAAAGAGATTAAAGTTGAAGATTTGGCCGGATTTTGGGATATGATTAATTATCAGATTGATGATCTTAAATCTAAATATGCTGAGCTTGAACAATTACAATCGAATGATTGGCAACCAATTGATGAAAAGAAACCGGTGGTTAAAAAAATAACAAAAAATCAAACACCAACGATAAGAAAACCATTACAGACAGTCATTAATAATGGTGGTGCTAATGATGGTGGGAATCGTACAACAACAACAACAACAAATGGTTTTGCAAATAAATCAAATAAAATGAATGGTCATAATAATCATCACCATAATGGTAAAGATTCAATTGATGGTGGTAGTAGTAATGCACAAGTAATGAAAAAAGCTCCAATAAAATCAAATTTTCGGGAATTTTTAAAAGCCAAAAAACAAGAAAAGCTTAATACAAAAACAATGAATTCAAATGATAACAAATTGAATAATGAAAATGGTCATCATGAAAATAATGCAACTACCTCTAAAAACCATAATGATGAAGATATTCAAATTATGATATTAGTCAACCACAACAACAACAATAATAATCATCATGATCATGATGATGAAGATGATGTTAAAAAGAATGGTCATGTTACTAATAATGTTAAATCTGATGATGATGATAATAATGATGAATGTTCAACAACAACAACAACCGAAAATAATATCGTGATAAATGGTGATGATAATGGTAATGATAACACCAAAAGTGATGAATCGAATGAATCTTCTTCTTCGGAATCAAAAGAGAATCGAAATTCAATTCAAGTATCGGTTAATTGATTCAAAAGGTTTGTGTGTGGAAATTTTTTTTTGATAAATTTTTAATCATTTATTTTTTTACTTTTTTTTCTAGTCTATAATCATCATTTTCATTGTTCATTTTGTCGTTATTCTTGAATTCTTTTCTCCGTTGTTAATTGATTCACAGCATTCATGGCATGTGTCATCATTTTTATTATTATTATTATTGTGTTCGTTGATAATATCATCTGTATAACCAAAAAGAAAAAGAAAGATTCAAGCTTTTTATCAGAAACATCTCTGAAATGTCTTTAATTTATACATACACACACACACACCATTTATTAAACTATGTTGTTCTTTAAAAAAAATCCATAATCAGTATTTTTTCAAGACATGTGTGTGGAAAGAATTTTTTCTTAATTTTTTTTTCTCAAAAATTCACTTTGTCACACACACACACTATACACGCCTTTAAAAATAAACTTTTTTATGTGATTGTGCATAATATGATTACACAATCATTTTAATTGCAAACAACAACAACCTGTAACATAGTAATTTGATTTACAAAATCATCACCAAATATAATTGTAAAGCAATTAGGATTGTGATTATGATGATAAAATGGAAATTTTCAAGCCAAATATTAGATTTGGGAAAATTTGGCCTAATTCTTCCTCTAATCATCCTTTCTCAAGAACGGATCAAAATCCGGTCGACCGCTATCAACATTCATCTAGACTGCTTGCAATTTCAATGGGCAATGCCATTGGCAGAGTGTCTGACGGCACATGAATTGCATGGTCGGTTATGCGATTTTCAAAATTGGAAAAAATTTGGAATTTTTCGTCAATCAAAATTTTTTGTTGATTGAAATTTTTGAATTAAAGTCTGATCATCAAAGAATAAAACGAGGTCATATACGAGGTCAAAACATTAACCAAATTTTTGTGACAGTCGTTCAAAAATGTTATACAAAAAAACGACACGACTTTTTCCCAAATCTAATAAAATGAAATAAAATTTGTCAATATATTTCTCTATGTAAATGTGTGTGTGTGTTTGTTGTAAATTTTAGAAAAAAATGAAAATTTAATTGCCAAAAAAACAAATGTCAATCCCTTGATTATATGGTGATCACATAGGTCATCGACATTTTTTTATTGGCCATTTTAGAATAAAATTAATTTAAATTTTTAAAATTAAAAACAATGAGTTTATATCGTCGACAATATTTAGCCCACACACACACAGACAATTATAATCAATAAAAAAAATTAACCTTGTATTGCGGTGTACCTTGAATTATTCTCTTTTCATTCGATCGTTATCATCGTTTTTTTAATGCCCACCAACAATAAAAGGAAAAATCAGTTTTTAACGATAATTTTCATCAGTTTTGTCGAAAAAAGTTGACAAAAAATGTTCATTTTTCTCTTCAATGAATCGATTTTTGAACCATCATCATGGTGAGGGAATATATGTTGCTGTTGTTTTTTTCACCGAAAAAAAAGAACAAAAAATTCCCTAGAATAAATTGAATGACTATGGTTTTTTTCATTGTCATCATCACAAACCACAAGCATTAAATATTTTATTATATAATGGTTTGTGGCACACACACACACACACACTGAAATTTGTTTGTCAATAAATTTGTAGTTGCAGAAAAAAAATTCCTCGTGATGGGACGCGTACCTCATTATTAATTATTAAGTTGTTTTTCACTTTGGTTTCAAGAAGATTGTAGAAAACTATTTCTGAAAATAATTAGATTTTGATATGATAATGGAAAAATGTCATGTCAGACCAAACCAAAGAAAGAAAAAAAAATTTCACAAAAATTTGACGGAAATTCATAGTCATACTTCAAAATTCAAATTTTCTTCACCCAAATTCAGAATTGACAAAAAAAATGAAATAAAAAATTCGCTTTTCATACAGTTACTTTAGTCTTTGATAATTTTTCGTTTAAACATGACCAGTATCTCTGTCGAAGACAACAACAACAATAACAACGGCATGAAAATGATGAATTTCAAAATATTTCGTCCATGTCTGTATCAGATGCGATTAATTGTTGAAAATCATAATCATCGATACTATCGTTATAGACATCGGTTCAATATGTTTATATTGTTTATTTTTCTGTTTCGTTTAATTATAGATCTTGTTTCATATCATTTTGATTGTTTGTTTGATGTTTGGTATTATGATCCGTCAAGTTTTTTCATTTATAATTTAAATGAAAAACTTTATACAAATTATATGATATTATTGGCAATCGTTACAATATTAGGATTACAAGTTCAATATAGTTTTCATTTTAAACCAGTGGACACTGATTCATTCATCATCATTTATGAATTGACCGTGAAAACATGGCAACATTATCTTAAATGTAAATGTTCGGATAATGAAAAATTGATGAAATTTCAAAGTTTTTTGCGAAAAAATCCACCACCACAAAAATTACCATCAATACCATTATTACGTTCAATTTGTCGTCATTATCATTGGTTATTATGTCGAATAAAATTTGAGCTGTTTTTCCATTATGTTGATAAGAAAAAATTGGAATCACAACAATTTGCATCGATTAAAACGATTCTTTCATGGCAATGTCGTTCTGCATTAGTATTGGGACAGAATATTTTTGAATTTATATTCTGTTACATCATGGTTTCCTCTTGTAAATATTGAAATTCTTGTCAAATCACAATTTAATGTGAAATTTTTTTCCCATTAGCCTTAATATTGATTGGTTTTCCCTTCAGATTCTATCATTCGATTGGTGAAGCATTTCAATTTTATCAATGGAATCGCGTACCATTGTTTATGATTGATTCATTGTTTATTTTCTATACATTTTTCATTATGATACAATCATTTACATTTGGAGTGTATTGTAATCTGATGTTTTTCATATTTCATTGGTTTGAAATTGAACGTATGCAACGTAGTTTTATTCAAATAAGAATTGAAAGTCAAAGAACCAATCGAATCATTCTGCTAGATCGTATCGCTGTTTATCGGCCAACATTACGATATAGTTTGTTGAATCAATTAAAAAAAAATTATCGTGAATATCATCAACTGATTACATTGTATCGTACTGCATATACAGAAATATGGGGTCGTGTAACATTTGTTTATCTTGTCATTAGTGTACCATTGAATGGAATGTGTGTGCTTACATTGAATACACCGGATCTATTTTACGATCAAATGGCTACCGTATTACTTATGCTTATCTGTCATAGTCTTAGTATCACCGTGATGATGTTTGGTATTGCTATGCAAACAGAAACCTTACATATATTTTCCAAATATCTCGTACCTATTATTCAATCGATTGGCTATCGAAATAGTCTGTCTATTAAATTTAAATATGAAGATTGGTTCAATCGTTTATTATTTGGACCTAAATATGGCCCAAATCTTACAATAGCCGGTACATTGACATATAATTCCATTGTTAAAGTAAGCCATTTGTTTTCATGAATCACTTTTATTTATTTAATTATTTTTTGAAATTACAAATAATCCATTTATTATTCTATAGGCGATAATCATTTATATTGGATTTTTAATCTACATTCTTGATCATTTCCATAATGTTTATGAATATGATCAATAAATTCATTTCAACGTTAAACAGGTGATTATTCTTGGTATGAAATATTGTAAAATTGATGATGAATTCTCCGGACATTCAATTCGTGCAAGTACTTCAACAAAATATGCCAATGTCATCAAACCGAATCCTAGATAAAATTGAAATATAAACAACATATTCTGCCATCTTTTGTATTTTAGATAATGATTTATCATGTCTAAAATGACTAAATAAACAAAGCAAAAATTTGAAAATTAATAAAAAGCTTCAAGAAACAAAACAAAACAAAAAACTTACAGCCACAAAAACCGAAACAAAGGAAAATCAATGGAAAACAGAATCGTAAACTTATTGCGATAATATATTCATGCGCAACGGCCGATACAAATGTCACCATAATAGTTGTAATCCAACGATTATTTGTCCATTGATTAATCGGTTTATAAGCATAATGATAGACCCAATCCTGAACGATTAGATTCCATTGTCTATAGAATTGTTTCAATGAACGTGCATTCCAAAATGCCTCGTAATAATGACGATCAGCAAATCTTAATAATTCACCAGTAATATTATGCCATAAATGAAATAATGTATAGAAAAAACAATAATAATTGAATACACCAACGATCCATAAGGTGAACAAATGGCCATACAAATCACGCCAATAATATACGTGTGAACCAATTCTATGCATATGATGTTTGACCGTACAAGACAGTATAATATATACCCAAACAACTAGAATGAAAATCATTTGACAGCAATAATTTAGAACAAAATTCCAACGAATCGTTTTGGTTCGTACATATGAATTTCGATATATTAATGTTGGAGCAAAAAGAAAGTAGCAAAAAGCATTGAATTTTGGTCGTGATTGCCAAACGCTGAAAATTTTAAACCAATTTCTAGATTGTATCAATTGATTTTTGATTAATAGCTGTAATTCTTCTTCCGATATTTGTAAATCACGATTTTCCACATAAAATGAATGTGCTTTCAACGTCAAACGAAACTATTAATAAATAAATGAAATGTATGAATAAATAAAAATTTAAAAATATTTCAAATCACAATACCATTTCAGCCATAATCATTATTGATCCAATAAATTGAAAATCATACATCAATATGGATGCGGTAGAAAAAACAATCAAACCAATCAATGTAATTAACATATAAATTATATCGATCAATAATCGTTGATATAATCGTGATTGTTGTCTGGAATGAAATTGTTTATACAATTGTCCAGTACCGATTGTTTCGCCATTTTCAATTGATGATCCATTATTTTTATTTCGATTATCATCGATTATTTCAATCAGTAATTGAAATTGATTAAAATTATTGATTAAAACCAATGAATAATGCAGGGAAAAAACAACGGTGTTCATAATGATCCATACAAATAAACCATTATAAATGTCCACTACGTTTCTTTGAATGATTTCCATTGCAAATTTGAATTCTTCATCATATTTTTGTGCATTGAATAAATAATCACCAATTTTTGTTGCAGCATAAACAAATGAACAAAGCCAACAAAAATTATGTAAAGTACGTACTTGTGGATCATTGTTGACTAGAATTCTAAATGGTATGTGAAGAGAAAAGAAATTTACATTCAATTAATAATCATTTTTTCACCATCAAGAATCTACACATACGTAACTAAAGAATCACGAATTTGAAATTGTTTCGTTGCACTAGCAAGATTATTGGCAATCATTTTTCGTTGAAAAAAAAATTTTCAATTTTGTTTTCTATCAACTTATTTTGTCGACCAGTATCGAACAATTTTCGATAATCTAATGGAGACAAAATACATTTTTGAAATTGTCCAGATTGAAAAGAAAACCTATAATTTTTTGATTTATTATTATTGTGGTTTTTCACTTGATGACGGCATTTGAAACATTTTTTTTTTGTTTTTCCATCGTTGTCGTTGTTGTTGGTAAAGATTGAGAAAAATCCCTGTCCATCCAATATTGTGGATATGATTATGAAAAAAAAGTACGTCATTGTTTTGATGTGATCAATTGTTTTGATTGATTATTTCATTTGAACGATGTTCATGTGTGCAATGAAATGAAATGAAATAACGAGAAGTTGATCCATCCGGTTTTTGTTTATTATGAAGAATAAAATTTTATGTAAATTAACTTGCAAATATTCAATATTAAATCATCATCATCATCATCCGATCAGGAAAGTGAGTTTGTCTTTTTCTGTTCAATTAATGATTTTCCGGTATATTCTTGTTGTAAAAAAACATTTCCGGAAAATTATCATTGCAGTAAAAACATTTCACAATTTTTCTGATTCATTAAAAAAAATAAGAATGAATTCCGACACTTGATACTAGATGGCATCGTCTAAAATCCGTTTGAAAAAATAACATGAAAATTATGGCAATAAACTCCGAATCATCATCATCATCTAAGGTTCATATTGAAACATTATTATGATGATTTGAATATCTGAATATTGATTATCATGTTACAATCAAAATATCGATGTCGATGATGATGATATGGCAATACGTACATTTTTTCGTGATTGTTTGTGGTTTGATTAGCTACCAAAAATGAAAAAGAAAAAAAATCCAAACAAAAAATCGTCCAAGGTAATTGTAAATTGAGAAAGAAATAAAATTGTTTGTTTGTTCACATCTATTGTCCCCATTATTGATACACACACGGTGTATTTGTGAAAATAAACAAAATATACTCATCCACTCATTCGGTATACAAACATGTTTGTCAATCTAATCAAACCTTTGAAAATTTGATACATAAACGAAATAAAAATGAAAATGAATTTTTTTTTGGGTGATATTTTCGTTTTTGAAGAAAAGATGATCAAATGACACACACATGTGGTTCATATCACAAAAATAATCATGATGATCACACTTGATTGTACTTTATCGTGTTGCGACTGTGTGTGTGTGTATGGGCCCAAAACACTCAAGACATTGACAGCGGAAAAAAAATTCAATTCAAACCAAACCAATCAAATAAACAAATATTCCAATTTTTTTTTCATTGCTGCTACTGTTTTCGTTATCACACATTCACAATCGGATAATTTTTTTGTTTGTTTGTTTGTGTCTGCCTCTATTTCGATATCTTTTCATCATCATATCTATATCTACCATGTATGCCTGAAATGTAATATATCTGACAAGAAAGAAAGAAAAAGAAAATTCAAATTCAAATCATCGTACATTTATTATTCTGTTTTCATCATCATCATCATTGATCATTTATTATTCATCAACATATCATTTATTACACACATATACACAGTCAATTTTTCCAACCAAATATCCCGAATCAATCAAAATTATTGAAATAATAATTTTTTCTGTTTTTTTTTCTCTAGGTGACATTTTGTACATGTTTTTGGCAATAATAATTCAATCGATTTTTCTTATTGATTTTCAATATGTCAATTGATGGTGATTCACCTTGAATTTTTTCTTTTTATTTATTGGTCTCATTCTCATTGGTCTGTCGAGGACAAGGAAAAAATTTCGGAAATTTTTTTATGCAAAAAAATAATTATCGTACAAATATACATAGCTACCGAATGAAAAAAATTTTTTTGTGACAAAAAATTGTGCAACAAAAACAGAAAACAAAGAAGAAAAAACCGAAAATTATCGTTCGATCATCACGACGTTGATAACCGAAACGCCATCATCATCATCATCATCACCAAAAAACACCACGACAACAGACATAAAACAGATACACCGATTGCTTTGTGAACAATTTCTTTTTTTTCTTACTACTTGTATTTAGGGGCTGGTGTCTGGTGTCTAATATTTTCTTAATATTTATTTGTCATCGTTCATATATAAAAAAAACATCACAATCATCACCACCATGACAATCATATTGTTGTCCGAAAGCAATGATCATCATCAAACACCATCATATGGTACGATGGATTTTCATTCGGATTCGTCATTAGCAAGAAAACGTACCATCATCAATGATGATGATGATTCATTCGATATGCAGAATAATAATATTCAAAGGAAGAAAAATGGTGGATCATTCATGAACAACAGCAACAACAACGATTCACCATTTTCATCATCATCGAAAAATGAACAGATTGCATTGAAAAAAGAACTTGGTCTAATGAATGGTGTTGCAATTATTGTTGGCATTATTGTTGGCAGTGGAATATTTGTTTCACCACGAGGTGTATTACAAGAAGCCGGTTCCGTTGGTTTCTCTCTGATTGTTTGGATTTTATGTGGTGTACTATCAACGATTGGTGCATTATGTTATGCTGAATTAGGAACATCCATTCCTGAATCTGGTGGTGATTATGTCTACATCCAGAAAGCATTCGGTCCCCTGCCGTCTTTTTTGTGAGTTTAGTTTGTTGAAATTTATTTCATGTTTGATTTCCTCAATTTTTTTCTCGTTCATTTTAGATTTCTATGGGTATCCATATTAATCATACAGGTTTGTTTATCCGTTTTTTTTGTTGAATATTAACTGACCGAAAAACGATTTTTTTCGCTTTAATAGCCGGCTGGAAACGCCATTGCGGCCATGACATTTGCCAATTATATTTTACAATCCATATATCCAACATGTAGTCCACCGGCAAATGCTGTACGTTTGATTGCTGCAATCGTTATCGGTAAGTGTGTGTGTGTGTGTGTGATGTGTACTAAAATAATTGCAAATTCAGCCAAAAATATCATATCATATCCAATCACTATTTAACATTGGAAATTTGATATGGCGATATGTCGAGAAAATGAAAACTTGCTTAGTAAAGTAGAGAAAAAAAATCTCAAGTTTGGTTATAACCCAGTAGTACTTTTAGGTCAATGTTTTTCCGTTGAAATTTATGTTTGTTTGTTTGTTGATCAATAATCGTATTTATCGTTTTTTGTTTTAGTTTTATTGATATTCATCAATTGTTTCAATGTAAAATGGTCGACTCGTGTACAAGATTCATTTACATTTGCCAAAATCATTGCCCTATTAATCATTATTGGTTGTGGTGTGATGCAATTTTTCAACAAAGATAATGCCAACCAAATCGATCAAACTTTATCGTATCCAAATTCATTTGAAAATACATCCACATCACCCGGTCATATTGCATTGGCATTCTATTCTGGTCTTTTTTCCTATGCTGGATGGTCAGTATGATTTTGTCAGAAATGAATTTTTTATTTTAAAATTTCCATTTCATTTCATCTAGGAACTATTTGAATTTTGTTGTGGAAGAATTACGTGATCCATTTCGAAATTTACCACGTGCTATTTACATATCGGTTCCATTGGTGACATTAATCTATCTATTGGCTAATATTGCATATTTCACTGTTTTGACACCTGAAGAAATATTAACATCAAATGCAGTTGCCGTTACTTTTGGTGATCGAATTCTTGGTTCATTTGCATGGATTATGCCATTATCGGTTGCATTATCAACATTTGGTGGATTGAATGGTGGTATATTTGCATCATCAAGATTATTTTTTGTCGGTGCTCGTCGTGGTCATCTACCAGATAGTTTAGCAATGATTAATGTTAAATATTTTACACCAATGCCTAGTTTAGTATTTCTTGGCCTATTATCGGTATTATATTTAACCACAACACAGGTTTATGTTCTTATTAATTATGCAACTTTTGTCGAATCATCATCGATATTGGCATCAATTGGTGCATTGCTCTATCTTCGTTATCATGAACCGGAACGCGAACGTCCAATCAAAGTTCATCTTGCATTACCTATACTATTTTTCGTTATCTGTCTATTTCTTGTATTATTACCATTCTATGTTAGCCCAATGGAAGCTGGAATGGGTATTATTATCACTTTGACCGGAATTCCTGTTTACATGTTGACTATTTATTGGAAATCTAAACCACGAACGTATAATCGTTTTATAAGTGAGTAATAATGTCATTCAATTTTATTTTATATATATATTTATTTATTCTGCTTCTTTTTCACAGATGGAATAACCATTTTTATTCAAAAACTTTTTTATTGTGTCTCAGAAGACTAATGATGTATGGATTCCTGAAGTAGTAGCCTCTTGAATTTTCAACCGAATTTGATCATGTCATTAAATAAATTATTTTCTCTTCTTATCCACATTACAAATATTATAACATTTTTAAATACTATATATATAGAGAGATATAGAGATTACTTTGTGTGATAAACATTTTAAAAATAAAAAAATTTATCTATTCCATAACGATAGATGGCGCATTTGTTTGTTTTTTTGATTATTCGAAAAAAACGAAATTAATCCATTTGATGATGAATTAGATCAAATCGTATCGGAATATTGGATGCGTTGTTTTTTCCAACAATCATTATCAGCTGTTTTTGTTTCTGCTATACACTACTAACTAACTAATAAGCTCATTAATTGCCAGCCAGTTCTAATTAATTTGTTGAATGAATAATTATATTTAGTTTGTTTCTCGTAGTATTAAAGTAAGTGATTTCTTTATGCTTGTTGATTTGTTTATTATTAACCGGATTTACTTTTCATACAAGATACATTGATTTTTTTACACATTCATTTTCGATTAATTGGTGCTGTTGTTGTTGTCGTTTTTTTTCGATACCATTGGATTAATAAAATTGATATGAATTTTTTTTCCATAAACGAAATGTTTTCAATGGAAAATGAATGGTAAGAAAAGAAAATAATAAATAAATTTGAATTGCAAATTCAAATTGATGCCAATGATTATCATCATCATCATCATAATAATAACTCTCTTTCTTTCTCTCCATTTCTATAGATAAATGATCGATCAATCTTTATTTTAAATTTAAATGTTATTCACTTTGGAGAATTTTTGTGTGTGTGTGTGGTGAACAATTCCACTTTCATATTCAAAAGTCTCATCTGTTTGTGTGTATGGACACTTTTTGAATTGTGCACATCCTAAATATTGTCAATGTTATTGTTAAAAAGAAGACCGAGATAAAGATAGAATGGCCAGTGAATAATTTTCTTTTTGATTCTCATTATGCATAATAATAATAATGATGACGATTTCTTCAAGAATCCAAAATGATTATGAGAGTATCAGACAGACAAGAAGATATTCCAAGATCAGCATATTCCATGAATAAAGTTTTTCACTTTCATTACGATCCATAATTTTCTAGCCAAATGAACCAAACAAACGAAAACGAATTCTTGCATATGGTGTGCATTTATATGAATAGAAAATAAAAGAAAAAAACCATGACATTTATACCCGCATTCTTTTCCGTCGGGTTTCGCGGTTCCGGCTCCATCACATCATAATGAAAAAAGAAAATAAAGTTGAAATCAAGAACCAACAACACCATCTCAAAGTTCATTATCAGCATATGATATATTCAAAGTTTCTATATATAAAATAACTATGTGACAACAACAAAGCGAAAGCCAACCACATGAAATCACAAGTTTAGGATTTGTGAAATTCATACATCCTGAAAGGCTAAAAAAAACTCACAAGGGAAGCGGAAATCATCAACATCATCATTGGCATCACTACATAATGTGCATTTGTTTGTTTGTTGTTTGTTGTTGTTTTTTCTTTCTCCTGAATGCTTACAACACATTAATTCCAATTACCATTCCAAATGTATAACACACACACACACACACACACACACCGTCAATATGATGCGATCCAATAACAACAACCCAAAAATAACTTGAATGAATGAACGATATATGTCGTTCGTGTTTTTGTTATTCTCATAAAGATTTTTTTTTTTTTTTTTCACCGAATTCTGGACCATATTTATTTGTTTGTTTGTTTGTTCCTATTATGGTGTTATGATGCGGTTTTATTTGTTGTTGTTGTTGTTGTTGTTTTTTCGCTGTTTTGCTTGCTGCATTAGATATATGATAATTTATATGAATCGAACACAAACACATACACAAAGTGTGGTTGAAATAATAAAAACAACGAAAAAAAAACGAACGACAACGACAAGAAAATGAACATTGGACCGAAAAAAAGGAAAAAAGAAAGAAAGAAAAAAACAACGAAACTTGATGCCTTGGGAAAAAAATTATTATTATCATGCATTACACTAAAACACAGATACAGACAAACAAACACATTTTGGAAAATAAACTAATAATAAACCAAAAAGCTCCTCATCTGGTGAATTGACCATGAAGTTGTTATTTTCAACGATGAATTGGACCTAACGACGAAGTGGTAAATTTGCTTATGATTTTTTTTCCTGTAGAATCGATGATTTGACAGGAATTTGATTTGAAAGAAATGATAAAATTTGTGTTTCTGGTAAATAAGTTTATTTTTGTTTTGTTTTTCTTCAAAATAACTTGGCCACTGGTCATTGCCAATATGACACGCGCTCGTAAATTAAGGACAAATTACAAAATTATATCAAAAAAAAATGAAGAGAAAAAAATCAAAATCAATAAATGTAAATACATTGATCTGAATGTGATTGGCAAGAAAAAAAAACGAGAAAACTGAAATGTTTTTGTTTTAGAAAAAAGTGTATCGCTTAATAATAACAAATATAAAAATGAACAAATTACAAATTGAAATCGGTTATTAATTACACATTTAATCGATGGATAAGGATGATTCATTTTAATTCAATTCAATGATGATGTGGATGATAATGGAATTTCACTTCCAGTAGAGCGAAAAAAAAAAAAAAAAAAAACTTCTGGCAAAATAAACTAAAAAAAATTGATTTTATCGATTTTTTTTGTCGTTAAAAAAAACTCTAACAAACAATTAGATCATATCGTTGGTTAAATAATTGAATTTTTTGAATGATGAAACGTTTTAAATTTCACAAGATCAATTATCTGATCGATAATTGTGTCTGTCTGTGATTATAGTGGCAATTTTGATGATTTACGATTACTGTTTACTGTTTGTCTGCCAACAAATGGATAGACAATTCTGGACAATCTGATTGTGATGAGAATAAAATGAAACAAAAAAAATCAAATTATTGATCAAATCAATTGAAATTTAATTTAATCAACCTTTTTATTGATCATCATGATGAATTGGCCGTTGAAAAGTGTACTTGTTGTTGTTGTAGACCGATAGACGATGATATCGGTACTGTTGTTACATGTCCATTACCACCATTACCAGTGGCTGTAGTTACAACAGTGGCTAATCCAACGGAATTTCCATTACTCATTTGATATGTTGTTGATTGTGGTGATAATTTTGAATTATTATTTTGGCTAATTGATCCACTACGATTTGGTAATGTTCCAAATCGTACATGTTGTGTAGGTGAACCTTGTTGCTGTTGTTGTTGTCCAGGTAACATAACTTGCTGTTGATGATGATTATGATTATGATGATGATGTGGTAATGTTGAAAAATGATTTTGATTCACATTATTTGGTAATGCTGTGTGCGTATATGAATTGACTAGACCACCACCGCCGCCACCACCACCACCACCATTTCGGGTGATTAGACCACCACCACCAACGGTTGTTGTATTTGATGCACCAAATGCAGCCAATGCTGTTTGTGTTGTTGTTGTTCCAAAATCTAATGATGTAATCATTGTGCCTGTGTAAAAAAGATTTTAAAAAGAAAAAAAATTTTATTCAATAATTCATTGAATCCAAAACAAAAAAAAAGTGAACGAAAAAGAAAACAAAAATAAAATGAAATTCAATTCAAATGAAAATGTAAATTCACTCGGGAATTTTTTCTCTGACTTGGTTTCTTTGGCTGTTTTGTCTGTTTGTGTGTGTGTGTGTGTGTCAAAGTTTTTGGCATCATTGGCATTCTCATGTTCAGAAAAGAAAAAAAAATTTTTGAATCAAATTGAAACATGAAGATAATACAAATAAAAAAACCGACCAAATAAACACAAACAAGACTTGAAGGCATTTTCTTTCTGACTGTGTTTGTGTATAAAAAACTAGAAAATTATTATTATTTTTCATTAAATAAATGATGATGATGATGATGATGACGATGATATAAAAAAAATAAAGTAAATATTGCATTGAATTTTTGAATTTTAACGTTAGGGCCAAGCAAAAGTCAAACAACGGTTAACGGGAAAAAATTTTTTCAAGTTTTTAGATATCATATACAATACATAGTATGAATAGATGGTCACAAGAGAATTGCTTGGTTTCTTGTCAACAACAATATCTGTATCAGTCCATTCAAAAAAAAGGCCAGAATTTTATCCGATTCTTAAATCGAATTTTTATACATAAGTAAACAAAGTTTTTCTCTTTCTTTCGTTCCATGTGATAGAATTTTTTTTTTATTGCAACGATGATGTCCATGGATTATCGACAATATAAAATGGGCTTTCAACTCTATGTTTACATTATTATGGTATATCAACATCATGCTGAGAAATTTTTTTTTTTTTTTTGAGAAAAATTTTCAGCAATTTTTTTTCGACCAAAATAGATGATGATGAGAAAAGTTTCGGTTTAAAGTTGAGAAACTAAAATCGACTTTTGAATTTTTTGAGAAAAAAAACAAACTTTTTTACTGAAGGAGGTTGAGAGAAAAAAAATGGGCATGACGCGTATATTTTAGAATTTCAAAGATATGAAAAATATATTTTTTTTGAACTCTTGGAACAAGCTTCTTTTCATCATTTTTTTGGTAACACAAATTGCATTCATATCAACTCAACCATTCATTGATGTGTGTGGAAAAGTAGTGGATTCAATCAACCAAAAATCAATGTCCATATGGTATGGATAAAGGGCTCCTATGTTTTTTTTTCATACAATTCACAGTGATGTCCAAGAAAACTTTATTTATCTGCGTTTTTGTTTGTTTGTTTGTTTGTCTGTCTGTCTGTCAATTTGATGTGACGATTTTAGCTATAGAACAACCATCGTCATCATTTTCAATGAGAATATTTGTACGGACAACAACAAAAAATTTTTGTTGTTGATGATGAGTTTCAAGTTTCAAATGAAAACAACTATAGAATCTAGAGAACAAAAAATCTTTTCATTTCTTTTCACTTTTTTTTCGTTGATTTAGTTCCCAATACAATTCTCAAGATTTTTCTATTTTATTTAACAAAAAAAAAAAAAAACTAAACTGGAGAACAAACATCTTCATGAGAGAAACTGTACGTCAATTTTTTCCGGAACCTGATTACGGATTTCTTCGTCAGGGTTCGGTATCGAAATTCTAGTTGAAGACGAAAAAAAAAATTGAAAATTCTATCAATAAAATCCATTGTCAATTGAATCGAATCAATTTGTCAATTTATCTAGGCCGTTCGGCTTTTTTCTTTTTCTAGATTCTGAAGCTGTGTGTGTGTGTTTGTATTGTTCAATTGAAATGTTGAATTTGAAACTTTAAATTGAGAGAGAGAGAGAAAATTTGTTGTTGATAAAAACAAAAACAAAACAGAAAAAAAATTTAGCAAATGACGTCGTTCGACGAATGATGTTGACATCAGTTGAGAAAAAAGTTTTGGTTAGTTGGTCTCGTCCTTTTTTTTCATTGGATCCAAAATGAACATTTCATTCTTTCTCCTTAAGGATATAATGATGATGATGATGATGATGTGGATCATCGATAGTTGAATAGAATGGAAAATTGAATAAAACAACAACAAAAAAAAACAATTCACTCGGTTTTTTTCTATCTTTCTTGTTTTTGTTTGTTGCATTTGCAATTATTAATTTTTTTCTGCTCGATGATCTGTGTTTTGCTATTGGTTCACATCATCACATCACATTTAAATGGGTTCAATTTCAATGATTTTTCTAATTCGGCAACAGATTCTTTGGACAAATTCATGGAATCGACTATCAGATAGACAGTTGAATAGTTTTTTTTCTGTGTGGATAATAATGATAACAACAGCAAAAAAAAATTGATTTCCAATGATGATGACAAAAGACAACAGCCGAAAACGACAACAACAAAACTTTCTGTTGTCGTCATCATAGATTTGTTTTGTGTCATCTTTTATGGCAATGGCAAATATTGGAAATATCAATAAATTGCCTGATCAATGGCAAGAAATAATTTTCGATAATAATTTGAAATGAAAACCGGAAACAAATAAAAAAAAATAGACAAAAAAAACAGCAAACAAACAACGAAAAATTACTTACAAACACCATCTAATTTTGTTTGATAAATAGGATTGAAATTATTATTTGGATGATGATGCACTGCTGTCATCAATGGTGTTGTACCCATATGATGTCCAGTATCATGTAATTGATATTGTTGTTGTTGTAAGGCCATTTGTTGTTGTTGTTGTCGTTGTTGAATCAGAAGACGTTCACGGCGACAAAGACAGAATGCCACAGATATTACACAAGCTAAACATGATACAAATATTGATGATACGATTGCGATGAACATCATTGGATCAAGACCAATTATTGTATCTGTTACTTCATTTTCTACACACAAAAGAGAAGAAGAAAAAGTGAAAAAAAATTAGAAATTGTTAACTAAACATTCATAAATATCGATCGATCAAGTAATAAAAAAAAGGACACAAAATACTTTATCATCATTTTGATTTCATTACATTCTGCATATGCGACAATACTTTATTCTATGAAAAAACTTTTCATCTTTTTTTTCTCTCACAATTTTAATCCGATTATCTGTATATTATTATTATTATTATTCGGAACGAAAAGAAATATGATGATGATTATCATAATCATAATGTTCGCCAAAAAAAAAATGACAAAGAATATTCCGAATAGAAACAATAGGAACATATTATATATGGTTATTATCATCTGGAAAAATCATTATTATGATTATTGTCACAATAATAATAATAATAAATCATCTATGATGATCATCTTGATGGTGGTAGTGGTTCTGAGAATATATTCTGTAAATTCTAGGTTCTAGAATCAAAAAAAAAACAAAGAGAATAGTGTATGGAAAGTTAACAATAACGAAAACGAAAAGAAAAAATTGATCTGATTAAACAAGTATATTATATACTGAGAGTTTGGAAAAAAAGATTTACTGTATTATTCTCTTTTTCTATCTCTATCTCTCTCTCGTACGCTCTATCATTATATCATTATTCCGCGTTGGTTTTCTTCGTTGTTTGTTGTTTGTTGTTGTTGTTGGACTTTATCGTGTAACGTTTTATGTGACAAGACCATGAAGAGAGATATAGAGATAGAGATACCGGCAAAATATGTATTTTGTTGGGAGATGGAAAGGGCTATATTGCAATAAACAAAAAATTTGAATCAAAAAGGAAAAAAAATAAACCTGTACTACGCCTTAAATTATTAATCAATAATGTTTTGTTCGTTTTGGGAAAGAAAAAAAAATTGGTGGATTGTTTTTTTTTCTTTCGACCATAAAATTATTTTTCATCATCAGATCGATTCAAGAAATGTTATATACCTGGAATATTACTGCAAATATAAAGTATGGGTTTAATCACGCAAACATCTGGCTGCTGATTGTGTCGGTGTTTTTTTTCCTGGAAACTTTCATCTCTCTATTTCACAATTCAATCAAATTTATTTCAAGAATCGATTAATTAATTGATTGATCCAAGATCATGGCTCTAATACATAAAGGCAAGGTAGACATTACCAGGTACAAGAAAAAAGTTCTAATTTCTTTTAGCCGAAATGATAAATCTTTAAATCTCAGCTCACTGGAAAAAAAGAATCATTATTCATTCTTTTAACCATTTTCAAGCTAATTAATAAAAAGTGTGCAAAAGACTAGCGAAAAAAAAAATAATCAGGGTTTTTAAATAGATCTTCAGATCTTAATTAAAAAAGATTGATGATTTTCATCATGATCATGATCATGAAGGCTCTTTTTTTTGGTGTACCGCCTATTTTTTGTGAGGGATGAATTTACATTTTTTTTCTCTTCACATTGAAAAGACATTTATTTTACATGTTCATCATGAATGAACAACAACAACAAATTGAATGTCAGTCAGTTATAGCTCGATGAGAAAATGTCATTTGTTTCTCTCTGTATCTAGGTGCACAATTTAATTAGATATACAACAAAGATATAGAAACAAAATGAAAGAATTTCAGTTAGAATTCACTTTTTCTTGGGAAAAAATTCTTGATTCCATTTTCAAGAAAATCGATTGTTCATAGTGAATATAATTCGTTTTTCATTGTTATTTCTCCTAGACAACCGAATAAAAAAGAAAAGAAAAAAAAAAAAAAAATCTCAGGACGTCAAACCGGGTAATGAGTGTAGGAAAAAATTGAGAATTTTTGAATAAATTTTCAATGAAAATGGAAATTCTCATTCATTGTAAATTGATCGATTTCATTTTTTTTTTTTTTTTTTTGATTCGGCGAACAGAAAAAAAATGTTATTAAAATCGGCAAAAATAACAGAGAATATCGTCATGTTTGTCGTGTTGTTCATGTGTTGTTGTATTTGGTTACCTTGACAATGGACATAATAATGTTCATCACTATTGTCACCACAATGATTCACTCCATCACAGACCAGATCGCGTGATACACAATATTGATTGGCGCATCGATGTTCACGGCAATAGTTTTCTAGATATAAAAAAAGACACAAGAAAAAATGATTAGTTTCAATTGGATAGAAATAGAAAAATTCCAGTGTTTCATTCAATATCATTCCATGTAGTTGTTGTTGTTGTTGTTGACGTTTTTTTCGACACATTTTTTTTGACATATTGGAAATTAATTTAACCGAGAAAAAAAATTGTGAAGAAAGTTTTTCTCTTTTTCTTTTTGCTTGCTTGCTTGATCTCATTGATCACACAAAGTGTTGTTGTTGTTGATTTTATAGAAAAATGACAACAACAACTACAAAATACACACATTAAACCACGATCAATGAATTATTTTCAGAAAATCAGTGAAAAAAGAAGGAAACGCCTTGATTTGGAATTTTTGTGAAATTTTTTTTTCACGGTTGAAAATTGAAGAAGAAAATTTCTCGGTTATTGTTGTGGTACTGGTGGCGGTGGTGGTGTAAATTGTGATTGATTAATGTAAATTTGATGATTTGGATAATTTTCAATAACAACAACCAATTATAAATAACTAGGTAGAAGAAAAGAAAAAATTCACACATTTAAGACATTTTCTCACCCCTCTAGATTTTCAGCAACAAACAATCAAACAAAAACAAAACTTAATTTATACAAAAAGGTTTTTTTTTGGCAATTACAAATTACTATATATTGCTGTATGTGTGTGTGTGTGGGTGGGTGTATGACTAATTCGAGCTTATAAAATAAAATGAAAAGAAAGAAAGAGAAAAAAAGTCAACGTTAATCAAAGTAACGAACGATATAATGATGACAGTAATAGTGTGTGTTTTGTTTTGTGTGTGTGTGTGTGTGATATATACCGGAATTCATCCATAACGAACGTTATTCTTTGAGAGAAAAAAAATATCATCTCTTTCTTGTTTCAATGGCGGATTGCTTTTTTTTTGTCGTACGCACACACACAAGGTTTATATCATATTTTCTTCGTTTCGGTTCGATTCTTTTTTAAAAAAAAAAAAAAATTCTTGCCACCGGATTCTCTTTTTTTTTCTTTCTTTTCACTGTATCAATGTCTGTGTGTGTGTGTGTGTGTGTGTGTGTACTACTACTACTACTACTGCATAGATATGTTACATTTGCGTGCAAAAATATTAAAAACATTCCACGTTGATAATTTTCTGGTCTGGAATTGTTGGGGATGGTACATAGCTTATTGCGATAAGCGAATGAATGAGCAACAAAAAAGAGGAGAGAGAGAGAGAGATTGACTTTTACTAATGGCGTGATGGTTGTTTCCGAAAGGAAAAAATTTTTGGCTTGTGTTTTTTTTCTGGTGGTGGTTGTACAGAATACTAATCATCATCATCATCATCATCATCTGGAATGAAACTTCATATAATAGACCCTTACTGTAATGGTTTTTGATTTTAACGCGCGTTGCTTGTAATGTTGTTGTTGATGATGATCAATTGGATCATATTTTCAATATTTTTGTTCACTGTTTTGTTAAATAATAAATTGATGATGATGATGACCATTATTCATGTTGATATAATGAATATAGTCTAGTTGAGAGGTTATGACCTCGTTCCAGAATGAATGGAATCGAACTGAACTGAACCGAATTTTTATTTTTATCAGTGCCGTGGCTCTGTCGTATGGAACAATGTTGAAAAATAACAAAGATTATCTACAATTTTTTTCCCATTCAGCTCATTTATCAATGAATAAATGAATGATAATGAATATGAATGAGAACATGTCATCCGGAGTCAAGCTATAATGTTGTGAACATGGTCATTGGTGTTTTTTTTTTGCTCGATAACCTAGACCAGAAAAAAGCGAGTGATTACATAAAAAAATGAAAATGGAAATGAAATTCTATTTTGAAAAAAACCGGAAGGTAGTAAGGGAAGGATTATCGCCATATATTTAAAAAATTAAATTAACCCTTTTTTCCATATCTTTAATTGCATTTATATTTTATTATCATTTTTCTCATTTGGAAAAAGAAGAATAAAGAAAAAAAGAATTCATTTCATTACCACATTCAACAGCAGCAACAATATGATGATAATGGTTTCATAAATTCAATCTGTCATTTATGTCAAGTGTTTTTTTTTTCTTTTTCAATTTTATTTTTATTTGTTTGATCTAATAATAATCATTGCCAGAAAAAGACCGTCCTGGTTCTGGTGATGATACACTAGAACCAGAACCAACAGTAGCCAACACACACACACATACACAGCAAAAGAGATGATGATCATGCACTATTTAGCAGGAATAAAATTTAATTATTAATCCAAATATAAATTGTATAATGAAATGTGAAAAACCACCACCACCAAAAAAAAAATATACCGCCCAAACAATAATAATGGGCGAAGAGAGAGAGAGTGGAAAAATTTTTAGCCATATAAAAAACAAAATGGACAGAAAAAAAGAACTTTGCCCGTTTCATCATTTGGACTTTGAATGATTAAAATTACACGAATTACAATTGCACACAATTGCACAACTGATCCAAAAACAACAGTATCAGACAGTGGAAAAGTTTTCATAATTTATGTTTTGTAGTGAACAATAATGATAAATCAATGATGATCATCATCATCATGAATTTTGTGAGAAAAATTACGATTTTCAGCTTGAAAGAATTTACGATGTTTTATGGTCGAATTGATTCAGTTGAACAAGAGAAAAAAAAATATGGCGCCATAGAATCGAGAATTTTTTCGATGGAAATAATAAAATGAATACTGAGATTGCTTTTTTTCTCTACCACGTTTTGTGTGTGTGTGTGTGTAATTCAGCCAAATCTCAAGCCACCAAAATTGAAAAATGCAAATTATTAATAAATTTGCCTTTTGATTATATGACAGCAATGATGATCATGATCATCATCATCATCATACAATGATAATTTCAATAGATCCATATGGATCTCTCGACTATCACTAATTCAAACACTATGTGGCCTGATCTTGAGACGCCCACCATGAACGAAAAAAAAGGAAACAAAAGTCGTTTTGCAATAGCAAAAAAAAAAATTTTTTTTTTCATTTCATTTCATTGAATATCGCTATTTATATTGGTTCGCCTGATATTCACTTTTGGAATGTTCCCATTGGAATACGAAGAAGATGAAGAAGAAGAAGAAACGAAAACCATAGTTTTACCAGTAGACACTCTATTATTATCGTTATATTCATTTTCAAATTATTTTTCTCCAATATTATTGAATTTGATTCGAGAGAAAACTAACTGAAAATGCATTAAAATCCAATGTAAATGAATGAATGAATAAAACACATTTATTTTATTATGAAGAAAGAATGAATGATGAAAAAAAAATTTGATAAAACACTCGACGAATACATTTGAATGAAGATTATTATACAGAAATTTTGCAAGAATGTGGGCTGACCCAAAAAGATAATGAAAGAAAGATAATGATTTATATCTAACCAAGAAAATTTTATGGCATCCAGATTTTTTTTTCATTGGAAAAGTTCTGGAATGAAAAAAATTTGTTGTCTTTGTTCGGGTTTTTTTTCAGAACCAAAAAAAAACGAAAGGAGTAAACCAATGGGGAATTTTCTCGCACATCCAACATTCATACGACGACGATGACAAAAAAAACAAAAGGAATTTTGATTGCAATCGTCCATGGCCATGTTTTCTCTTTTTTTCTCGAAAAAATGATAATAAATTATATTTTAATAAGTTTTTGCTGTCTATCCCTCTCTAGTTTTTTCATAATATCGTCACGAATCCAAATAAAAACTTTCAAGTTGAAAAACAAAAAAAAAAAACAAAATTAATAATAACGTCGTTATCCTCAATCATTTCGATAATCCAAGTTACAAGAGAAAAAAACTGGCCAATTGTATCAACTTTTTCATTCTTTGCCAATTTTATCTCGTTCTCTACTCACAAGTGGAAACTTGATGCAAAACTAAATAAAAGAAAAAGATAGCCTCAAAGGATGTGAAATGAAGAAAAAAAATTTCTGTTTGCATGAACTAAAGTTGAAGTGATCCTAAGAAAGAAAAAAAAAAATTCTCGATAATCGCCAGCCAAATATGATTGTTGTGGTTGTGTGGCCCTTGATTATATTGAAACCCATAGGCAACAACTACAATCGCCATCACCACCACCACCACCACCACCACCACTACCCATAGACACATCATACATCTCAACAAATAAACCAAACCAAACTGTCAGTGTGATAGTCAAAATGACTGTCGACGATTTATTAGTTTGGCCATTTTTTTCCTGTTTGTTTGTTTGTTTGGTTGGTTAGAACTTGGTATGCACATTTTTTTTGTTATCGCAATTCTACAGTAAAAAAAATAGAATGTGGAAAAAGTTGATTTGGCTTTTTGCAGATTTGATGATGAACGAACCAAAACAAAAAAAAAAGAAGAGAGATCGAAAAAAAGTTTCGGACATTTTATTCGAGGAGTTATCTGAATGTTTGTTCGGTTGGTTGTTTGTGTGCACACACACACACACACAGAGAGAGAAAATAACTGATAATAGAATAGAAATTGAAATCTAATTGAATATCTTTTTTACTTTTCTGTTTTTTTTCAGAGTAGCCTTAACTAAACGATAAACTGAAAATGAAAATATGTCACTGCATTCAATGATAAAGAAAAAAAAATCAAGTTGTCAGATTGTTTTGCATTTGCAGAATTTCGAAATTGATATAAACGAGAGAATCAACATAAAGAAGAAAAAAATACAAGAATCATATTGAATTTGCGAAAAAAAAAAATGAAAAGCATAAAAAATATTTAGATCAAATATTGAATTATCGGCTACAACGACACACACTCAATGAATAAGCAAACAATTTTTTAAGGACAAAAACACACATGGATTCAATTTGTAGATTTTTTTTTTTTTTGATTTATATTACAGATACATTTATCATCCATGTCATTTTTGTGTATCGAGAATTGTTTCATTTAATTTTTTTTTTCATATCAACAAACAGCACACTTACTTGAATCTTTATAGGCAGTGATGATTAAACGGAAACCATTATCAGCTTTGGAATAGGCATCCGTTGTATATCGAAGTGTTAGAAAATTGCTCTGTATATAGATTGTGCCCACTTCGGCTCTTGTACTACGACAGGATAAATCAGCCTGTGTAAAAAAATGATGAAATGAGATTTTAAAGAAAGTGAAAATTTAAAAAAAACAATAATCAAATAATTAGTCAGTCAGTCAGTGAATTGAATTGTATTTGGTCGAGATTTTCATTGTTTTCATTTTTTTCTGCCTATACTGCCATCGTAATGATCAGATTGATTGTAAATGGAAAACATTTTTTTTTTGTACAACACAATCCAATATTGCCTAATCCCTGTATATCGATGTTTGGAATCCATTTCAAATACGTTAGTAACAAACAAAACAAAACAAAAAAAAATTTCATTATCGATTCTATATCATATATGAACAGATTAAGACCAGGATTAAGCTGATCCTATTATGATTATAGTGCACCGTAGAAAAGATGAATTCATTTATTGTTTGCAATTGCACTGTACACGAAATGAATTTTTCGATTGTTCATCATAATACTATTCTCTTCTATTTGTTGGTTATCAAATTGTTTTCGGCTATTGGATCATTAATTTGAGCCAGAGAAATATAGACAAATTTTTTTCAGAACCATTTACCGTAATCGAATTAATGGATTAGTGTGTATTTTTCATTTCATTTCATTTTTTTTTTTGGACAATTTTCTATTCCTGTTGTTTTTTCTTTAAACTTGAAAAGAAAATTTTGAAATTCAAACTCAATTTTCTCATCTCATGTTTGGAATCGTGAAGGAAAAAAAAATTCAATAATTTTCCATTGCCATCACTACTGCATTGATGTAGATGCCTATAGGCATAGTGTTTCATGGTTTGTGGCTTACCCGAATTTGGTTTTTTTTAAGAAAAAAAAAGTTCCATTGCCACTGGTAATTCATTGATTCATTTTGGTCGATAATAAATTTTTAATATTGATTATTCTTTCGCACATACAGAAACACAAGTGGTGCAATGGTTTTTTTTTCATTCAACAAGAAACGATAAAATCGGTTATTATCGGTCGTCGTCGTCGTCGTCAAGAAGAAGAAGAAAAAAGTTTAGTGTTTGAGCCGGAACCCCACACACACACACACACACCGATATTTAACACTTGGACAGTTAGAATACTAGATCTTTATTATTTTCAGTGTGCACAACTGTGTTTTAGTTTTTTTTTCTTCTCTGTTCAAGCAACCAACATTCATGAACAAGAATACTTTTTCTATTCATTTCTTTCACATTCCTAAACAATTCAGATATGACGATATGAGAAACCTGAAATGAACTTTTTGGTTCCGGTCTCAAAATATTCAATCAAATAATGATTTTATTCATGACTGAACTTTGTTAAACTTTGAAGCGATAAAAGAAAAACTAAAAAAAAATGACAGAAAAAAATGTACACATACCTTATGATTGCCGATAGTATGTGCACCATCATAAATATAGAGATGATCATTACAATCCAAGGCCAATTTTTCAAAACGTAACATAAATTTTTGTAATATTGTATCCGTTTGAAATGTAATTGTACAATCAAGATTATTTTCCGCTTTACTAGTGATGACGGCACCATCAATTTTTTTCGATAATGGATGTACACGTTCACGTAGACATAATGCTGATATGTGATCTATATATGTTGATGATGATGTATGTTGTTGTCGTATGGAAAGAAAATGAAAAAAAAAAAAAAAACAATGAATATCATTAGTAGTGAAAACAAAAATCAGACAATATCAACCAATCAATCAATGAAGAATGATTGATTTTTTTTCTAGTTTTATGAGGCACAATTGAATGAAAAAAAATTCGACAGTAATAAAAAAAATTTGACAATAATCAATCAGTAATCATTATTGTTATTGTTATTATTATAACGGCATATCAAAAATGTCAACCTGAACAAAAATTGTCTACATTTTTTTTCGATACATATGATTATTATATAAATTGAGCCCAATAAAAAAAAGTGACAGTGAAACTGTTATAATCAAGGTGAAAAAAAATCGTATTACACCGGCGATCTAGACTAAAAATTTTTATTATTATTGTTGCTGTAAAAAAAAAAGATTGATGAAAGAGCTTAACCTGGTGAGCGAGAATCTACCTAGTTGATCAGAAAAAAAATTGTTCAACACTATTTATTGACGCTGGAATAATAATGATAAATAAATAAATAAACAGATTTTCATTTGAGTGATGTTGAGAAGAAGAAGAAAAAAAAATCACATTATCATTCTTACTCGATTTGATTCTATTTATGCATGAATAACAACATACTTATTTCTGATGGGAATTCTGTGTGTGTGTAGAAAAACAAAACAAAAACTAAAAACCCATTGTCTTTATCGAATGAATGGTAAGCTAATAAAAATCGGGCAAAGAAGAATAAGAATAAGAATATGGACAGGGAAAGACGAAAAAAAACAGCCGGTTAAAGAGAAAATGCAAAAGCAAAAAGCAATTTAAAATTTGATCCATAAAAGAAGTTTTTTTTTCTGCCGATGAGAATGAATGAAAATCACAATCAAAAAAAAAAAAAAAATGATACAATTGCAAACGCGCAAAACACATCCGATAATAATAATTCTGAACAACAACAATGGTAATAATAATAGCAATTTTGGTTTCACAACAACAACAACAACAACAACGAGAATCGATCAACGACAATAGATTCGATCAACCATGTTTTTTTTGTTATTTTGCTGAAAAATTCGTTTATATATGTTGAACAAACACAGCTGCTAGATAGTTTTTTTTGTGTGTGTGTGTGTCAAGTCTTGTTATTTCGAAAAATCTGAAAGTGTTTGATGATCGAGAAAGAACCTGATTGAATCGGTATTTTATTTTAGTAGAACGAATTTTCATTTTTTTGAAACAAACGATTGAATCGATTAATTTTTCTTTTTCTCGTAGATGAATTTTTTTTTCACGCCCAAACTAAATACAAGGCAATTTTTGCATCAAAATCAATATTTTGTGGTTTCAATCTGAACATTTCAGCATCATTTTGCAACATAAAAAAAAGTAGATTTAGTGGAAAAAAGTCAATTAATTTTTTTTCACTTTTTTCAATTTACAAAAAGAATGTTGACTTGGCAGAAAATGCGAGAAAATTTCCGGAATTTTTTTTAAGCACCAAGTTCAAATTCAAACGAAGGAAATGTTCTGGGAAATTCATTTAATTTGCTGTTCATGTTCAAGCTTCGTTGATGATGATATCTTTTTTTTTTGGTTGGATTAAATTTTTGAAAACAAAACGAAAAAAAAACCATTCCAATAGATGGTCAGAATGTTTATAAATTTTCATGACGAAGAAAAGAAAGAAAAAAAATTGTCAGAACAGCTAAAAAAACAATAATCCAGTAGTAGCAGCATCATTTGGGCAATTTAGTTGTGAAAATTTTTTTTCTGAACTAAAAAAAATGCTTGAAATTTAATTACTTTTTCTTGGTACATACAAGTCAATTGTTTCGACAAAAAGAAAAACAAATGCTTTTCTTTAATAAAAAATCCGATTGCCGATAAATTCGTTATTTGTGCCAAGCATCATCAACACACAGGAACCAGTCTTATTGATTTTTTTCTATTGCAAAAATTTATAATCTAAACTTATTTTGGGCTATTTTTTCGCGTATTTTAATATACTAGTTATTCTATTGTCAACCAAAAAACAAGCCGAATAGAATGATGGTATGTCTAGTTGGATAGAAATAATAATGACAAACAAAAAAAAACAAAATTGAATCAATCAATCGAAGAGAGAAAAAAAAAGAACTTGAATCACTGGAATCACTAATCAAAGAGAAGAGATGAGATGATGAAAAAAAAATTGGAACCACGTTTTGTAGAGTTGCAATTCGGTTTTTTTTCATTATGTTCAATTCTTCTTCTTCTTCTTCTTTTTTTCCAAGTTTAATTTGGTTCTCAACAACCGTCGATTCTTATTGATTAATTCATTGTGTGTGTATGTGTGTATTGTACAAAGAATTGTTTATTTCCAATAGACATTTTACAATGTCTAGTAATAATAAATTCTTTTTAGTCTCATCAAATGATGAAGAATATATTCTTAACATAAACAACATATATATAACAATTATGATGATGAACATCATCGACGAAAAAAAACCATAAAAACAACAACTTTTCATCATCATCATCCAAAAAAAAAAAAAAATTAAAGTGAGATGGCCACTTCAAACAAACAGAACATATATGTGTGTGGGTCATAGAAATTAGCTATAAATATTTGAAATGTCTCTGTGATGCGGGAAAAACACTTCAATTTTCAATGATATTTTAGCATCAGAAAAAAAATGCCGAGAATTTACCATCGATTCACATTGCTCTGGTTGTACAGTGGTGTGGAACAGTAATTACAATTTTTCGTTTCTTTCGTTTTTGCCATTGTTATTCACGGCAAATTTTGTTTTTCAACAATTTTCTTTCCATCATCATCATCATCTAACTGATGGTTTGATGATGGTGATGAACTTTTGTTGTTCCAATTCGACAAGGCAACGAAAAAAAAAAAAATTCACTTCAATTCTCATCTCATTGAAGCATATAGAGAATATACACTAATAACAACAACAACACCGTTTCTGGTTTCGACAGAATTGTACTGTTGTTGTTGATGAGAATGAATTTGCGAATACTACATGTGTGTGTGTGTGCATGTGTTTCTGTATAAGTGTAAAATGAAAAAACGAATCAAAAATTGGTTTGGTTGTTCGGAGAAAAAATTGGAATCGAAAATTGAAAAAAATTCAAGAGTGTAGATATTCTCCAAAAGAAGAAGAAAAATTCTAGTGAAAATGGAATAATGATGATGATGATTATTATTATTGTTATTATTTCGTAGTATGGTTTTTGTGATTCTAGTGGTGTAGGAATACCGTTGCGAAAAAAAGAAAGAAGCAGAATTTTTTTTCTTTGAAATAAACGAAAATCAAGAAATGATGGATGAATTCTTCATTTGGTTCAATTCTAATCATATATGATAATGCTCTGTGTATGTGTGTGGGTCCCAATACAATAACATCATCATCATCATCACCATCCATCGTTTGGATCCAAAAGAGTTTTGTCGAAACCAAAACAAAACAAAACAAAACAAAAAAATGCGAATGAAGAAAAAAACTTACAAAAACGATTTCGATCACAATGAACAAAACGATGATGTTGAACGAATAAAAAATGATCGATAATTGTCATTATAAATATTAATAAAAGGCATCTTTGTAGAAATCGTTGTAATATTGATGAACTATTTTCATGTTGATGATGATAAGAAAACATTGATGATGATGATGATGATGAATATTGTCTAGTTCTAAATTTTTTAAATAAATTTGAATCAAGTGATGATAATGTTGTTGTTGTTTCTATTGCTATTGATGGTGATGGACGAAATTTCGATGATAATGATAATGATTGATAGGCACTTTGACTATTGTTGAATTTATTACCATCATTTGTTGATGATGATAATGAATGATTTGATAGAATTGGAAGATTTGTTGTGATGATGATGATGATGGAGCAATTATCAAAGGTCGAGGACAACTATATCGACAGTGATAATTATTATTATTATGGTGATCATGATGATGATGTAACGAACACATTCGATATTGATATGATGTTGATGATGATGATGAACATTTCATCGTCGTTATTAATGCCGAAGATTCATCATCATCATCTGGACCAGAAGATGATGATGATGACGATTTTTGTTGTTTCAACATTTTAATATCGTGAATAGTAACCATACTATTCATGATTTATACACACCGGACACATTGAGATACACAACAAAAAAAAACCACATATTGAAAACACGTAAGCAAATATAACATTTAAACCAGAAATTGAAAAAAAGCAGCACCGAAAAAAAAATTAATAAAATTCTGGAACACACAAACACATACACACACTGAACATATTTTATGGTCAAAAAAAAAAGAACAGCAGTTTTTTATTATTTTTATTGTGGTTCTGGATCCGTTCTATTGTTTTGTTTTTGTTGTTGTTGTTTTTGTGATATTATTATTAAAATAAGCTGCTCGATGATAAATGGCTGCGGTGGTAAAAATGAACGACGACCACAACAGTGAAATAAGAATATATATGGTGGATATGATGATGATTATGTTGATAAAACAAAATAAAAATGAACTATGAAATGTCAAGTTTCTAAAAACACAAACACACACACACGCACATACACACAAAAGATGAAAATAGAGAATGGCAAAATAAATACCACATTTAGTCCATTTTTTGTGGAAGAATTTTCGTTGTTGTCGATGATGATGATGATGAATTCTAGGTTTCTATATTCCGGCTTCGAAAAAAACCATTTATTCCGTACAAGGTTTAAGCTATTAACAATTAAACAGGAATTGATGATGATTGACACACACACACAATTTGGCTGATGAAATGATGAAAATGGAATCTAAATCATTCATTCACAGTAAAGTAGTAGTGGTGAATGGCTGTTACCGAAACTGATTGTGTGTATGTGTGTGTAAAAGAGAGAAATAAAAGTGAAAAAACCGACCGACATTCGCCGATCCTAATAACGAAAACAATAACAACAACAGAAGCAGCAGTCCCCCAGAAAGAAATGAATGGCGGATCCTTTTTTTTTGATTCCAATTTTTTTTTTCATTGAGCCATCCACACCACTCTTACAATCATGAAACAAATGAAACCAAACGAATAAGACTAGACCAGACCAGAGTAACAACAACAAAAAATGGATAGTAGAATTCTACATTGAAAAACAGTAGTGGTATAGGAAAAAGGTTCGGTTGTTGTGTACTGGCTGTTTCCGATCCATTTCGGTCGTTGGCTCTACAACTAAAATGCTCGAACCAACGAAATAAACAAAAAGAAAAACACAATGAATTCCAAATCTCGAATCCTCATCAACATCAGTATTATAGAAGTGGTATATATGAATGAAATGGAATTCATTTACCAATCAATGCAACTTTGGATCCAAAGAATCCAGAGAGAGAGAGAAAATTCATTCTGGTTTTTTTTCGTAGCAGCATTTTGTATGTGTGTGTGTTTGTGAAGGTTCCAAAATGATTTTTTGCCATCATGGATAGTTGTAGCAGGTAGTAGTGGTAATAAATTCAAAATGTGGATCTTGCGTAAATATTTCAACAAAAAAAAATTTATTTTATTTGCTCCATCATTAACATCATCATCATCATCATCACCATCCGCATGTATACATCAAGTTTACAAGTCTCAGGCAAAGTTCCAGTAACCAGAAAAAAAGAGCCGCCAAAAAAAAGCGTAGGCAAAATGAATTTATTCGGCTAAAAACTACATACATACTACACGTTCAGATAGAGAGACAGGCTAAGCTAAACAGATTCAATTCAATTCAATGGAACTCACAAAAAAATCGACTTTGTCAAACTTTAATTTTTACAACAACCACTGCCACTATTATCCTACTACAATCAGAAATCATGGAATGCAGCACCTTTTTTTTCATTTTTTATAGAAATACATTTTTTTCTGTTTTTGTTGTTGTTGTTGTTGATGTTTTTTGATTCAAGTTTATTTTCACTTTCCAGTTGTAATCGATGATTCCAACTGACTGACTGAATTCACTCTTATCTATCATACCATACGATTTGAATGATGATGATAAAGATAATTCACAGACAGACAGACTTGAGGCCAATTATTATTCGCTGTTTTTTTCTGGATTCTAGATCCTTAGACACCAATGATGATGCTTTCTGATTCATTTGATTCTGATTTGATGATGATGTTGATGATGAATAATCAAATTGGTGATTGAAATTCTTGTTGTTTAGATTGATTTGAAGTTAGAAAATAAAAGAGAAACTTTTTTGCCTTCTACTTTTTTTAATGTCTGCATATTGCAAAAGAAGAGAGAGAGAGAGAGAGAGAGTGAATGAACAAATTCCGTTTCCTGTTTTATAAAAACGTATGGAATTTGTGTGTGTATTGCCTACATTAACTACTACTGCATCATCATTTGAACCAAAAAATCATTCGGTTCAGTGACACTGGGAGCGCGCAAGACGGTTTTGATTAAATAACATCAACAACAACAACACATTTCTGGATCGATCCAAAATCATTGCCGCTACTACTACTATATATACTTGGTTTTTCGATAACATGAAGGGGTGGTGTCACTTTTCGTTTATGAAATTTTCATTCATTCATTCACTACAATGACCATAGACCTCATGAATGAGAATTATTCAAATGCCACACTTTCAATCATTCTTTTTTCAACATTTTCATCATCATCGTCATCATTGGAAAACAAAAATTGAACAATTTATTATCTGATTGAACGAAAGAAACAAAGCAAATATTCAAAAAAAGAATTGATTGACATCATTCGATTCATGGAATTCGAATTACAAATGATGAACACATTTAGATGTTGATTTGCCTTCACATGCAATCACTGAAATACATCCTTTAACATTTTTCGCTGCCAAACAATTGATTGTTGGTCCTACACAATGTTTACACCAATCTTCACCCATACAAGCTAGAAAATGTTCGGCTTTTACGCCAAATTTTTTCACTAATTTATAATATTTGTGTATAGTTTCTTTCGATATTCCGACTTCCAAATCTTCTTTAGCATCAGCAATCGTCATCATCATCATTGTACCAATGATGACCAAAATGGTGGCGATGGCAATGTAAACTGGAAAATTTACAAATTTTTTTTCATCAATAAATCACACAATTTAGAAAAAAATGACAAGACTTACTTTTCATTTTGTTTGATAGAAAAAAAAATTTTCAATGAGAAAGATATGTTTATAGCGTCGTACTTGATACAAAAAAGCATCCAAACCTCGTGATTTTATATCATTTTTATCAAATTATTTAGCAACAATTATGGTAATTAATTAGGAAATTATCATCGTACAACGAAAAAATACTTGAGATTTTTATTGAGAAAAAATCGTACGATGACGACGACGACGTCAATGATGTCGATGAGTTAAATAGTTGTAATCCACAAATGTTCCAGGAACAGCAATAATCAGCAATAAATTAATTTAAAAAACAAAGTAAATATTTAAAAAAAGAATGGATTGACATCAATCGATTGGTTCATGGATCGAATGATGAATACATTTTTAATGATTGTTATGCCTACACCTTCAATCAATGCAATACATGACAAAACAATAAAAAGGTTGTAGGTTAAAATCCCGAAAACAAAAACCCCGAAAACCGAAACGCCGAAACCAAATGACCGAAAAAAAATTATCCCGAAAACAAAAACCCCGAAAACAAAAACCCCGAAAAAAAATTATCCCGAAAAAAAATTATCCCGAAAACAAAAACCCCGAAAAAAAATTACCCCGAAAACAAAAACCCCGAAAACAAAAACGTAGAAAATGGCTTGTTCCCTTAAACTTTAAATGAACGGAGATTAACACTATTACTGTAAGAAATTTCATGTACCGGATTCTACGAAAAGAAGTCATTAGATCTAGTTTATTCATCATACAATCACCACAAGTTTTAAATTTTAAATTAATATCTAGATATTCATGATGATATTTTTTAATTTGTTGTCAATAATCCATAGATTAAATGAAATTTCATTTTTTGTTATTTGGGCCAAATTTTCTTCAAAATTTATCTTAAAACCGCCTTCAATCAATTTTCGAACAGATATCAAATTTGAACTGAAACCTCCATAGGCCACATCTTTCAATTTGGTTTTGGTTCAATAACAACATTACCAATTTTTCTCTGATGTAATTGTATTACCATTAGCCAATTCAAATTCAATCTGTTTATCTTCTTGATCCATAAGTAAATTTTTATCAATCGTTGTATGAGAAGTACATCCAGAATCAAGTATCCAGATATCTGATAATTTTTCAGCACATTTCAACAACAACGATTTTGCAGCTTTCTTCTCTTTTTTGTTATTTGATTTCGTGAAAATGATGAGCTAGAAGAAGATTTATCATTAGATGATGTTGATGGAGAAACTTCTGTTTTATTGGAATCAATTTTTCGTTTCATCCAACATCCTTCAACTTTATGTCCAATTTTATAGCAAAATGGGCATTTTATATTATTTTTAAACTTTTTCTTAAGATTGAGATTTGGCCTTTTCATCATATACAATGAATTCATTCATGATGTTGTTCATTGTACCATTCTGGTTCATCATAATTCGATCAGCCAGTTGTTCAAATTTTGAATTTGATCGTAACATGCTCATAATAATCACGCAACGATGTTTATCAGTGTATTTACACGATTCTGATTCAATCGATTCAAATTTGACAATAACTGTTTCTAGCCTTGTTCTCAAAGAACTACTTTTATATGAACATGTTGTAGTGAGAATCAAACGAATGCAAAATGAACAATATTTAATAATAAATAAAGGTTAATCGTAGCTGAATAACGCTACTCTTATAAATATTGCACAAACATAATTGTTAAGTAATTACATTACTACAACAGAACATTGGCTGGCTTCAGTAAAATCAGCATTTCGAAGTTGTGGTAAATAGATCAACAGATTTCAAACTATGTTGTAAATTTTGAACCGGAATTTTAGTTTGTCTTTGCTCAATATCCATAATCGATGTGGTTATGATAATGTTCGGTTGCTAGCTTATATTGTGGACATTCTTCACAGAAAACTGAATAATTGACATTTAATTCAGAACTAGACTAATTTTTCCTGTGTTGATTCCACCACAAACAATAAGCACAACTAAATAATTGACTAGATGAAGTGTATGTTCTTGATTCATGATTACCATGGCATTTTGAGCAGACTAGAGCATTTTTACATTTTCCAGTTTATGGTCAAAACGTAGGCATTTGTGACATTGTCCTACAGAAATATTGTTCTTTGACGTGCAATATTTAATTGGGTACCATTTTTTCGGTCAGTAAAATGAGGGGTTGGTCAGTAATTTTTTAAAAGTTTTGCTCAGTTGAAAACGATCGGTAAATATATCAATTTTGGTCAGTTTTTCATGTGAATGATCAGTTAATTTAATAAATTGTCCGTTTTCAAACTTGAGGTGAAACATCCAAAATTACAAATTTCGCTCCAACACGATCTTTTTTGAGAAGGCAAATTGATGTCAATTTATCGTCAATACGATTCATTGACCGAATCAATTAGGATTCGAATTATATAATTTATATTACATTATATTATTATATTATTCATTTATATTATATATAATTATCACCATTTGTTCGTTTAAAATTGGAAATTTAAATCCAAATTTCACTTATTTATCTTTGATTCTATTCAGTTTGGTCGAATAATTCTTTAAGCTTTAAAGTTTAAGGGAACAAGCCATTTTCTACGTTTTTGTTTTCGGGGTTTTTGTTTTCGGGATAATTTTTTTCGGGATAATTTTTTTTCGGGGTTTTTGTTTTCGGGGTTTTTGTTTTCGGGATAATTTTTTTTCGGGATAATTTTTTTTCGGGGTTTTTGTTTTCGGTCATTTGGTTTCGGTGTTTCGGTTTTCGGGGTTTTTGTTTTCGGGATTTTGACCTACAACCCAATAAAAATCTGGAATAATTTTGTAATAACTAAAATTGTCATTTATTCAATAATTTTTTAATTATGTTAAAATTGAAATACATCTTCAATAAACGCTTGCCAATGTGGTTGAATTAACATTGAATTTTTCACGTAAAAGATGAACACATTCTTTGCCTTCTTTACATGCACAGACAAGTATTTCAATGCAACCGATAACATTACGTGTTGCGATACAATTCACTACTGGATCGACACAATGCTCAATAAATTCTTTACCCATACAACGTAAAAAGAATTTAGCTTTTTCACCAAATTTTTTCAACAATGGATGATATTTTCGTAAACTTGCTTCCGGTATTTCGACTTGCAAATCTTCTGCAGCCGGTGCAGCATCAGCAATCATCATCATCATTGTAGCAACGATGACCAAAATGGCAATGTAACCTGGAGAATTGACAAATTTTTTTTTCATCAATAATTCACACAATTCATTTTGAAAAAAAATGACAAGACTTACTTTTCATTTTGTTTGATAGAAAAAAAAATTTCACTTTTAAATTTCCAATGAGAAAGGTATGTTTGTAGCGTCGTAATTGAATGGAAAAGCATCCAAACCTCGTCATTTTATATCATTTTCATCAAATTATTTAATTAACAACCAAATTATGCCATATTGGCAACAGCAGCAATAATGTGATAATCAATAAAGAAAATTTGTACAACGTCGATGACTTGAGTATTTGTGATCAAATGCTCCAGGAACAGCCATAATCCTGAAATTAATCTATTTAACCCTCAAACAAAAAAGGATTATTGCCATCATTATTGTTGTTGATCCTGTGATTTGAAAATGCAATTTTTTTTGTACCCAGTTACACAATCCAGAAATTAACAAAAAAAAAAACAAAACAAAACAAAAGAAATACCAGAAAAAATTTTCAACTCGAGTTCGAGTTCCATTAATTTTGTTGAGACACAAAATTATTATGTTCAGAATGAATGTTCAGAATTTGTAGAAATAAAAATGAATGGTAACAAATGACACAAAAAAAGATAGTGAGTAGAATCAAGAAAAAAAACATTAAAAAATCATTAAAATTATTCCACGAAATATGAAAAAAAAATTCAAAATTCTTAACAACAATCGCTTTGGATTGAAATTGAAATGAATTTTTCTTTTTTTCCCCCCACCCCCCATTTCTTCCTCATCGTTCATTTCATTGTATGAAAACCAAAACGAACTGTATAAACGGAACCAAAGAATCATTTCATTTTTTTTTCTGAATCTTGAAAAGTTTGTTTGTTTTTTTTCAGCATCCTCGTTTGTTCTGAATAAAAAAAAGTTTTTTTCTTTCTTACTTTTTTTTTGTTTCACATTTATGCGTGAAAAAATTTTCCAACAAAAGTCTACCCGCATATTTGGGTTCGTTTGTTGTCGAAAAATATTTTGCCATTATTCCCCCGATCGTGAAAAAAAATGAAGAATCGATCAATTGATCAGATCAGTACATCATCAATGCGTATTTTGTGTTTCGCATCTCAATATTTAACTGTTGATAGGAAAATTTTCCAAAAGAAAAAAAGAAAAAACTTTTCCAAAACTTTTTTTTTTATTTTGCCTCCCACATGCATCATATTTGGTTCCATCGGAAATATTTGGGGCCGGCCCACCAGAATACAAAAACAAGAATCATCATCACCAATGGACAGTATTTATGGTAAACCGAGTTTTTTTTTCTTTGAATTTTGTCAACAACAAAAATTCCATTTACATCACAAGAACATACCAGAAATAGAAAACCAAGAAAGAGAGAAAAAAATTTCTATAAAAAAAAGAATCAAAAGTAAACAAATCTTTTGGGAAGGAAAAAAATTCTTTTTTCCTCATTTTTTTTTTTTTTTTTTTTGATTTATATTCACTCCAAACAAGTATCTGTGTGTGTGTGTGAGTGTGTCATCATTCATATGTTGATGTTATTTGCACATCTCGCCCAATTGAAATAAAAATGATATATTTCAATCCTTTTTTTTGTCAACCAATAAAACACAGCCATAAATTTTAAAAATAAAAACTTTTCACAATCACCAGATTGATCATTTACTACTGATCCAAACTGATTGTTGATTAAATGGCCATGAATGACAAGTATACAAATGACAAATATTTAATCAAATAAAGTCAATAATAAAAAAAGGTTGTAAATTGACGGTGGAAAAAAAGAAGAAGAAGAAAAATTAAATTCTACTCAGTTGCAATCAAATCTATTATTCGAAAAAAACATTCAGATAAAACTCATCATCTTCATCATTCTCAAAGTGTGAATGTGAATGTGTTCGAAAAAAAATGGCCATCAACATTGATTCGGTTACGTTTGGTTATGGAAAAACCATCGATACATTGAATAATGTTTCCATTCATGTTCCATATGGTATTTTTTGGCACTGAATAATTTGTGTGTGAATTAACTTTTTGTTTTTTGTTTTCCGGGAAAAAAAGGTGAAATATATGCACTGCTGGGTCCAAGTGGTTGTGGTAAAACAACATTGATCAATATCATCAATGGTTGGTTACCGCCACGATCTGGTACGGTTCAAGTGTTTGGTAAACCACCGGGACCGGCACTTAATCATCGAATCGGTTATATGCCACAAGAATTGGGCCTAAATCCATCGCTACCGATTCGTGAAACATTTTATTATTTTGCCCGCGTTAATCATGTGAACAATGACCAATTTATTCGTGAGCAAATTGATAAATATCTGAAAATTCTTGGACTAAAAATCCGAAACGACGTATTTCACAATTAAGTATTGGACAAAAACGTCTAATCTCACTTGGTGTTTTATTGATCAGTAAACCAAGTCTTCTGTTGCTGGATGAACCAACCGTTGGCATTGATTCAATGATTCGTCAACAAATCTGGAGTCATCTACGACAATTATGTCGTATGGAAGGTGAGTTTTAGCAATTGAGAGACAAAATCTTTGAAAATAATGCCTCAAACAATCAATGAATCAGGAGCGACTGTATTGATAACCACACATTATATTGATGAAGCAAGAGAATCTGGTCGTGTTAGTTTTTTACGTGATGGTCATCTGTTGGCGGAAGAATCACCAGAATTATTGTTGAAAAAATTACAATGTAAAACACTGGAAGAAGTTTTTTTTACATTAAGTAGAATTAAAATTGGTGAAGAAACGTGGCAATTATTACAAAATGAGAAAACAAAAACATTAACCAATGATGCGATCGATAATTCGATTGATTCAAAAGCAACTTTGATCCAGAATCACAATGATTCAAAATGTTCAAAAGAATTTCTCAATTATGATCATCTTTATGCATTGTTTTGTCGTGATTATTTCTATTTTACACACAATCTTCATCTGTTTATGCTTTATATGTCGATACCGATTATAACATTGACACTATTCAGTATTGTATTGAATAATGGAATACGATCAATACCGATAGCAATTTATAATGGTGATCAAAGTATTTATGATCTTAATCTCGGTCAAAATCATCGTTTATCGGATTTATTTATCAACGAATTCAATACAAGTATGGTGGCATTAAATTTTTATCAAAATGAATATGAAGCAGAACGTTCCGTGAAACTTGGCCACAATTCTATGGTCATTTCATTTCGATCGAATTTTTCACGTTTATTTTTAAATCGTTATTTTGAACAACAATATGATGATCATGACAATGATGATGATATCAACGGTGATGGTGAAATGCATATTTATTATGATTATACAAATTTACCAAGCATTATGAGTGTTAATAATTCAATATTGGTATCAATGAGACGAATGATACAAAAATATTGTGAAATACGAGGATTAAATCCACAAGCATTCGCCATACCAATTGAAGAACGTGAATATCTATACGGAACAATTGATGAAAATTTTTTAAATTTTATATTTCCAATGGCATTAATCTATTCACAATATCTGGTCAATGTGGCTAGATCAGCATTTGAACTGCTCTATCTTAATGATAATGGATGTATGAATCGTGATCTGATACAAGGTGTACGACCCGTCGAATTAATATTGGAATTGATTTGGCATCAATGATATCTTTATTAGTGCAGACATGTTTGATAATGATTTTTACATTCGGAGTGCTTGGATTTTCAAATGCTGGTGATTATTTTAGTCCATTCATGATAATTTTCACAACATCCGTACAAGGTATGGCCACAGGTATTCTGTTGGCCATCGTTATTTCCGATAAAGCAACTGTTATGGTAAATAATAATCATTGATTGATTGATTACAAATCAAATTGTTGTTTTTTCTATTTACCATTTTCAAATTTAAAGGTTCTTGCTGCCGGAATGATGCTTGCATTGGGCTTTACATCGGGTGCTTTTTGGCCAACCGAAACATGGCCAACATTTTGGCAACAAGTTTCACAATACCATCCATTAACGTTACCGCTGAAATCATTATCATCGTCAATGACTCGTGGTTGGCATTTTCATAATATCAATGTTCTCAAAGGTCAATTGGTTGGTATCGTTTATTGTTTCATACTTATTTCTGTAGCAATAATTGTATTTCAGTTTAAAAATAGACGATTTAAATAATTTGAAAAAAAATTCCACTTTTTCATTTAAAAATAAATTAGAAAATTTTATTGAAAAAAACTTTGAAAATTAAAAATTTAAAAAATCATAGTCACCTATTACGTCCACTGTGAACAATGGCTTTGTTTTCCGCATCGATTTTCGCGGAATTTCTTTGTTCGATCTGATTCTTTGATCGAAAAACAACGCTATCAGTTAAGGTGTGAATGAATTTTTTTCCCCATTATGATGAAGTTATGAATATGAATTGAGCTAATTTAATTTAATTTTTCTCTCTTTTTTTTGTGTTTTGAACAATGAATCAAAATTCAAAGTTTTGTGTGTGTGTGTGTGTGCGTGTGTTTTGCGCGCTTGAACAAATTTGAGATATTCTCTTCACCAAATATTCGCATTTTAAATGATAATGTTTCTTGTAAAGTTTATTTTTCATCTTCTTTTTTTTGTGATGTGAAAAAAAAATTTACCCGAACACACACTTGGTTAGTCACAAAAAAAAGAATAGATGAAAATCGATTCATGTAAAAAAAACGTTTTTCACTTTCATCACATCCACCACCATCGCCAATCCACTTGAAATCGATTCTGGTATGTTGTAATTTCTTTTTTTATCTTTGTTTATTATGTTTTTTTTTCGTATAAAAAAAACCTACAAAATAATAACAACAGCAGCGACTACAACGATTCTTCATCGATTCTTCTCATTCACCACGGTGTTGAAAGAAAGAGAGAGAGAGATTGATTGATACATCGTAATGCTGCAAATTTTACATTAAAAAAACGAAAAACAATTCGTTTCATTTGTTTTGGTTAGATATTTTGCTGTGTGTAATTTTTTTTCACAGAAAAAAAATGTTGAAAAACAACCAACAAAAGTTCATTGTTGTTTGTTGTTTGTTGTTTTTTTTTTCATTCGATTTTGTGTGCCTGAATACAAATTCGATTGTTGTGGATATAAATGGCCATCTAGACCGTTTAGGCCATTTCGTTCTGTGCTGGACTCGGAGTTTTTTTTTTTTGTTTGGGAAAAACCATCCATATTTTTTTCCCCATAAAAAAAGTCATCAGAGCAAAAAAAGGAGAAAATACATTAATTGTTGATCAATAAATCGGTTCAATCAAATTTTTGCTGTTCAAACTTTTTCTAGTCATCATCATCATCGTCATCATCATTATTTTTTTCTGGGTTTCCATTCAATTTTGTTTTTCTCTGGTAGGTTCATTATTTATTATTATTGTTTGAAAATTGACTCTTTTTCTTTTTTTTTTTTTTCTGCTGTTTATCATTATTTCGGCTACGACGACGCCACCACCACCCCCGCCATCCATTCAAATATTTGCCTCAAACTAAATTCATTGAATTTTCGTGTATGGTGGGGGGGATGGCAATGTACAACAACAACAACAACAACATTTTTTATTGTTCATCATCATCATCATTACTGGTCCACCACCACCACCACACCATTTATTGATTGATTCTATTTATTGATCCATTTTTGTTTCTGTCCTAATCGAATCAAAAAAAAAATTCCAAATTTCTCATCATTTTTCCATGACCACCATCAACAACAACAATGCGAATAATTTCATTTGTTTGTTGGCAAAAAGAACAGCATTTGCAATACAAACTACTGCTACCGATAAAACGAAACAAAACAAAACGAAAATCCGTCTTGATCCTGTTTCACAAGAATTCATTTGAAGGACGAAAAAAACAACAAAAACAAAGTGATTAATTGTTTTCCATTGAACCGAATCGGCTAGAAAAAAAAACATCATCTAAAACAACAGGAGAAAAGTTTCAGTCTTGCAGACTAATTATTCTTGATATACACCATGTATCAACAACAACAACAACAGCAGCAGCAACCAAGAAGACGATTCATCATTTATTTGATTTCTAATCATAATGACACGAATAATAATAACCAACAGAAACAACCGATTGGTTTGATTCATAGTCATGAGATTATCGGTGGTAATAATGACGAACGTAGAATTGTTAATCACAATAATTCCAATGAACACCGTCTTCATATACAACCATTTGATGAACAACATCCAACCAGTGTTGAACTTGAACAGATGATCAATCGAAATGATTTCAATGTAATTCATTTTGAATCGAAAGATGCTGATCGTAATATGCTTGAATTATCGATGGATAATGATCTTGGACATCATTTTCATTGGCTTTTACGATCACCATGTATGATATTGATCAATTCGATTATTCGTTTGCATTTGGATTCAGCAGTCTATAGAAAAGCTGCTTCGGCTGCCGACAGCAATGTAATAACAGGAATGAAAGAAATATTCCTCATTAATGATGCTCAATTATGCTTTGAAAGTTCTTCCTTTCATTCTCGTTGTTTATTTTCGGTTGATTCTCCGAAATTTGGTGGCATAATTAACCTATACACCAAAAGTAATTTTGTGAAACAAATCACATCGATTGAAAATAATCAACAACAACGACGACAGCAAATTGCCTCAATATTTTATTGTTCATCAAATAATACCACAACAACGATAGCAACGAATAATAATGGTGGTGGTACTGCTGCTTCAAATGTTAAAAATATTGTAATCGGCAATATTCCAGAAAATTATCCAAAATCAACATCATCATCCGTTGGTGGTGGAAAAAATGAACCCGATTATCTCATCTATTATGATGATAAACATCAAACAAAATTGGTGGCTATTGTTTGTGGCAAAATTGAACCATTTTCACCGACAGATTCCATGAACAATAACAACATTGTGACTGAATTCAATCCTGGTCAAATTCTTCGTATGCCTGACACAACATTGGAATTACGTAATGATCTTTGTAATGAACAGAATCGAAAAGATTGGTTCTATCTATGTAAACATTCATCATTGATACGTGTACGATTTATGGCGAATGTTTATGTACATAGTTTACAACCAACAAAATGTTATTTCAAATCATCACTAACCGTACCACCGAAAAAATTTTCAATCGTAATTGCCGGATATGTAGGCATAATCGGACACCATAAACCGACAGTCCCGGATGATTATTATAATGCATCAAAAGTCATTTCCGGCGGTACTAGAGATCATTTAGTAGAAATTATTGTGGATGAAGATTGTCTTGTATTTATTGGCGATCATTTTATGTTGCTTATGGCTAAAGAATCACGAAATTCTACTACTGCTGCTGCTGATAATGTTGTATTGAAAATGGAAATGAAGAACAAATGAAATTAAATTTCCTATATTCTCCTTTGAAATTAAAGCTAAGAAAAAAATTCCTTTAGAAATACTCGAAAAATCATTGAAGAATCACCGCTGTATCCTCTAAACTTTTGAACAAAACAAAAATTAAAATTCAAGATGTTTCGTGTGTGTGTGTGTGTGTGTTCATCGTTATGCAGTGGATGAAAGAAAATAAAAATCAGGTCTTCAGAAAAACCAAAACCCAAAAGAAAAAAAGAAAAAAAAATTCCGCCAACGTCAGCGCTCTTTCTCTTAACATTAGTTATTCCGATAATGAACGTGAATTCCTTTGAAAATCTTTATTTTGCCGACCAAAAAAAATAGACCACACAATTGACCGGATGTTTTCTTTCTTTCTCTCTCTCTCTCTCTCAAATAGCCAACACAAGTAATAATGACAAAAACTTGAGAAGATCAAAAGTTGAAGTGAGAGAGAAAAAATGTTTAAAATGTTCTATTAGTTTCGTAGCAATCGATGATATACCAGAATCAGACAAATTAACAAATCGTGTTATTATCACTAGAGTGAATCATTTGAAGAAACTAAATATTTTCTCCACTATTTTTAATGGCCATTTCCGAAAAAAATGATAATTGTGATATATTAGCACAGCATTCAATCCATCGAGATGAGTACTACCTCACAAGAATTGACCAATCTTCTCGATTCATTCGAAACAAGAGAAAAAAGTTTTCATCTCGAAAAAAAAGATTATGATTACAAGCGATGAAAAAAAAAATATAACTCAACTCCCAATGCGACAATATCGAGAAGAAAAACAACAATGCACAGTGCATTTAATAGTTGAAAATCCATTTATTTTCATTTTATCATCATCATTGTGTGTGTGTGTGTGTGTAAATGAGAGAGTGAAAAAAAAGATATCATTTCATTTGATTCGATTTGATGATCATCAATACATGAATGGCCTTTTTTATTATTATAAACAATAATGACCGAGAAAAACGAAACGAGAAACCCGAAACGGTTATTAAGAATCGACGATGATATTTATAAAAAAAAGAAAGTATTGATGATTCTGTTTTCTCACCGATTGTGAATAATTGATCATTGTCCAGTTTTTTTTCTTTGGTGCCAACCGATAATTGATTCGATTTCGATTTATGAATCTCATTGCAAAGACAGCCGTAAACGAATCGTTTTATTGAATGAAATGGCTTTATATGACACACGATACACATGGCTTGAGATTTTCTTCAATCAATTTTTTTGAATTTTTTTTTCGTAGAATAAAGGAAGCCATGAAGCTTATGGGAAATCGATACGCCATATGAACCATGAATCGGAGTCGAATTCCATTGATGATTGAACTATTCGTCGTTTTTTTAAACATTCATCAATATACTTGTTCACACACACATCACGACGACGATGACGATGACGATTGTCATAAGTTCATTGATCCTGATCTAATGATTATTGATTTTGGTGATGATGGTGGCTCCTTCTCTCGATCCAGATCATCATCATCATCAACATTGATTTAATTATATTACAAGTATATTTTACGTTTATTTTCATCAAAAAAAGAAAAAAAAATTCATTTCGATAATAATAGATAGATTTTAGCAATGATCGTACCAATCGTATCAATGATAAAAAAACGTTTAAATAATAATTTGGAATAATATAACAACGTTAACTATACTATATATTTGTGTTTATCACAGTGATCAGTTATCTCCGGTTTTGGTTATGATTTCGTTTTGATTCTTTTTTCGCCATCATATAATGAATTCGGAGAACCATTGGTTATGAAATGCTAAAATATTTGGATATCACAAAGAGCTTAAAATTTTGGTTTTTTTTTTGATCCAACAAATTTCATTTGGTGGTGGTTGTTTCATCATCAACAACATCATTTGAATTAGTAGTAGTAGTCATTGATGTTGTTGCTGTCGTGATCATCGAATTTTCCATGATTGGTAATATGTTATCATAATTCAAACGTACAAGAACATCATGACAAACACGTTGTGCATATGCTAATTCCTCCTTATTCAATTGTTTAGTCCATTGCCATGCCGTGGATGTGGAATTGAAACGATATGTTGAATATGGATTCTTTTTATCTTTATCACGACGATGATGAGCAGCCGTACTATTTGTTGTATGTGTACGTAAAAATCTTTGAATATATTGTGAGAATTCTACGTTAATATTTTCAAAAAGTTTCCGAGTCTCATTATGTGGATTGGATGTGATATCTTCATAACGTACAAGTAATAGATTATTGCCTATGTTCGATGATTTTTTTAGACGATCAAAATCATTTAGATCTTGTCGCATATCATTACAGATATTGGTGAGATTAGTACATTGATCCGTATTACACCATTCCATTGATTTACGTGAATTATAAATGCCACGTGGATCACGTACCAGATAGATTATCTTCAGATTATTCGCAGTACCCATTTTTCGGATTAATGGTTCAATATCACGTATACGTAAACGAACCGTTTTGATAATATTATATCTCGATCGTATACAAACATCACTCATGAATTCATTATCATAACAAATGGCCATTGTACGAAATTTACAAATATTCCAGAAAAAACGATTCCATCTGATTAGAAATGTATGATTACGAATCCATTGATTATAATATTGTGGAATAGTATTGTTGGAAAAATCACAATTATAAACACCACTGATTAAATTGATGGCCTCAGTAAGATTTTGATGATCGATACGTGTTTGTCTGGTCATATAATTTAATGGTTCAAATGTGTAGAAACTTTTCCAATTCTGTTGCAATAAATCACCAATAAACGATGAACCAGAACGAAAATAAGCAACGATTAAAACACGTGCCTGATCATTGCCATTGAAAATTTTAAATTTTTCAATAAAATTATATTTATGACGAATTGCACGTAAATGATCTTTTTCTTTTCGTTGTTTTGAAACATCTTTTATTTGACTTTTTGCATTTGATGATGATCCAAATGTTTTGGATAATTGTCGTACCAATTTATCGTATGACCATTTAGATTCTATTTTTGATCAATAAAAAAAATCATTACAACAAAGAATAGAAATATATGCTGAAAAATATTTACCATTTTGATGATTCTTGATTATCGAAATGGAAGAATTATATGATAATGATGATATATTGTTATTGTTTGCAACAAAATGATTATTCACTGTTGTAATCTGTGAACTTTGTTGTAAAAGAATAAATATAGCACCAGCTGCAATTAGAAATAGAAAAATTTTTTGCTTTTCCATTATGAACATGTTATGATTACTATAAAATCCAGTAAAAAAACGACGACTAATGATGTATCGATGACTGATCATTGATTCAAATAGATTTGATCATCAAAATAATTTATTGGTGAAAAAAAAGAAAGAAAATTTTTTGACCACTTGTTGATGATTATTATGTTTTCACCCAATCATTATCCATCGATGAAATGATTAGTACGAAAAAAATGCATATATTTCCATTTTGTTTTAGGATTATGGCGATGATGATGGTGATGAATGTTTAACTGGTATTTTGATGTATGGATTAAAAATGATGAAAGATGATTATGATGATTTTAATCATCGATCAGACTTCACTGTTCACATGGTAATGATGGATCATAGTAAAATAATCCCAAAATACGAATCATCATCAATTGAAAGCGAAAACGAGTAAAACAGGGAAAAATTTACTTTCCTTTGACTTGCCGCTGTCTCTGTTATTGATTATTTTTTTCAATTTTCTTTTCAACTATATCAATTTAATGATGCACATGATCATTTCATCTTTATGCGTGATGGTCACTGCAAAATATTGAAAACAAAAAATATTATCATATTTTCATGGGAATTCTCTCTCTCTCTTTCTCATACATCATTCATACACATACAATATGGCTGTCCACTATATAAATTGTTGAATGTGTGTAATGTGTGTATACAACTGTTGCTTGAATCAACAAGTGTGTGTTTGTATAGCACAAAACAACAACACATTGATCATCAAACGATCATCGATAGCGATTCAACATCCTCGTTGTTGTTGATGATGATGATGATGACGACAACTAACAAAAAAAAAAAAAATGATGATTATTTTTATTCACATCGTCGACGATGACCACCGCCGTTGTTGCTCATGCATTGAAGAGAAAACAACAAAAACAAAAATCGAGCATTGGTTCGATGCTCATTTCTCTCTTTCACACTCACCCATAAAAATAACCATACTCTTTTTTTTTTTTTTTTGTCGTTGTCGTCTCGTTTTTGTCAATGTTCACATGGGATATAATTTTTTTTTTAAATTTTTGTCATTAGTTTCATATCATATGATGGTTTAGAATTCAATTTGTTGTTGTTAGCACTGGACAAAGCAGAAAAACAAAATGAAATGAAACCCGGTGCCACATTTTTTTTTGCTGCAGCAATGATGATAGATTTTTTTGGATTTCAATGCAAAATTTTGATATATTTAATTCTGATATAACAAATCATGAAAACAAACTATTTGATATCCACAAAGATAGTTGATGCAAGAACTACAATTTTTTTTTTTTTTTGGTTGCAGCATTGCAATGATTGTCTGACCTTGTTTGAAGTTCAAATTTTTTAATCAGAAAAAAAAAGTTTTTTCTCTTTTCATTTATATTTGATCAAGTCCATTATCAACGATGGTCTGATTGATGAATGATGATTGCAAAAATGAATTCTTTTGTCAAATTAGACAAATATAAAAATATACTTTGCACAATGTGTGTGTGTGTGTGTGTATTCAAATTGAATTGGCTGGATGATTTTTATTGCTTTATGGCAACAATATTTGTTGTCATTAGACATGGTGGCCACCAATTACATTCTATTTATTGTCATCATCATGATGATACATGAACTGGTTGTGTCAATATCTCGTTTTTTTCTGTAATTTGATGATGTGATAAACTCCACCGACGACAACGACAACAATATAAAAAATGATGACAAGAGAGGCGAAAAAAAAATCAATTGAAATTTCCTCTTTTCATTCGACATCGACAATGACAATTGATATGTAGAAAAATTGATTTGTTTCGCGCATAAAAAGAGTTGGAAAAAACTTTAAATTGATTGATGTGATGATCAATTGAATCGATAATCGAATAGTAATTTCTTCGATTAAATTGACAATGAAATATCAATGACAAATTGATGATGATAAAGCATTTTTTTTGGCGCAAAAATTTGAGTAAAAAAAACAATTTATTTTTGTAATTTTTAACAAAAAAAATAAAGTTTTCGTCCTCTATGAACAAGATTTTTGACCCGAATACAAAAAAAAAAATTCTGTCCAACATGATCAAATGTTTGGATTTTCGTAAAAATATTTGGTTTGTTATTTAACATAAAAAAAGACGATTTTAATGTTTTTTTGCTTTTCAGATAATGAATGAAGATCGACCGATTCTAATTTATACAAAATACTGATCGAATAGAATAACAACAGAATAATGAATTTGTTCCGTAAATCATTATTTTTGTTGTTGTCGTTGTTGATTGTCATTAATCATCATTCATGTTTTGGAGCTGATAAACAAATACTATTCGATACTCATATCAATGGTCTTATTGCTGCCTTTAATGATTTTGATTCAGATCGTTTCACCGATATATTTATCATTACTGACAATGGTCATTCAATGAAATTACTTAAATCGCAAGAGGATGAACCTGATCTTCAACAATGGGATCAAATAAAATGTTCGTTTGAAAATGAAAAAATTACCGGCATTATACCGGCAGATTTTTCTGGTGATGCAATCATGGATGTATTGGTCATTACTCAGCCAGAATCAATGGAACAATTATTCAAAATATGGATTCTTCGTGGCAATAAAACCCATCTAGAATGTAAATCGACAAAAAAACCATTGCTCGATAATGCATTGGGCCATCCTTTGATACTTGATTATAATGGTGATATGATAACTGATTTTCTAATTGAAACCCGTGATTGTCCATATGAATTATGGCTAATGAATTCAAAACATTTTCGTGGTGATTGCCGTCGTAATCAATTTGGTGATACATCACTACGATTGCCACATTCGAATGCATTTGTCAACATTCGTAATTGTCTGCCAGATTCTTTGGATTATACGACTGATATAGTTATAACGAATAAAAATCATATTGAATATTGGCTAAATCGTGAAGGTTTTAATGTGGAAAATCGAATAAATATACGATATCCAGATGAATCTTTGTATACGATTGGTCAATCTGCTTATATCGATCTCAATATTGATGGTTGTATTGAACATATCATTGCTGCTTGTAAAAAAGTGGGATTCTTTCATACACAATGTTTACCACAGATCCTATGGTATGATAACAAACAAAATGAATGGATCAATATTGCTGATTTTACCAATCATTCGAAATTGTATTTTGAAACAATCGATACTCAATTTGGAATACAATTACCGATCGCCATTCGTTTTGGTGATGTAGACAGTGATGGTTATGTTGATTTAATTACTGTGATGAAAAACAAAACCGAATCCGGCCGAATCAAACAGATTGCTGTCATTTTACGTAATATTCGAGATGATGATCACCCTAATCGAAGAAAATTTGTACTTTTTTGGACAAGTGAGAAATTAATCCCCGATGATGATGTAGAATTGGTTTCATTTTTAGATCTACAAGAGAATGGAAAATTGGACATTATTTTGACGACGAAAAATTCATCAAATCATTACAATATACAATGGATTTTAAATACTTTTGTTGATAATTCCTGTTTCTTGAAAATACTTGTCACGTCTGGATTATGTTCAGAATCTTCATGTCCAAATGAAAAAGTTCCATACGGTACAAATCAAGCTGGACCATTCGTGTGTTATGAAACATCCGACGTAAATGGCCATCTAATGAAAGGATGTTCAGCACAATTATCACAATCATCATATTTTGCTTTACAAATGCCATATTCAATATTTGGATTAGGTGAAACGCCAAATTTTGTTGAAACCGTTATTGCATCGATACCAAGTGGTGATAATCAACCGACTAGGAAATCAAAATGGACCCAAATTGTACCAGATGCACAAGTAGTACTGATACCATATCCACCAAATGAAACAATGTATTGGATTGGTAAATTATTCTATACACCAAGCAATATGATATCATCAACATTAGCTGCATTGGCCATTTTATGTGCTGTATTGATTGTAATAATATTCATTTTACATCGTAAAGAAGTATTGGAAGATTTAACCGAACATGAAGAATACAAAAGACATTGGCCTGAAAGTAGATGATGATAATAATAGTAATTTCTTTTCGTATTCATCAATGATGTGTTTATCTTAACAATGACTATTTTTTTCAACCAAATATTTTGTCCAGCTCTTAATAATGATATTGATCGTGAAAAAATATTCGTATTTCGTAACGAAGAAAAGTCTTTTTTTTATTTTTTGATCCAATTTCAACTTTATTCATCTATCGTGATTCAATTGGCCATTGTCTGATCAATGTCTGTCTATGTGTGTGTGGGACAACAGCAATTTATTTAATCTTGACATCGAAATTTTTTTTCCAACCATTATCATTATTATTATTATTGGATATTTCTACATTTGGGATTTCGTGAATGGCTCCTGTTGCTATTTATTATTATGCAGACTTTTTTTTATTTTATCCGAAAAAAAGAAAACTTTTTTTCAATTTGTAAATTGTAAATTTAACGATTTTATGATCCATAATAAATATAAATTGTGTGTTTGAATTGAATCATTTGATATTTTTGTTCAAATTGATTAATCTATCCAACAATTTGTTTCAGCCTAAAATCTATGACCCATTCATCGTAATCATATATATCATATATATAGAGCACGAACAGGTCAGCAAAAAAAAAAACTAAAACTAAATCGGACGACTACCTTTAAATTCAATTTTACTTTCTATATCTCAAACAAAAAAAAAACAACAACAACAATAAACAATTGGGACAAAATCTTATTTTCGTAAATTAGATATCAAAATAACCAATAACAACAACAACAACAACAACAACAACAGAAAACAAACAAACAATAATCATCTAGGATTTACAGATATTTATTTTGAAGGCCATTCTACATGCGTATTGCGTTATATGTGTGAATGAATATATATATATGACAAACAAATGGTGACATTTTATTTTAATTTTTTGTTTTTGCAATCGTAATAAATAATTACCCGAATTATTTTCGACATCCGAATGGAATCTTTTTTTTTTTTTTGTATTTTGAATGATGATGATTGGATTGAAAGAAAGGCCTTTTTTTGTTTGTTTTGTTTAGAATCATCGTAATAATATAAATCTGGACAAACAACGGAAATGTATGTGGATTTCAAACAACAACAACAACAACAACAATTATCAAATTTTATGAAATAATTTTCATCATCATCATCCTCTCCATAATACAACAAGGATGTTTTGATTGAGTGATAAACAATCAAAGCAAAAAAACGGAAAAAAATTGTTCGTGTTTTTTTTTAAAAAAACCATTGTTTTCACTGTATATTATTGTCACCACATAATTTCAGACGTGATTCATAAATTATCATATACATGTGGTTTGATCGTTTAGCTTATGGCTGCTGCTGCTGCTGCTGTTGGTTTTGGTCGAATGATTTTATCATCACCGATTAACAACAACAACAATGATCTTGGAACATGGAACGTTGTTCGTGGTAAAATTTTTTTTTTGTTGAAAATAAAAAAAAAGATATAATTCATCAATATATTAGAGAAAAAAATTGAAATTGAATTTTTTTTTAATGGCAATAATTATTGACAACAGCGACATCGTTGATTCATTAATCTAAATTTTAAATCTCAAATGATGTGATTTGTTTATATTGGTTGACTAAAAAAATGTCAAATCTATTAATTATTACTATATAGTGTTCTGTATTGTAGAAACACAGAGCACGTGTATATCCATTCAATGATCCGATCTGATTTATCGACCGACTGACAGACTGATCTCGATTTGAACAATGGAACAATATCTTTTTTTTGTTCTCGGTAATAATTTCCTTAAGTTGCTTATATGCTTATATTTCCAATGAATATAGATAGATGATGATGATGATGATGAATGTTTTTTATTAGTCATAATCATTTCAGCTGATCTATTGTCGATTTTTTTTTCTTTCTTGTGGTGGTTAATTGCTTTTGCCCTTTATGATGATGATGATTATTGCAAATCAACTTTACCAACCAAAACTATCCTTTGTTTATGAGTGGGAAAAATTTTTCTTTCCAACCACTAATCAATATGACTCAATCTGGAAAACAAAATAAAAAATTATCTCAATTCATTGTATTTTTTTTTCGGTGATCAAATAATTTTCCAACATTTAAAAATGTGTGAGAAATGTATGAATCTGAATAGAATCTGATATGGAGTAAATTTTGTAATGACATTGCATTAATTGCAGAATTTTTTTTTAATTAATTTTTTTTTTTGTTTTGCCCAATTTTCATCATCATCACCATCACCAGTGAATAGTTGTGAAATTGTAAAGTAATTTTTCTTTTCATTTCATGTTGTAATTGTTCTTGTTAGTAGGTAGCATTTAATGACGGAAATGATCATGTTATTAGTGATGATTCAATCGATATATTTTTTTTCCCTTTCAATATGGTTGATTTTTATTATTCATAATAATAATAATAATGGGAATGAAGCAGTGATTGATTTATTTTCACATTTCGATATCAATGTTGATTCATATTACATGTTGATGATGATAGCCTTATTATTATTATCATTATCGTTAGTTATTTGGTCATTATATAATTTCCATATTTTTTGTTGATGTTTTTCTGTTTGTTTGTTTGTTTGAAGACCGTCCCTTATAATTTATCATCATTGTAATTATTGTTTTTCATCATGAAAAAAAATATCTTGTAACTTGAAATTGATTTTTTTTTGCCAATTTTTTTTCATCAGGAAATACCGTGTAACTTTGACTTTTTCATTCTAAATGAAAAATTATGTTTTTTTTCGCTTCACTTTGCCCAAGGCCAAGAGATATTGGCGAAAAAAATGTTGAATAAGTAGCGGCCATCTCAATCAATATGATTTAATTTTTTTCTTTTTCACCCATTTTTTTGGTCATTCAATTTTGTTTGCACTCATAAATCCATTATGATTATTTTTGTAAAGAAAAAAAAATCTGAAAATTTTCCATCTCTTTCATTCAAATGGACAATTTTTCTATTATTTGAAAAAAAATCTCAATTAATTGAGATCGATATATTTTGCACGTTTTTTTAATGAAAAAAAAATCTGCAATCGAACAATATGATAATGATGAAAATGATAATGACATGATGATGACACCTAGATTGTTAAGAGAAAGAGAGATGATGTTTCGAAATCTGCTGTAAAAGATTTTGACAATGAATCAAATCATTTCAAACTAAAGTTGGACTTGAATTACACTAACAAGAAACATAAGTTGTTTTTTATTAGTTTAAAAAAAATGACGATTGATTTTAATCGTATTACAAATTCGTGTTTCTCTCAATAAAATAGATCAATCAATTGATTTTGACACTTGATCAATTTCCGTGATCGATATGAAAAAGTTTTTATTTTTCTCATGATGAAATGAAAACCGTTGAAAATCGTATCGATTTTCGCTACCACTATTATGATTATTAAATTCAATTTTTTTCTCATTTTCAATCAACATTTTGGCAATCTATGAGAATTTTGTTGTTTTTGTTTTTATTTTTTTTCTTTGTTTTATTCAAATTTAAAACTCGAAATCTTGAAATTTTTTTTCTTTTGTTCCAAAAAACCAAGTATATTCATGTACGGGTTCAAATAAAATTATCGGTTTTAGCCATCGAAAACGAAGAAAAAAAATTCATCAAAATTGAATCACTATAATCATTATCATCATCGTCGTGGAACAAGGACAAACAAACGACAAATTGTAAGTCTGGAACGGTGAACTAAAAATTGATTAATTTTTGACCTTTTTTTTCTCTGCCTACCGGCCTATAGCTATAGCCCAAACAACAATTGTATTGGCCCTAATTATTGTCATCCAAGCCACTGCAGCCAGAATTTTTTTTCTTCTCTAGATTCAAAACAAATTTTTTTCAAGTTTAACAATTTAATCATCATCATCATCATCTAAATACCCGTATTGCGTAACCAGTTTCGAAATAGAAAGAAAAAACTTGGATTTAAATAAATTTGAAACAAATTGAATTGCCAATTGTAGCATGTTCCAAATGGAACAACAACAACAACAACAACCGACCAACCTACCACTATTTGAATCTAAATATTGTCATTATTATTATTATCATTATTTTCGATTCAAAGAAAAAAAAAGAGATTAATCGTGAAAACAGCCCCTATGTATATTGTGGTTGGTGATAAAGATGGTGTGATTCAAGTAAGTCATGAATAAAAAGAGAAAGAGAAAGTGTCTTTTAATTTTCGCTTTCATTTTGTTCCAGAAAAACCGATCTCAATTTTCCAATTTCATTAAATGAACGAATGAATGAATTATTATCGCTTTTTGAAACCTTGCCTGTTTCATCAGAAAAAAATGGTCTCTCATATCTTGTTTTTTTTTCTTCGGTCGATTGTCTATGATTCGAACTTTAATATAAATACTCGGACTCATATCAGATTTTCTATTTGTTTCACTCACACGCACACACACACACACAGAGAGAAAAATCATCGGTCCAATTTTGTTTGTGTAAAAAAAAAAAAAATCAACTAATTGGTTTGTTGTCATTCGATTGTGTGTTCACGTGTTTGTGTTTTTGTGTTTCACCCAAGTGTGTCTGTGTTTGTTTGTTTGTCGGTCAACCTGAAAATTTTTTAATTTTTCTTTGAAAACAACAACATTTTTTTTTCTTCAACTTAAAAATAATGTACAAGGTCAGATTTGAATAGTTTTTATTCTGTCAAATTTTTTTTCTCTTGAATTCCGAAATTCTTTATGATTCAAATAGATTGTTCTTATTGTTGTTGTCGGTACGACCACTGTGTTACCGGCCGTTTTTGGTTACAATTATGGACAAAGTCTAAGTCATGCATATTCAAAAGGTGGTGGTGGTGGTGGATATGATGATCATGTAAGTCATGCCTTTTAATCCAAAAAATTTCAATTTTTAATCAATTTTCGTTTTTTTTCAATTATAGTATGCACCACAACCATATAAATTTGGATATGATATTAAAGGTGGTAAGTAAGAGTTAAGTTTAGTTTAATTTAATTTATTTCATTTCATTTCATTTTTTATTGAAAATGATTTTATTTTTAATTTTTGCACTTTCACACACTAAGACTACGGCGGTGGATTATACCAGAATGAGATGGGTGATGAATATGGCAACAAAAAAGGTATGTGGTGTTGTTTATCATCAAGCAAATGAAAAATGAAAAAAAATTGAAAATTATCTATGTTTAAAACAGGAAGCTATGGTTACACAGATAGTTATGGTATCTATCGTCAAGTGGATTATATAGCGGACAAACATGGTTTTCGTGCAACGATTAAAACGAATGAACCAGGAACGGCCAATGAAAGTTAGTGTTTTGTTGTTGTTGTTGTTGATTATATACATACGGTCATTTACACGTTTGAAAAAGCAAAGAAAAAACTGCCTTAATTATGTGTATCACTACTGCTATTTGAAAAATGTAGGAAATCTCGGGATTTCTGAAAATTTGAAATAGCTCAATATATATTGATCTTATTCAATCGATTAAATAATAATAACTAACTAAGTGATCTAATTTTTTTTTATCTACTTTATTATCAAATCAAAATAATAATTTAGATCCAGCATCAGTTTATATTCATTCGAATGCTCCAGCCGTAAGTGTTGTTCATTGTAAATCAATCAATTATGTTGACCATCATTAATTCATTCATTCATTCATTCATTATTTTTAATGTGTTGTAAAGGTTGATTATACTTCTGCCGAAGGTGGTGGCTATAATTCAGCCGCCAATGGATACGGAAAGAAATTATCATCATCTGGTAGTCGTTATGGTGTTGGTGGTATGACTGCTGCAACTAGTTATATCAAATCATCATCACCATCTTATTCTGATGGATCAGTATGTATTTAATTTGATGGATTCTTTAGAAAATGAAAATAATTTCTTGTTTTCATTTTCAAATCTATTATTTTTAAAACAGAATCAAATTGGTCTATACAAATCGGCATCATACGCGATTCCGGTATGTTTTATTTTAGCCGAAATGTTTTTTATTCATTTCACGATTTTTGTTTCTCTTTCTCATTATTAGCAATATTCATCAGCAGCCAAAACATTTCATCCAATGATCAATAGAAATAAAGCTTCGCAAGCCGCTGTCGCCGCATCATCATCATCATCAATATATCAGATGCCTGCATATTATATGGAACCAAAAACTGTATACAAAAATATTCCATATAAAGCTTCGGCATCAAATCCAGTACCGAAAACATTACATTTAAATGATAAACAAATATCACAATTATATGGTGTTCAAATGATTGCCAATCTACAAAAAGATTTTCAACGGATTAAAAATCGACAAAAATATTGATTAAATCGATCTAACAAATAATAAAATTAAAAAAAATCAATTTTGATATCTTTCTATCTCTTTTATGGCAAAAAAAAGACATATTATCTACACATATTATTTATGTATTCTGATGTCGCTCAATTAATCAATTATTTTCATTTTTTGCACATTTTCACACTCGCCACCTACACACACACACACACACAGAAATCTTTATATCACAAAATGTTTTTTTTTATTTTTGACAAATAAAACCAACAAACCAAATTCATCATTTACATATATGTAAACCTGTCACCTGATTTCACAATATGACATGAATCAAGCACAAGCATCAAAGAATTGAATTGATCTGATCAGATTAATTAGATCACATTGGATAAACCAGTCATCATCAAAATGTTGAACAACAACAACATTATCGACAAATGATTAGACTTGTTTTGGCCAAAAATAACGATGACTTGTATTGCTTATATGTATTTTGTTGTTGTTATTGTTCGGTTCTCATTCATTGTATATAATATTGCGGTTCTCATTCTGCAAACATAAACTGCTACAACACTCGGATTTGGTGTCTCTTTGGTTGTGTTTTGTATGTCTGTTTCTATGTTTCTCTTCCATGGATTCAATTTTTGCTTGCTGCTTGCTCAATTCATGTTTTTGAGATTGTGCTGAAAACAGAAATCTATTTTTTTACGGTTTGTTGTCATTTTAGTTGCCGAAAACAAAACAAGTAGAAGAAAAACTCATCATAACATAGTCTTCCTGCAATCATAAAGAATAACGATTCTTCGATAAATTAACATTTGTATTCGAAAATCGTTCTTATCATCAGTTTTCATGTCTACGACCAAAGAATCAAAATTACATAATAGTCAAATTGTTGATGCTGATAATGCTGAAAGAAATATACAGAAATTACATATCAATGAACATGATGATCAACAACAACAGCAACAGCAACAACAATCAGATAATCATCGATCATCATCATCATCAAGTTCAGCCATCCAACAGATCGGATCATCATCATCATCATCATCGAACGGTGGAAATAGTAGTAACAAAGAAGAGATACGAAGACGTTTAGCATTCGATGAAATCGACGATGATGATGATCCAATTGCTCAATATAAATTGAATCGAAAATCACAAAAAGCATCTACATTATCGGCACGTATACAAAATTTAGATAGTCTACAGATTTGTTTTCTAAATGAAAATAATGAAAATTATACATTTGGTGACCTGAATCATATGGGAAATGAAACCAATAATAATGATATTATAATGCAAAATCGTATTTATTATCTATTTAAAAAACTACAAAAAGTAAACTTTGATCTAGATAAAGTGGATCTATTTGGCGATATTGAAAAACCGAGTGATCAAACCAAATTCTCTGAATATCATTCAAAATTGTACACTGAAGCAAAATTGACACTTTCACAGGTTTGTATTTTCATTGAACAACAACAACAACAAAAAAAAATTCAAATTAACTTTGTGTTATTTATCAACACTAGATAAAAGAGATTTGTAAATTACGATTAAAAATTGAAAAAGAAAATGAAAAAGAAATATCATCAATCTATGATTTGATACATAATTTTCCACCAGATTTTCAAAAAGGTGTATCCAAATTAACCATACCAATTCTGCGTCGATTACGTATGTCTGAACTTCAATTGATTGTCAATGATCATTTTAGTCGCATTGAAAGTAAGTGAATACAGAAAAGAAAACATTCATAATTTATAATTTTTATTCATTCATTTTAATTATTACACCAACAGAACTAAACACAAGTCTGGTAAAACTTTTAATCACAAGAGATGAATTATATATGGAACAAGATTCATTACTAGTTGATATTGAAGATCTCACGAAATTTTTGTAAGTAGAAAATTTTTTCTATTAATTAAATTTTGAATAATTAAATTTGATTTTTTTTTCTCACTAGACTTTCGAAATGATATTTTTTACATCCAAAACTTCTTTGCTGGTGTCTTCATCTTCGCTTAAACATTCGAAGGAATAACAACATTATTATCGTCATCGGTTTCGATACCTACTTCTTCGAAAAATCTTTTTTCTTTTTCGAATAATTTTCCATTATCGTATTAATTATTCCGGTGGCCATACGTTTACGTTTTCGCCATTCATCTACTAATTTTTTACGTTTCAACGTAAGCGTAGATTTCCGTTCAATCGCGGCATCCATATTTTTTGCGGCCGAACATTTTGATTCATATTCTTTCGATTGTAAACGAAGTTCATCAACTTGTGCCTGTAATCGGGCCAAACAATCTTGAAGTTCCTCGATTGATACATAACTTTTTAAAGCATTCAATTTTTCTCGTTTCTCAGCAATCGACTTGTTTAATTCTTCAATCAATTGATTATGTTGTTCAATTTTTTCTTGCACTTTTTTCATTGATTCTTCATTGAAATTGGTGTTTTCTTGTGAAATGAAATATATTTTTTGTTTGCCATTTAATTTTTCAATCACATCATTTTGTTCGACCAATGAATCCAATGATTTTTGTATCAAAGATTTGTTGAATTTATTTTGAAAATTATTGGCCACATCTGTACAACTATATGGGCGATTAGCATGGATTAAGAAACGTTTCACCTCTAATTTAGCGTCATCGATATTACTTTTGGCCATGTTAATTTTTCAATGTTGATTTCAATGATGATGAAACTGAATGAAACTCAATGTTTTGACAAAAATTCTCTCGGATGAATCCAAAAAATTCGAATGCTATTCAGTCACGTTGTTTGTGAACGGGACCAAAATAAAATCTGCTGATTGATCAAAATACACGTGCTTCGTATTTTTGTGAATTTAATTTTTGTTTATTATAAAAACAACAAAGAAAATGGCTAAAAATCAAGCGATAAAACGTTCAAAAATTGAGCATAAAAAAGCCGAAGAATTGCGATTGAAAAATGAAATGAATCCATTCGAATTACGACATAATAAGATCAAACACAAAGTATTGGGCCGTAAAATTGCCAAAAATGAATTTGGCAAACCGTTGATTAATCGTAATCGTGCATACAAAAAACGTGAACAGACATTATTGCAAGAATATAAAAATAAAAATAGAGCTGGCCGAGGTCTTCGTGATATGCGTGAACAAGATGCCAATGAGCGAATGATAGAAAAATACCGTCAGCAACAGAATCGAATCGATTTCGATCATAATGATGTCGTCGAATTAACTCATAAAGGTCGACCACTAGATGAAATGATTGACGATCGTATCGATTCAGATGATGAGCATTTGGATCTATTTACTCGTGATGATTATGTTGAATCCAGCCATTTTGGTGGTGGTGAATATGGACCATCTAAAAGTAAAAATGAAATTCTCGATGAAATTATGGCAGAAAAAACCCGAATCAAATTGCAACAAGAAGAAACAACAATATTGACGCAAAAATTAGATAACCAATGGAATGAAATTCGAAATCTTATCCGCCATAAAGGCAGCAATCAAACGATGGAAAAAAAATCCGATAAAAATGACTATGACACTCTTCTACGACAATTGGTATTTGACGATCAAAATCAGATTAAAGAATCTAGCATATCCAAAAAACAATCAGCCACAACGGTACCTACCGATGATCAATCAACTCCTGATGGTCGATTCAAGGCTAAACTTAATTCTATCGAAAGTTTGAATGATATTGGCCAGATACTTAATACGATTAAAGAAATGATCGATCTTTTGAAATCCAAAGTTACACGAAAATCTTTCATACTTTTGAAAGATCGTCTCACTGCTGTCGCTGAAAAACAATTGAAATTCACACCAAGAGAAATGGCCATTTTGATAGTTGGTGCCTATTTCAAAGAGCTCCAAACTTTTATTCATTTAATCGTTCTTCGAACATTGAATAAGATCAAATATTCGAATTTGAATGAAGTTTCTTGTGCTATATTTTTAAATAATTTTCTACTGAAAAGCATATCTTCTGAAAAATTTTGTCCAGAATTATTCATTCACATTGATAATCTAGTTCGTCTTTGTTTGCCACAGGAAAAGACAAAAATCAAACTATTTCATCGAATGGAACATGAAACTGATTGTTTCTTAAATGTTACAAAATTTACCACATCAGATGAGGAAAATTCCAGATATATAGTTTCATTAACTAATCTGTTTGATGGAAGATTCAAATCAAACGAAGATTCATCAATAATTAGCTATAATCTAGCGATTCAAGTATTCAAACTAATATCAAATCTACATGAAAAATATTCATCATCAAGTAATATTCGATTCATGTCATCATCGACAATGGCAATGATCCGTGATACAATATTGCCTAATGTACCAAAACAAATGAAGAAATTTCTTCAAGAAATTCTTGATAAATTTACGGAAAAAACGCCCAAATCAGTCATTATCAATACGATACAAGCAAAGCCGTTCATTCTTCCTCTTTTGGAACCGAAATTTGAAGACGATCTTCGATTAAAACCAAAATATCAGTGTGAAAGAAAAAAATTAATGAAAAAATATAAACGTGAATTTAAAGGTGCACAACGTGAGATACGAAAGGATTCAAAATTCTTACGTGATACCTATCTGAAAGAGGTGGAAAAGAAAGATAGAATACGAAAGAATAAGGTGAAAGAAATCCTAAAGGATTTATCTATCCAACAAGGATTGTATAAAAAGAATAAATAACCTTGACATTTTTTTAACGAATAATAAATTAAAATGAAATTTTCAAAAAAGTGAAATTGTCCAACCAACAATCGATAGTAATCGAAATGTAGTCCTTCACCGTTTTTATCACATGGTATTCAAAACATGCGAGCCATATGTTTTGTTTGAATTTTTGGAAACAAAATTTTTTTCTCGAACAAAATGTTTAGGTTTCATAAACGTTTGCCGTGTCATTTATCGAAATTATTTGGATCACCAGAAAATCTTTATAGGATATCAAATTCAAAATGTTTTACAACGACCACATTTCTTTCGAATGAAATGAACAAACAACCGATCCGAAATGATATGGAAGATTTGTTCCTGGATAAACGTGTACGTTATCTACTCAAAGCATTAACTGGTTATGATCCAGTGAAAGTTTTTTCCACAAAATCAATGGAAAATCTCAATTCGCCTAAATATCGTTTCATGACTGACGAACAATTGAAAATGGTCAGTAGTAGTGAATCACTTTGGCTAATTATTTATTAATTATTTCATTTAACAGGAAACTGAACAAGCTGATAAACGTGCAGATTCATTGCTACAAATGCCTCCGGTAAAATACACGGAAGAATATGAGCCAAGAATTTTGGAAAAAGATATCGCCCTTCAAGGATTTCTTGATCCATCAATCAAATTGATTTTTATGGATGCAACAGCCAGTTTTTCGGATAATGTACGTTTGGTAATTTAGTTTTCTATAATAAATTAACGTTTTTTCTGGAATCATTTTCAGGAAAGAATGATTGTTGTTCGTGATGCTGATGGAACGTTACGAGAGGCAAATCGTGAAGAAAGACATCGTACTAATCAGATATTTTATCCGATAGAAGAACGTCATATCGATTTGCCGAAAATGTTCGAAGAACCACAGCTTACCGAAATGATGAAACGAGCTGCATATAAATTATTGTTAGATAATATATGTTTACATTTTGAACCAGAAGATCCCAAATATGAAGAATTATGCCATAAAATATATGAACATATTGCATCCAATAATCACTTTGATCATTTATTATCCACTCGACATTATGGTGGAATGGTTTTCCATTATGCATTCAATCGTAGCATAGATTCACTTTTATATCATTTGATCTCTGAGCAACGATTCAATGATAGTTATAACTTACTTATTTTGTATTATATTATTAATCCACGTGACGAAGTGTCCAAAATTGTCGATTTGAATTCAATCATAACACAAGAATCATTAGAATTGATAGCTGCCGATATTCATCGAATAGAAGCATCAAAACCAATACCATGGGAGAAATTCTTGGATTTATTCAAGGTAATTTGTTTTTAAAAAATGTTTTATTTTTTATGAAAAATTCATTTATTTTTGTTTTCATTTGCTAGACTTACATCAAAAATGATTCCAATTCCAGCATCAAATCTCGATTAGAATTATCATTGCAGAAGCTTTTAACAGAAATTCAAGGCGTTACCAAAAACGTGGCTGAAAATTGATTGCCATTTTTGCCTTCTAAATTCTTCAAAAATCCAGGTCATCATCTGGATCTTCATCATCGATATCATCAAACTTGTCATATGTATAGATGATATTAAATTCAGGTGATCGTGTTGTTGCTGTATTGCTGTTTGTTGGCTGTGAATTTTGTTTTCTGTCAAAAAATTAGAATAAATAAAATTGTATTAATAATAAAAAATTAGAATTTCACTTACTTTATATATGGTAAAACGAGATTTTCTCTAGCCTCTTCTTCCTGTTTTGTTAATGTTAAACGAAATGATGATTGTGGTAATTGTGTCGAGTCATTATCATTGTTTAATTTTTCTTGCTTCAATAAATTATCTTGGCTAATGAATTTGACCGTTAAATTTGTATCAATTTCAATATGTTCATGTTTCTGATCGTATTGTAGATGAGTTCGTGGATGTTTCTTTTTCGTAATCACATGACAATGAATAGTTTTTTTCGAATGATTATCATCTTTATCGAATATATTCAAACATTGTTTGAATGATTTGTTCATGTTATTCAATCGAAAATCGATTATCACATTTGACATGTATAAAACACTTGTTTCATTGACATCTTCAATCGATAAATCAAACATTGAATGATAGATTAGTATAATTTGTTGATAGTTTTTTTTAAGTCGTTGAAGAAATTGATAAAATTTTCGCGCAATACCTCTGTCGTCATCATCATTGTCATCATTATCGAAAATAAGGAATAATGGATTTATACAATTAATGATCAATACATTCGATGAATCAATTGGTGCTAAAGAAATAAGTTTCGATTCGAATGCAACAGCTGTATCCGATAGCTGAAAATCATGTTCATTGAGAATTTGAATTTTTGTATTCGATTTAATCTGGGCATGTCGATAGAAATGTTGTTCATTAGTACCGAATGATAATAGGAAAAAATTTCTGGATGAATTTTTCAATACCAAACGATCAATGAAATGACCAAGAAATATTGTCTGTTGTGTCAATGTTTCTAAATCATCGATCAATGTTAACATTAATGGCTGTAAACGTGTCGATTCATCCCATATATCTTGTAATAGACAAGTTTTTTCAACAACAATTTTCTTTTTATCGGACATTGTAAAATCCAACAATTATTAAAATGAAATGATCAAAAGTTGAATGGTTTTGTATTCCACATGTGTTATTGTCACGTGGTTTGTTTTTTTGCCATCGATGGCTACTAGATGACGCGTCATCATTATTCTATCAACCATCGAATTCAAATCAATATGGTTTTTACTTTAAAAACATTTTAATTTATTCATTTTTTTAATAAGTTAAAATTTGTTCGTTTAAGATTTAACGATAAAAACTCAAAAATAACAATAAAGTTATCAATTATCAATTGTCATTTGCAACAATGTGGCCATTTGGAATGCTGGCTACAATTTCTTGAATCAAATTTTCAAAATCTTTAGATCGTTCTTTAGCAGCGGCCAACACTTCTTCATGATTGGCTTTATCGTCGGAATCATAACCCATCACAATTTTGTTGGTAATCAATGAGAATGCAATGACACGCATACCCGAATGATGTGCTACCATTGTTTCATGTACAGTACTCATGCCAACAGCATCGCTACCAACCATACGAAGTAATTTGGCTTCAGCAACTGTTTCGAAATTTGGACCACCAACCATAGCGTAGACACCTTTTTGAAAATGTTTATTAATTTTCAATTTATCCACAGCTTCTTCGGCCAATCGCATCAATTCCTGATCATAACAAGTATTCATGGCTGGAAAACGGATACCGAAACGATCATCGTTTGGACCACGAAGTGGATTATTGCCAGAAAATCCAGGGAAAAAGATATGATCTTTAATCATCATAATATCAGTGACATTGAAATGTTCATTGAGACCACCGGCAGCATTTGTAGCGATCAAAGTTTCAACGCCCAAACCTTTCATAACACGAATCGGAAATGTACATCGTGCCAATGAATAACCTTCATATGCATGGATTCGTCCTTTCATACAAACAACAGAAGCTTTACCAAGGTGTCCAAATACTAGTGTTCCAGCGTGACCATGAACTAGTGATGAAAAATAAAAATTAACATTAATGAACTTGAATAAAGAAAAAAACTAATACAAACCTGTACTAACTGGAAAATGTGGTATATCTTTATATTCAACTGATACTGGTTCAGTAATCAGATCAGCCAATCCACCAAGACCAGATCCACAAATAATACCAATAGTTGGTTCGATTGATACTTTTGATTTTAAATACTTGACAGTTTCATCGATTTCTTCATGAGTGATGCTATAAGATTAAATTTAAAAAAATAATTAGAAAAAAACACTAGAATAACAAAAAAGATTCACAACCGATTTTCATGTAAAGATAAATCTGGAGAATTTTGCTGTTGATGATTATGATTATGATGTTGATGATGATGATTTTTGATTTAATTGGCGATTTGGATTTAGCCAAATAAGATTTAATATTCAACAATAAATGATCCATTTATTCAACAACAGCAACAGCAACAACAAAAACAATAACAAAAATGAAAAATTCAAGTCAAGAAGAAAAGTTTATTGTCCTCAATTATCGTCAAACGTTCGGCTGGTTAGTGTGAATATTATCGTATCATGTATTTTGTAGACAATTTTTGAAATGTAAAAATTTTTCCATCTAATCAACTCTTAAATACTTGAAACTTATAAGCCACTACTATCTATCTATGTGTGTGTGTGTGGTGTGGTGTGTCTGTGCAAGTAATGTGCCAAAGATAATCTATCTATCTCCTTATTTTTCTAATTTTCATCATTTCGTCAATTTTTTCTCCATTCAATGTTTTTTTGATTAACTATAAACTAATAAACAACAAATGCAATGAACAGAAGAAATCGTTTTCTTACTAAACAAATCTAAGAGCAGAAGCAACAACAACAACAAAAGTTCAAATTCAATGGCCATGTTATCATCATCATCGAGTGGAAAAAAAGAAATATTTCATACAAAAATTCAACCAAACCAAAATCAATAATGACGATGGTCATATGAGCTAGAAAATAGAGATGAGAGAGAGAGAGAGAGAAAAAAGAGTAAACAAATCCACATAAATTAAAACAAATGAATTGGAAATCATTCGATTTTTTTTGTTTTGTATCCTTCAATCAAAATCAGGAGGATGGAAGAAACCACTAATAGATTTCTGGTTATTTCGGAGGCCGAATCCAATAAAAAAAGAAGATTAACAAAATACAAACAAACAAGTGAATAAATGTCGAGATGAGATAAAACAGAATGTTTATTTTCAATCAAGAAAAAAAATTAAAAAAAAATGCATGAAATAAACGGCCACAACACATTTTGTTTATTATTGATTATTGATGAAGAAAATTCCATGTAGTGAAATGATATGATTATAAAAATAGAGGAAAACATTGAACATCAATGAACGTACAATTCAAATGATGAAATAGAAAAAAACAAAAATTTCGTTACACACACACACACACAAACAAACAAACAATTCCAACATGGACTTCTGGATTTTTAAAAAATTTTTCTTCTATTGCAATTTTGCATACGTGATGATAATGATTATCATCACGTAATATAATTGATTTGATTTCAATCAATAAACAAACAAAACAAACCTGATTTGATTTATTATTTGTCATTTGAAAAAAATTTGTTGCTCAAATTGTTTGAAATCAAATCAGAGTACAATTTATGTAATGTGCAAATAATGAGGGATGGTAAATGATAACAACCGATTTATCGCCATTCACTGATCAATCAGAAAGATCAATCGAATCGAATCGAATTATTTCCAAAAAAAATGGGGAAAAAGATAAAATATTGAAAATTTTTCTCTTATTTCTAAACTATCAAGTGGAAATTTTCTCTCTTCCGTTTAATCCAGATTAATTTGAGAGTAGAAAAAGATAATGAAAATTGAAATTTGTGCAAGAATCATGGTAAATTATCATCACCATAACACGTTTCAGTTTGATTTATTTTGATTTTTTTTTCTTCTTTCCCGGATTATTATCAGGTCGAAAACACACCGGTAATCTATTCATGAAGGTTTTCTTATATTTGTTATCATTCAAAGTTTTTTTCTAGAAAGAAAAAAACATTGTAACTAAATATCTTATTCAACAATCAGATTAAAAAAAATTGATGACCATAACATTTTTCGTCATGAAAATTATTGAATTAAAATTGAAAAATTTAAATTGATAAAACACTACTGAGATTGATGATGTGAAATTGAGAAAGAGAGAAAGAAAAAAACACTTACATGTATGCCATTCTGGTTTATCGTAAATTGAGATAGAAAGATTAGGAATATAGAAGGTTGAGCGAGCGAGTGAGAAATGTCAAAAAATTATCAAATAATATATCACCGAATGTGCAGTGAATAAAAATGATGGTGTTTTTCTTCGCTAACGATGATGATAGTAGTTTTGGTGGTCATCCAAGATGTAAAATTTGGAAAAAAAATTCCTTTTATAAATATCATATTTAAGTGGATATTTTTATAATTTTTGTAAAGTGTAAATTAATGATAATTCTTTGTAATATTAGCAAAAAATAAAATTGAAATTGAAATTTGAACATTTATGGTTATAAAATTGTAAATTATAATTATTTGGTTACCATAAAATCATCATCATTTTGTGCGCATTGTCACTTTTTGGAATGGAGAAAAAACCTTTAAAAAATTGTAAAAGTGGAGGTAAATTAGTTGTAATTTTTTTTCATAAGAAATGTCATGTTATTTCAAAGACTTTGGATTACAATATCGCTTTATTATGCATCAATAAAAAGGGTTCCGAGATGTGTAATCTAAAAAAAATGTGACAACAATTAATGAGACAATAAAATTAACAGCAAGTGCAGACAACAACAACAAAAAGCAACAAGACAAAAAAAAATATTGGTCATATTTTTTTCAGGTGTTTTTCAGCGAGAAAAAAAACGAGATTGACGTCAATTTGATAGAAAAACAACCAAGAAAAAAAAATTACAAAAATGACCTTTTCATTTATAATAATCTCAGAAATTTTGATTCTAAAAATATAACGTTTTTCTCTCTCTCTCTCTCTGAGCAAAAACAAAAAAAATTTGATTTTAAAAATGATTGAAAATTTTCGAGAAATTATCAAAAAAATCAATTTAGAGGCCATATGAAGATCTAAAAAAAAATAAAAAAAGTAGAGAGAGAGAGAGGAAAAATGTCACTTAAACGCAAACAACGAATAAAATGTTATTAGTATTTGTCACCACCCAAACGGATCAAACATGCCAATGACATTTATCAACATACACAAACACAACCGAAACGGAAAAAACAATGAAAATTAGCTATTGTAGCCTCAATTTGATTTCAATAACGGATGACTTATGAACTATCAACTATACCAGTTCAATGTGTTTTAAGAATTATTTCAAGATGTTTTGGTTGTTGTTGTTGGAAACAATGTGTTATTTTTCATTAGCGACAATTCTGTTCGCACCTTATTTTTATATATTTACAAATCATCATTTTTTCGTGAATAAAAGATAAACTAATAGTATTGTGTTGATTCATAAGTGAATCCACTTTTTTGGGTGTGGATATTATTTCTGTTCAGAAATCACAATTGTAATAAGAAAAATATTATTACGTCATTCATTTGCTTTCATTTTCTTTTTTTTTTGGACCGCATACATTGTAGATCCAACTTAAATCAAGAATGAAAACAGTCTTTTCATTTATGATTTGTATGATGTGTGATCGAGATGGAACAGCAGCAGCAGCAGCAGCAGTTACAAATGTTTAAAACGATGATGAATTTTCATTAACACATTCTCTATTTCGATAAAAGATGGCGATAGTTGTCTTGATAAAAATTATAAAAATCAAATTCAAACATGGTCTATTGAAGAAATTTTCATTTTTGATTTTCATGGAACAAGTCGTATTCAATTGATTTCTATTTAATGAAGAATTTCTCTCTCCCTCGATCAAAATACAAATTTCCAATTGATCAGCGCCTTTTTGTCCACCGAAAAAAATAAACAAAATCATCTAATGGTAATTGAATGTGAAATGATTTTGATTGTGAAATTTCATCATTGATGATCCGATCAAAAATCGGTAAGTTAAATCCCGTTAAGCACACAAAAAAAATTCGGTTTTTAATCTGGCTAAAAATTTGCTCAATTTTTGTTTCACGAAAAAAAATGATAAAATTCTTTCAAAGATAAAAATTTTGATGACTAAAACAAACAGTTTTCAGATATAGCCACCAAAATAAAAATTATCAGTCATAGACAGTAATGAATTTGAATAAAATATAGCACCAAACAATTGACCGACCAAACCTCTATATAGTCATCAAACCTGTGGAGACATTTCATACAGATTGTCACTGTTTTCCACAAAAAAAAGATTGATAAAAAAAGGTGTAGACAAATTCATATTTATCATTATTATTACTTTAACGACAACGAAAACAGCAATCCAATTGCAATTTTTTTTTATCATTTCATTTACTACTCAAATATTTGGATATAACCAATTCATTCGGATGATGATGATGATGATGATGATGAAGGATGAAGCAGATGAAAACCAAAACAAAAAAAAAAAAACAAAACGCTAATCTTTTCATTGAACCATAAACTTGTGCGATAGAGTTATCATTCTTTTTTTTATATAACAAAAAAAAATTACAATTGTCGATTTCGACAATAGAAACAAAAAATGAACGAAAGAGTTATCTCGATTGTCATTCTGTGTTATTTCTGTTTGTTTGTTTTTGTTTTTTCATTATCGTCATTCATTCATTGTCATTCGTTGTTGTTGTTGTTGTTGTTGTTGTTGTTGTTAAATTATTCATCATGATTATAGATTTTCAATCACGAATTTGGAATTGGATTATCTTTCACTAGAAAAACAGTCTGAAAAAAATTCGGGTTTTCTTTTCTCGTAGCCATCATCATCATCATCAGAGTCATCAGTGGTTTTTGTTTTTCCGTTTGGTTGTTCCAAAAGTTCCAACACAGAAAAACAGAGATAAGGAAACCAAAAATTCTCTCTAACTCTCAAATGTATAATAAACAAACAAAAACAAAATAGATACCATATATCGTTGTTGTTGTCTTTCTTGTCTCATTCATTCATTCATTTTCTTCAATTTAGAAACATTTCTATACATTCTATCAAGAATCATTTAGAGTAAATGATATCAAAAATGGGGGCGGGGGACCATATGAAACAAATGAAAGTAGATGGAGAGGAAAAAATTTGATGTTATCGGTAGTGAAAAAAATATGCTTTTTTTCATTTCTTTTTCGGGTTGATTTCCCGTTTTCCTTTTCATGATTGTGATAGATAGAAGATAACAGAATATCAAAATATTCTCTCTGTATGGAAGAATGATCACATCATAGAATAGTAAAGTGGTGGTGGTATTTAAGAAAAAAAATTTATCGACCTCAATAACCTTGGAATTCATCATCATCATTCAGAATATCGAGAATCAAAAATAAGCCAAAAGCAAACAAACAAGAGATGATGATGATCTTTACATTCGTTCATTTTATTTCAATACATTTCGATAACGAATCCAAATTAGTATCATAATCTTTTGTGCTTCCGGTGGGGAGGAAAATGGAACAAAAACAAGAAATTTTCATTTTTATTCGTCATCATTGAAATAATCGAGAAAAACAACAATGATTGTGTAGCAAGTAGAAGATTCAAATCAATATAATTCCACAATAGACTTGTGTAATAACTTTGGCGCCGTGTTTATATTTTTTGATGTTTTGTTTTGTTTTTCTATCGGATATCCATTTTTGAATCGAATGATAATGATGATGATGATGATGAAAAAAATGAGAAAGAATATCGACAACAACAACAACAACAACAAATGAAAAGCCTCAATATGATAAGAACCTCATTCATTTTGGAATAGTTAATTTGATAAGAAAAAAAAAAAAAATATCAGAGAGAGGGAGAAAAAGAGATAAGCAAAAAAGTAGAGCCAACAAGAAAAAAAAATCTGATGATGATGAATATCGAGATATAGAGTGTGCAGGTTCCAAAGTGCATTCGATAGTCTCAACACAACATCCACATTCAGTTTTTTTTTGTTCATTATCTATCCATCGATCTATTTATCTCTTATCGAATTTCAGAATGTATATTTTTTTTTCTTCACTTCACTCCACTCCACTACACACTATCAATTGATAAGAGCACAGAGATTTTTATTTGAATTTTTTTTGCTTTTCTTTGGAGACACATACATGGCACACACACACACACACACACACACACTCACTATTCTTATCTATACGAATGAGACAATCTTTTTTATCTGCGAATAGAGAACGATTTAGCTAATTTTTTTCAGTGAATTTCTCCTTTTGAAAAATATCTTTATCTAATAATTTCTCTCTCTTTCTCTTCATTTGGTCAAATCGAGAGTAAGATTTTTGATATTGATAATCGGTTTTAGAATGAATGAATGAATGAAAAAATAATGTCGTTATCAACATTAATGACCATTTACCTAATAATAATAATGTGACTATCCATCCATCCATCCATCCATGCCACACCAGATATATATTTTGTTTTTTTGGTAATTCATTTCGTTTCGTTAACTGCAAAGAAAACTACCCTTCCCCTTATCAGTTGCTCATCTCGAATCATCATCATCAACATAATGGTGAATGACAATTTTCATTTAGATTGTTTGATTCTAATTGTTTTCTGATCATCAAGATGTTGATGATAAAAGTGGATATCTAATCGCATTTTCAAATTCTAATCATTTTTTATGTATAAAAATTGGGTGTGTGTTTGTCAGTTTAAAAGCTGTTGATTCCTTGATAGATTAAATATCAAGACAAGATTGCAATTTGTGAAAGAAAATTGTCAATGTAAGTACGATGATGATGATGATGATGGTAGTGATCTATAAACAACACAACCAATATAGGGTGGTTAGTGAAGTAAAACAACCAAAATATCAAACACAAAAGGGTGTGTGTGTGGGTAGTGATTATATTTTTTACGATGATGATAATTGGAATTGATTTGAATTCGATGATGATGATAACATTCAATGATTTTTTTCTAATCGAATCGATGATCAAAAAAAATTTTCGTCAATCAAAATAATAAAATGATTGTCAATGCCATCATCGTAGATCAAGATCGATATCATCTATCTATCTATCTCGCTCTAAATTAATGGAAAACTTACATGATTTTTTTTCGCCATTCTGCTATTCAGCCACATAAAACATTTAAAGCAACAGGTTCGAGATAAAGAAATCGAGTGATGTAGGATTTTTCGTTTTATTTTGTTTTGTTTTGTTCACATCACTTATAGATGAGAATTTCAGTTGGAATAAAAAACAAATCTTCTTTTTTTCCCCAAACCATAATAATGTGATGATGATGATGATGTGAACCGTTATCTTTGGAAGATGATGAGAGATTGAAATTGACATATCACATATTCAGTAATTTATTTGTGCCATTTTTTTGCTGTTGTTGTTGTTGTTCTCATAATAAAATGAAAAACTAGATTGAAAAAGTGATGAATAAACTCCAAGATAATAATGAACAACAAAATAAATCTTGGATGAAAAAAAAAAACAGTTTTCATTCATCAAAACAGTAAATCAATGTGAGCCAATCTTGAAAATGAACCATTCACAAATCTAAGGATTTTTCAATACCTTGAATATTGCACACACAAAGGGTAGAAGACAATCAGATTTTTGAATTTGGATATAACGGAGAGAACAAAGAAAATAGGCATTGAATATGTGAAAAAAAACAACGATCCGTGAATTTCAAATTTTTTTTTTTTTTGCTGATATCATCACATTGATCACAGAAATCAGATGATATCAATCTAGATCTAAATCAACATCATCATCATTTATTCACAAGATTTGAGGCCTTTTTCATCGACCAAGAGAGAGAGAGAGAGAGATACATACTATCTGATAAATGTAAAGATAAACACACACAAATGCAAATGCATTTATCATCAGAAACAAAAACAAAGATTCTTTCAAATATTTTCAGGAAAATTATAAGAATGTGAAATAAATTCTCTTATCGTTTTTTGTTTATCTAATTTATTTTTATTCACAAAAATTTTATTACTATCACACGACACACCCTATGAACAACATCGATGGTCATGATTATGATAATGATGTGTGTGTGTGTGTGTGTGTGTGTGTGTGTGTGCGGCTACAAGTGTGTACATCATTCATTTGAAAATAATTAAATATTACAAATTTGAGATGACTACCGGGGTAGTGAAATGCTAAATTAAGGTTTAAATATCAAAAAAAAAAAATTGAAATGTCAAACCATGTCTTTGTTGAACGAAAAAAAAAAAATTGTTAAATTTAACAGTTATTTTATTGATTATTTTGGTGTTGCTTGCCTCCCCCTCACCGAATGACAAAAGAAAAAACTTTTATAACATTCACCACAAATAAAATAGACCAAGCCCAGCTTTTATTTTTGATAAGAAAATTTTTTCGTTTTGACTACTAGGGTTTGGTGTCCTAAAATAATATGTTATGACACAATATTGTGTGTGTGTGTGCGAGTGTGCAAGTGTAGAATGTCATGGTAGATTGGTCAATTGATGATGATGTTTGGTAAAAGTACAGGTTATTTTTTCATAAATGGAAAAGATAACTGTAACAAAAGTCATAGTGTAGTAGTTACCATGCTGTTTATGGTATTTATTTTTGGATCAAATATTTAACAATGGTAAAAAAAAATTAACAACAATTACACACCCAATTTTATTTAAGTGGATAGTGTGAACTATTCGATGAGGATAATGATGACGTGCATGAAACCAGATGATGATCAATGGTCTTGACTACAATGATATGAGATAAGCTACCGAAAATTTTGAGCAAAATAAAATCATCAACAACAGAGAATGAGATTATCATGTGACAATAAAAACATCAACAGAGAATAGATAAACGAAATGGCGCCCATTTGTAATGAAATGATCATCATCATTTTCAGAATAAATTAGATCATATTCTGAAGGATCATCATTATTTAATTTCTTCCTGATTTTCAATTCCTAAGTCAACATCAATGTTAGGCTGTGGTTCACATCATAAATCAATCTTGGTGATGGCTAAAATAATTTATTTGATGAATTTTTGCTCCATTTTTGCTCATTGTCATTAAAACAATGTATTCGAATTATGTGTGTGAATTCAAATAAAAAAAAATCATAACTACAGGAAATGATGATAAGAATTTAATCTATCTGTAGATTGCGAGAAAAAACAATCAAAACAAAATGGATGCCTGTTGCATTTATATAAAATATCCAATTTGAGAACCGGTAATTTAAAAACAAAAAATTGAATCATTTTTTTGAGGAAAAGTTTCAAAAAAAACAATTTTCACAAGACTGTGTGGATTGAATCAGCAAAAAATTGTGAAAACAAGGCAGTGAAATTCGTTTTCGGATCGACAAACAAAAAATTTGTTGATTCAATCCAGTCAATAATAATAAAAATAAATAAAGTGAAATATTCTGCAATGTTGAATGATGAAAAATAAAGAGAGTCAAACAATATTTACCTTTATTACATTTTTTTTAATATTATGATGATCTACATCACGATTATTTTCTGCTTTTGTTTTGTTTTGTTTAATCAACCAAAATGTTTCATATTTTAGTGTGTGAAATTTTTTTTTAATTTTGTTATTGTTGTTGTTTGCCAGAAGAAAATGGCCAAGATTTTCTATATTTCAATCATGCCTATTTTTTTCTATAGTTAAAAGATAAGTAAACAAATTAGATTCATTGGAAAAAATAAGCAGAGAAAACGAAATATAATAAATTGTTAATTACACAGAAGGCGTTTCTTTTTTTTTATTATTATGTTAGAAAAATCCGTTTGTCTTGTTGCTGTTGTTTTCGGATTTTATATCGATTTCATTTCATTGATTGTGATCGACACCACACACACACAAGTGTGAATCATCATCATTCTTTTAATCATATTGACTCTGAGTTGTAAATGTCAATAGAGTATTCATGCAATCAGGAAACCGATTACTTGTGTGCGTGTGTGCGTGCGACCGTTTGTGGTGGAAATTTTTAAAATAAAATCTAAAAAGAAAAAAAAATCTAGTCGGGTTTCAAGTTAAAAAAAAAAATAAATTAAATCAAACAAAACGAACCTTTTTTCGTCACCAATCTAGGAAACACGTAAAACTTTATATATAAATTTTTAAATAAATACCAAAATTCATCATCACTTATGGCTATTACATTAATTTTGAAATAATTTTCACTCTCACACCAACATTGATTCGTCATTATATCGTCATTACTCGTCTATCCACACCCATGTAACGGACGAAAACACAACAAACAGAACTGTTTCATCGTTTTTTTTATTAGTAAATGATAACGAATAAAAAAAATTTCTAAATTCTATATTTAAAAAACGACAACAACCAGAGTCTTGTATTCATGATCTACCGGTGGTTTGTTTATAAAGAATACACTTATTGCCCCCCATTTCAATGAGATGTTAAATTCATGTAATGTAAACCAGATCCACGAATTTCCTACCATGTTTGTGTGTGTGTGTGTTTGTCCTCGGGTAAACTATTAAAAAAAAAAACAGAAATAGAGAGCGACAATTCTGTGCAAACAACACACACACGCATAGAGATCGTCAAATTTATTAAATTGTATTGAGAATTTATCTTGTTGGGCGAATATATGGTCACAATTTTTGGGTGGAGACCATGATGATGAAAAAACCGTGGAAATATTGTCATTATAATCTATTTGATTCAAGTTGGGCGTTTATATTGACCAAAGTTTTGCACTTTTCTCTCTCTCTCAAGATTATTGAATCAAAAATGCGTGATGTTTTGATTCCATAGAACCAGTATATTTTTGTTTGTCATATATGAAAAAAAATTACAGATGAATCAACAACATACAATCATTCTAAATTGTCATATTTTGATTCATTTGGATTTTGATTCATTAGCTGAAAACACTTATGTTGAGTGAATCATAGTTGGCTATTTTAAAACAATGAAAATCAATTTACACTGATTTCATCTGAATTTTTCGTTATTCAAGTTTTGGAATAACTTGTGTTATTTCTGTAATTGAAATCATTTCAATGAATCAATGAATTAAAATTCATTTTGGCTGTACTAATGTTCATGATCAGTGATAAGGATCGACAATAATTTTAATGGAATTATTCAATGTATGAAGCCTCGTATCAAATTTGTTGAACAAATTTTTGTTTCTTTTTCTTCACCTTTTTTTCACTCACAGTGTGTGTTTAAGATGTGAATGTCATGTTTTTTCGTTGATAGTGATATTATCTTCATCTTCGTCATTTTTTTTCCCAACAAATTTCATATGATTTCAATCATCATCATCATCATCATCATGATGAAAATGATTGATTCAAAAAGATTTTAATCAAACACAACATCTTTACCATCTTTATCAAAATTCAGTCATTCAAATATACGTCAAAATTAATGCTTTTAAATAACATCGATATCAATCGATCATCGATTGAATTAAATAATCTTACACAACACTAGAAACGAATGCATCGAGAAAACAGTATAAAAATAAATTCAAGTAATGTGATGCAAAGATGTAATGAATTATCACACACACACACACACATCCAATCAATTTATCATTGATTGATCAGAATCATGATATATAGAATATGACGTCATTCATTCATTATCAAATCTAATAACGTATGTATAAGTTAAATATTTTTATTTTTTAAATAAGCTGGCCAATCGATTTTGTCAATCACAAAAAATGAAATAAAATAGTTCATTTCATGATTATAAATAACTTGAATAAAATTCTCTTAATTATCACACAACGATCAAGTGTTACATTCAATGATGATATTCAATTTTCATATATTGATGATTTGCCGCCATCAGTTACTGATTTCTTAGAATGATGCTGATTCGTAACGGATTGCAAGGTGTTGCCGAATGTGGTGAAGCGATTAGCGAATACAACATTATTTATCATGAGTCAACCCTTTGATTAAAATTGCACTCATTTTTGTTTTTTTTTTTTTTGATTTCTTTCACAAGTTACGCTATAATTATTATTATGGTAGATAAAAAGATTGGCTTTTCATTTATTGATCACCCAATTGGATTTTGCGGTCACACACACACACACACACACACACACTGATTAGTGTCGGTTGTTGATGTTGATCATCATTGTAATGAAATTTAACCGTGAAAAAAAAAAAAGTAAAGTGTTAGATCAAATAACATATTTTTGTATTCTGGTTAATTCCAAGAAACCATTATGATATTTATTGATTAAATTATCGAATACTTTTGCAATGGCAAATAATAATCATCATTATTACGGTCAAATATATTTATATTGATGATTTTATATTTAGCAAAATGGCAAGCCAAGCCAGAGAAAGATAACTTTTTTTTCAAGTAGAGTCAAATATATGCATTGATGCAGATTTCATCGAGATAAATGAATTTTTTTTTCATTTATTAAATAATGATAATGATTAAATAAATGAAAAAAAATCAGAATGAAAATAAAAGCAAAAAGAGGTGAAATTTTCAATTCAATTTTCAAACGTTTGAACTCAATAACATAATGGTCTCGTATCATTATTTTGCAATATAAATATTCCAGTGGTGGTAATGAAAAAGATAAAAATTCACTTACCAGAATCTTATCGGTAAAGATTCGTCTTTTTTTTTCTTTTTGGTGACTCTGTGAGGTTGAAAAAAAATCTATCGATTTAGGTAGTTTGTCGTCAATGATGATGATGATGATTATTATTATTATGATATCATGAAATGATGATCCATAGGCGATAAAAGAAAAAGAAAATGATTTAGATTTTGGTCATGTTTTTGCTTTGCTTCATCGTAGTCGTCGTCGTCGTCTTCGAGATAGTTTAGATAGATAGAAATGTTGAATAGATTATCGTTTGGCGTCGTTTTGTCGTCGATGATGATGATGATGATCTACATATATACCATGGCCGGATCTGAAAGTATGAATTTTTTGTGTCGTTTATCAGATTATTATTATTTAAAAGAAAATCATCATCATCACCATCATTTTTTTTGGTTATTAGATAAAAAAGGAGACAAAAAATTCAAATTCATCAGCCACATATCAGAAAATATGATGATGATGATATGAGATCAGTTTTCAATTAAAAAATAGAAAAAAAAGTTCAACGGGTGTATCGCACGAAATTGTCACTATCTTCCGGTTATTTTATTTCATTTTTGGTCTGATTCAAAAGCCAAGATCATTCACACGATGTTGCGATGGATGCTGATAAATGGAGAATTAATTGAAAAAAAAACATGAAAAAAATGTCTCGTAATAAAATTTACACACATAGTCAAGGCAAGCAAAGGCAATTTGTGACATCAGGACAAAACGTTTACCAGCCAACCCAAAGGGCAGTTGAAATAGACGCATGATGGTGATCCAAAGATCAGATAACATTTTTCATCACACATCATGGTGTTTATTATTTTGAGATAATCATAATTCTGCTATATGATATTCTGTCATTTATTTACAAGTCGCGTGTCATCTGATTTTTTTTTATTATGGCCAGATATGCATACAATCATCATCATATTCTGTTGATGTTGCACAACGTAATGTATACTTTTATCGATGTTCTATCAAAACACACACTCAAAATGAGTAAAATAGAAATAAAAGAAAAGAATTCACATATAGGCCATCTATTTAAAAAAAATCAATGATGATGACAATCATAGATAATAATAATGTGAATGAAAAATTTTCAAGAATCTTTTTGACAACAATAATTCTTGCTTTCTTTCTTTATTTCTGGGGATGATCAAATACTGGAATCCAGAATCTTCGAATCATTGTTATTATCAGTAGTATTAAGAGTCCAAGAGTATAAATAAATGTGAAATTTATATTTCGGGTGTTGGATAATATTTTTGGTGATAAAATTTCATCTCCCTCCATACGCCCCACAACACCTTATCATTTCAACGAGCAATTCGCACATACACACACACGTCAAACATTTTTAGGCTTCGTCCAATCATCACCACTATTTTATAACTAGCAAAAAAACTGTCAATTGTGTTTATTGTTCATTTGAAAATGATTGGGTCTCTCTTGATCTTTCATACCACCACCACCACCACAACAACCATCCCATCATAGAAAAAAGGAGTGTTGATTTAGTTTTTTTTTTTTTTTTTTTCATTATTTTTATAATTCTTTTGACCATTATTATTTAACCATTGTTATTTATTTATTTATTTATTTGTGTTATTCCGAATTTTGGTACTATTGCTATCCCATTGGAAAATTTAAAACGAAAATTTGTACGTTTCAACTGGTCGGACGAATGTAATTCTGCATTTGAGCAGCTACGTGCTGGAATTTCTTCAACTTCTTTGTTAAAACCACCGATACCAGGTCAAACTTTCATAGTGCGCTGTGACGCCAGTGAAGTTGGCATGGGGGCCGTACTCTTACAAGATGATCCTAATGATAATAATGAACGAATCATTGAGTACGCGTCAAAAGCTTTTTCTGATACTCAGAAAAAATACAGTACGATCGAAAAGGAAGCGACAAGTATTATGTGGTCGATTCAGCAGTGGCATCATTTTTTGATTGGAAAAAAATTTGTGTTGGAAACTGATCATAAACCATTAGTTTGGTTACAATCAAAAAAAAATCTTACGAATAAATTGGGTCGTATGGCATTAAAGCTACAAGAATACGATTTCGACATTAAGCATATTGATGGTAAAGCTAATGTCGTGGCCGATGCTTTGTCAAGAATTTGTTTGATTGAATCATTTAACTGGTCTGTTGAGCAGAAAAAAGATCAATTGTTAAATGAATGTGTGATAAAAAACCCGCATCAATTCGTGGAAAAGGGGGATGTCCTCTATAGATCCATTGATGGGCTTTTGTCACTTTGCATTCCAACCGAAGTTTTGAATATTGTGATAAAGAATGTTCATGAAGAATTGTGTCATGCTGGCCAACGTAAAACGATGGAAATTATGCGTCGTCGTTATTATCATCCTTCGATGCGTGATCGACTCAAATCATTAATCAATTCGTGCGACAAATGTCAACGATATAAAGATTATGATACATCCGTAAAGGATTCACTTCCGAAAAAAGATTATTCGACGTATGGTATAAATGATCATTGGGCTATTGATGTTGCTGACATTGGTTCTACAACTAAAGGCAATAAATATCTCGTCGCAATGATTGACGTACACTCTAAATTTGTAGTCGCATCGCCTGCAAAAGTCGTTTATCTATCGTTGAATTTTTTTTCCTTTACGTTTCACGCGTTCATCGTTTGATAAAGAAATGGAAAAAATTTTTTTTGTTTATGTCGTTATCTTTGGTCGTTTGTCGATTTTGTTGTTGTTTGTTGAATTCATACTCTATATATAATATATTTGTGGATCGAAAAAAAAAAACAAAACAAAACAAAAAAAACGGATAGATAAGGCACCAAACGTACACCAAAAAAAAATACCATCTATCTATACATAGAGAGAAAGACCCTAGTGTGTGTGTGTGTGTAAGTGATAAAGATAGATTGAATAGATAGATAAACCTTTCTCTCTCTCACTATTTCATAGATATCGTATTCTTTGGATGACTTTTTAGTTTTCTCTCTTTCTCGCGTCCTGATTGAGGATGATTTTTTTCTTTGGAATCGCATACAGCAGCATTCATTTCATTTCCTCTCATTGTGCATTCTTGTATTTTTGTAAATACGCGATTTTGTTGTTGTTGACAATTTTCTATCTTTCTTGCTATCGCAAAAATTTTCTTATCTATCTTTGTCGGTTTTTTTTCGATTCCTGTGTTAGAATTTTATATTGCACAATGAATCGTTTGAATCGAGAGAGAATGAAAGAAAAAAAAAGATTAGAAATAGGTAGAAAAAAATAACAACAACGAAAAATAAATTATCGCCAATATTGATCAATGTGTCTCGCATACAATGAACCAAGAAATTCAATTCTTATCTGTCATTATTATTTCAGACTAATATTCTGCAATTCTATTATGTTTACTTATATGATTCGACAGATGAAAACAGAATTTCATCAAACCACAATGATGAGGATAAAAAATTCGATATGAATCGATTTTCAATGTTTTTGTGCATGTGAGCATGGATTTCCCCCACCCACACACTACTTTTTTTTCACTTGTTTAAATGAATTTTTGATTAATCTTTGGAGAGAAAAAAAAACGAGATTTTATTTTCATGAATGGGTATGATGAAATTCGGATGTGATGGATTGATATTGATCTTTTAGTTTTTTTTCCATTTGAAATTGGTAGCAATTTTTTTCTCTTTTTCGCATTTTTCAATGTTACTTTTTCGATAAACAAAATCCATTTTTATTTAATTTTTCAGCCATTTCGACTCAATACAAACCAAAACAAAATAATACATTCAACAACCACAAAAACAACGTAAATTGCATGTATGAGAGAATTTCCTGTGAAGGAAAACAAAATGTAAAACCCACTAAATTCACTTGATGCAATGATGATGATGATGATTTAGATAACGATTACAAAAAAAAACTTTTGATCATTATTATTTGATTAAATGAAAAAAAAACTTTGAACGAAGAACGAATCCCCCCATTCGAATGAGAAAAATATACTGAAATGATGATAATGATAATTAATCACCTTCCAAAATAAAAATCTAGAATTTTAACAAAAAAAAGCAGAGATTTCTTTACGATTACACACGCACACATATTGCATTATTTATCATCAAATCACATCATCATAGTCATCACAAGAATCTACGACGACAGCGACAACGATGACAATCTTATCATCGCCCCGTTCATCTTTGTATCAAATAGTAACAAAAAAAAAAAAATTTTACAAAAAATAGCCTAGCCTCTTCATCATCATCATCATCATCATATATGTGTATTAAGCCAAAAAAAGCCAATGCATTTTTCATTTACAATGAATCTAAAAATCTAACTAACTAAAAAGATATGTTTGAGATGATAATCGACTGATTAATGTTGATGATAATATTTTCATATGTATGAGCAAGGAGCTACTGGAAAAAAAAAATTTCAATACACAAAACAACAAAAAAAAAAAAACAATGATGATGACGAAAAAGGTCATTGGGAAAATTAAAACTATCGTGATCACTTATCAACTTATCAGCAGCGGTCCACACTCACACACATACATACAGATTGTCTACTACCATGATCCCGGGGCTTTTAGATTTGGATCAAAAAAAAATAAATTCAAAACAAAAAACAAAACCCCCCCACACTATTTATCCATTTTGCATAATTACAGAGAATAATTTTCATTTCATCTTTGAAAAAATAATAATTATCTAATCAAGACTACTACTTCAATTACTATCTATCTGTTATCATGGTTAATTTCTATAACCACGAATTTCCAGAAGCAAAATAAAACAACAAAATTTAGGCCCAGAAATGAAAAAAAAGGTAATACTAGAAGTAGTGATGGATGAATGCCAAATATGAGAGAGAGAGAGAGAGAGATGTTTATCACAATTTCATTCAGTTCACATGAGCACACACCTGTTTGTCGAATATTCACACAAACACACAGATAGATAGATAGATAAAGATAGAGATAGTGAGATATATAGATCAAATGAGATAAAGAAAGACCACATGGCCACAGATATATACGACGATTGATATATTTGATATGAAAATGGATTTCAA